AAAGAGATAGTAATGGGTATGGTTATAATAAGGCGCCATTTGTATACTGAATTCAAATTGCTCTGGATTTTAAGTCGGGCGTTTGGAGTACTCTTGCTCAGCACCTGAATCAGGATTTGCAGAAATGGGAAATCGGGAAAGTCTTGGAAACTTACAATCAGGGAATTTTGCGAGTGGCTTATCATCTTCAATGCATCGTCGTGTTGGTAACTTTTGAACACCCTCTTGAGTGCTTCATTCTATAATTTGAATCCCTAGAAGTGGACAACTTGCCTCAAGTTATGGAAAATTCAGCGTTTTTTCCCCTTCTTCTTCTTCTTCTTCTTCTTCTTCTTCTTCTTTCTTTTAAATAAAAAAAAAAATATGGCAGAAATTCTGCTCGGAGGTTAGAAGAAATCAGAAAATTTGATAATTTAGGAGAAAAAATCAGATAACGTCAGGACATTCTAACATGAAGAACACATGAAGAGCCTAGACATTTGTTTTATCCGGCGCTGCCTGGTGCACTGAAAAAAGTTACGGGGAAAAAATGTATGGAAATTACGTTGGTTCCGGATTACGGGTGTAGCACCAGTTGATCTGGGCACTAAACCCGGAGCAGTCGAGGCTAGGGCTGCAGCACCCGGAACTTTCGGCCCCTGACCCCGTAACGGACGGTACGTCTGATATGGTCCATAAGTACCTATGTACGCTTTCCACAGCCGGATTTTTTTTATCAGTGTGTCTTGGCGATCTGTGTAGAGGGAACAATTCCTGAGGTTCCAAGACCCAACAAGAGGTTCCTGAAACAATTTATTGTTGGAGTCTCTTATCGCAGAAATCCACTCTCTAACCTAAAGATTCATTGTAGATGAATTTATACCGGAAGTAAACGAACACCAAGATATCGCACTTTGCCAGGTATGAGGGTCATCAAAAAAGACACTCCGCTTTTTATATTTTCCAATCTAAAACAGATGTGTCAACTGGACGAAAAGGAGCTTATTAGATATTCTTTTAGCTTAAAGAGAAGCCTTAGATTTTGAAAATTGGTCGAGGGGTTCGCGAGAAACTCAATTTTACTGACAATAAGACCGCTCACCATCGCCGGAGGCCTAACCTCCCGCTGCGATACGAACTGGGACGAAGTTCCCCGATTGTTTCCCCAAAAGCGATGAGTGATGAAAGCAAATGTGTCGAATGCATTTTTATCCTTGTATTCTCGGTTTCAATGAGGTATATTACTTTTAAATTTCGTCGTTTTTCAACGAAGGAACATTAATTAATTCCTAGGTTCACTGCGCTATTATTAACAATTCAAGTTTTATCAAAAAATACAACTGTGTAATTCCTGTCCTAAATATGGCAGAATTTCTTGTGTCATTCGAAGTAAAATCGGTGAAATTTTCAGTCAGAAACATCCAATATTTTTCCAGAAAAATTACAAATTGCGACTGAAAATTTTGGAATTGCGTTGGAATGTAATCACACGGTGGCAAGTTATCTTGGAAAGTCATTAAAAACGTGGAAAAGTTTGGGGATTTCGATGCGAAACCCTGAATCCTTTCTTTAGACTGAAACATTCAATCATTTTCAATATCTTTATAGAAACTTCATTCTGAAATATTTTTATGAAAAGCATTATTTAAAAAACATGCAACTAAAAACATATAAATTTCAGGGAATTTAAGTTCAAAAACTCTGAAAAGTTGTATAAAAGACAGGGAATTTCGGAATTTAAGAAAAATTGCCACCGTGACATATTCGAAGACGACGATTTTAAATCAACCTATATTCGAAAGGATCCATTTTTTCTCCCTACAAAGATCTGCGTTCGCAGCGCGTGTTAGCATCTAGGAGGGCATAAAATCTAAATTTTGATGCATAATTCGTCGCTTGGCTGACATAAGGGCGTAACTACACACTGAGACGAACCCTGTCCTCCATACAATTCAGTGTTTTTCAGGGCTCATCTCAATGTGTAGTTACGCCTTTATGTCAGCCAAGCGACGAATTCCTTCATTGCGTTGAATTTGTCTAAGAAATATCAAAATTGTACACAGGTCGACGTATTTTTCTACAATTTTTCGAAGATCGCGAGCTTCTCAAGCCACGTGACTAACAGATGTGTAAGACATGAAGTCCCTACGCCGAGAAAAAAGAGGTAGAGAAAAGGTGGAATTGATGTGATAAACGGGAACGTAGAGAATTAGGTGTTGTCCGGGAGAGGGTCGTTTAATCGATGCTCATCCCTTCGGTCTCCCGAACACTCGCGCTAATGTCCAATCCACCCCACCTCGCCGCAAGCCTGCGACACTTGTCAACATTAATCTTTTCATTAGCCGCCGTATCAAGTCGCGTCACACGCGGGAAACGCCGTGAAAAATTCCAACCGGAACCACACTCACACATGGAAGCCGAGACCCATTAGGGTATCCACACGCCCTAATAACACGCTGATAAATAAGTTTGTTTTGTTAAACATTTCATCTTTCATCTTTAAGAATATTTTTTTTAATATATAAATAATTTTAAAAAATGTTCCTGGGTAATTTTAGACAACAACTTGGGCATGCTTGACCCTGTTGTGATCCTTTTTAAACTTTATTAAAACTTGTTTATTTCTTAAAAAATTAAGAAATGAAAATATTTTAAAAATGTTTTCGCCGCAATGTTTTTGAGTAATTTTAGACAACAACTTGGGCATGATTGACGCTCTTGCGATCCTTTTTAAACTTTATTAAAAACTTGTTTCTTTCTAAAAATCAGAAATCAAAATATTCTAAAAATGCTCTTGCGGCAATCAACTTATGAAGTTCTAAAAAAAGTAGCAAACCATTTTCCATTATCTAAATTTCAAAAAGAGAAGGACCAGTTTGAACAATCCCGATCTGAAGTTTCTTTTATAGAGGGTCAAATGATTTATCCTCATCGAAACAGTGTGATTACCCGCAAAAATATTCAAGGTTTTCTGTCGCACGAGGCTGCCTTCTGTAGTGCCTGTGTCTGTTAGGGGTCGGACCGCTTAGTGGCCAGGGGGTCAGCTAGATAATTTCCCTGAAGCCGACGACATGGGCAAAGGGAATTATACAGCCAGAGTTTAAGTAAGTATTATGTAAACATAACTCGTCCAAATGGAGGCTCTTCTACGGTTTCTTCGTCGTCCGTTGAAAGATTCATTCTCATGTGACATAGTTACTTGAGTGAAATATCCCCCAACCCCCTTTTCTCCCCTCTCCTACGCCTCCCAAAAAAATAGTTCATACATATTTAAGTTGTCAAGGCCGGGTAGTCGTAAGGGGAGTGTCCTGAAGGACGCCCGCTTACTCCTCCCAGGCTTTTGTTTTTTTATGTGTTTGCATACGGAACCAACGTGTGACAAATGGTCGTTTCCCGGACGAAAAAACTTAACTCCATTCCAAGGTTGCAATATTGATCAAAAAAATTCAATTTTTTACAAGAACATACCTGTATAATTTTTTTCCAAAATTTGTCTGACCCCTGCATGAGATCATATGAAAAATCAGTGAAATTTTCAGTGGGAATTCGGTTGTTTACTCAAATCCTCTTGGTTGATTTAACCGAATAAAAATAACCCTAAGCAACCGAAATTAATTACCGTGTATTATAGTTCCACCATGGACGTTTTCGCCTTACTGTATCCCATTTTGTGGTTATCAGAAAAATTCCTGTTGCCTGGAGCAATTCCATTTTGAAGCCAGATGTGCAAATTTGTCTAGGTTTCCTCAATTTTCCGCAACGCGCTGGGTTTTCTCAAAAGGGCCATCATAACGCGCTGATCAAAGTTTTGTTGAAGTTTTTGTTGATTTTAGAATGTGTGCTAAAGTCGCATCGTTCCACAAGAGTTGAAAATCTGGAAACTGAAAAATAAAAAAAAATAAAAATTCAGCAGCCTCCACAATTTTGAGGGCAACTCTACAACTTTCTGCAACGCGCTGGATTTTCTCAAAAGGGTGAATATAACGCGCTAATCAAAGTTTTGCTGACTCTTTTGCTAATTTTAGAGTGTGTGCCAAAATTGCATCATTCCACAAGAGTTGTAAATCAAGAAACGGAANCCCCCCCCCCAAAAAAAAAAGAAACCCAGCCTCTAAAATTTTTAGGGCAACTCCACACTTTGGTCGCGATCGCGCTGGGTTTTCTCAAAAGGGTCAACATAACGCGTTGATCAAAGTTTCGTTGATTTTTTTGCTAATTTTAGAATGTGTGCCAAAATTGCATCATTCCATAAGAGTTGAAAATCTGGAAGCTGATCAACCCTCCCCCCCCCCCCCCNAGAAAAAAAGAAACCCAGCCTCTACAATTTTTAGGGCAACACCACACTTTGGTTGCGATCGCGCGGTCTAGAACAATTCGCACCCCTAGTTGAAGCGGTGAAACTGTTTGAAGCTTGGCTGAAATGAATGGACCACTAGACAAGGTACGAATTTCAGCATTTTGATACATGTTTTGTAACTAAAATTTCACGTAGAACACGATGCGCACATAGAAAATTACCGAAATTAACTCCTTACGAAGATATTTAATGATTCTTGATGCGTGAATTCAAACCACCCGCTCATGAAAACTCAATGCTCTACGTGATTCACATCGCGCGCTAAACGTTATCGTGACAGTTTCTGCGATGTAAACATCTGGCAACCTCAGTCTTGACGCTTTGGCTCAGCCATAGCAAATTGCTAATAGTTTGAACAACACATGGTGGAAAATGAACATTGCTCGGTTGAGAGGCTCGCTGAAACCGTTGTAGTGCGCGATTTGACTCGCGTAGAGCTTTGAGTTTCTTGTGAGCGGGCAGTTCGAATTCCTTGTAGCGCCAATGTGAAATAAAAACGTTAATATCTTTGTTAGGAGTTGGTTTCAGTAAATTTCGTTGTGTGAATCGTGTTCTACGTGAAATTTTGGTTAAGAAACATGTATCAGATTGCTTAAATTTGTACCTTGTCTAGTGGCCCATTGTATAGATTGTAATTTAATTTTGTGTTTTTGGGTTGTTTCAGACAGATGGAGATGGGCCGGAGACGGGGCCAAACCTGGACGAGGAGATGGAGAAGGTGTTCGCGATGGAGGGCGAACGCTTCGACGTGGCGCGCCTCGCATCCTCGCCCGAGGCCACTCCGCCCGAGAAACGTTTCAACGAGCGCGACTACAGCTGTAAGTCAAACTAAGCCACCAATGCACTTGTCTAGAAATACCCCCCGTGAAATTCCCACCATATTTCACTCACAAGCGTACATAACTCGTCACGTTTCCCGAATGAAGGACAGGGTTGCCACAGTCGGGTAATACCTGGAAATTTCAGGGAACTTTAAAAAGTCACGGAAAACCTGGAAATGTTTGGAAAAATCACGAAAATGTCAGGGGAAACCGGAAAATAACAAAAATGTCAAAGACAAATTGAGGCACCGGATGCGAAATGGGCGCTTCTCGATTGCCAAGTTTCAGAATCTCTGTTGCTGATGAATCCCTTGGAGAAAAATTTAATGGGTGATTTAGCCAGAATTCTTTTTATAGAAAATTGTAGAATCATAAGGAATATTCAGTAGAATTTTTAGTGAAATGGATGCATTCACTTTCCTTACAATGAATGAAACTCATATTTCATTCATTGTAAGGAAAGCGAAAGCAAGCGTAGCGTGGTCGAGTCATCGTCGCAGTGTGACGCGCCTTCAATTCAGCCAGCGACAATATGGGCATCACCCGTGGTCGAATATTTATCTCAGAAGCGCCTTCCATAAATGAAATCAAATACCGTTGGCCGCACGCAAATAAAAGCGTCTTCAACCCCGCTTCTCTGATTGCAACGTTGCAAACCTCCACTCATGTTTTACTTTCGATAGATTTCCTTTAAAAAGCTATTTGCAGTTCTTTTTTTTTTTTTCTTTGAATTTTCTGTGCATAATCCCAATCATTTCAAGTATATTCACAGGAAATTTCGAGGTGATTTTTTCTTCATTTTTTTTTGGGGGGGGGGGGGGGGAGGGGGTCCAAAGAAAGAAAAAAATTAAACATGGTCCGAGTTTCTGAAACGTTACAATTAAGATGTACACTTTTTCTTAAATTATGATACAAACAGAAAGTGATATCATCCTCGTCAAATTCGAGGGAGATCAGGAAAAGGAAATTGGTCCAGTAATCGAGGATAAGTTGGGGAAAAGGAGCAAAATGTCCCAAAATCCGAGAAAAGCTGCGCTTACGGAAAATACGAATTTTTTCGTGTCGTATCTCATAGTTTCAGTTTGTTTGAAACAGAAAGAAAATCTTGAAATTACGAGTTTCATCCCTTGTGATCTCAAAAGTCAATTAATGTTCTCAACATTCGTCCAGGGAGAAACCTGGGAAAAAGAGAAAATTCCAATTCAAAATTGTTTTGGCCACCTTTTATCAACATTATGTGATAAAATGCGGAAAAAGGTTCGTAAGTGCGGAAAGTACCCTCCAAAAAAGAGAAAAATGCCCGAAAAAAGGCAGATTTTGGTCCGAATTGATGTCTCTAGCCGAATGGTTTGATAACTGTTTATGCTGTAAAGTTAAATACCCTCCATATTTCTGCTGAAAATTTTGAAAAATGTATAATCTCGTTACACACCCTCACTTTGGATCTCAACAACTGCACCTCTTCCTCAACCTCAACTAAGAATATGTTTTTCTGGATTCCTTCCCGATATAACTCGGCTCGTTCCCGTTGAACGGGACTACAGAAAAATCCTTGGACCTCAGGGGGAGATTTTGAAAACAGTGATTGATTCGGGTACTCGAGAGACTTTGTGGGTACCTGAGAGCCTAGGAACTGGAACCGACAGAGATTGGTTTCTCCGGAGCCTTCGAGCTCGAATCCTGAAGATGAAATGGTGTCCACGCTCTTGAGCCGGAGTTACACTACCGATCGATCATAAGCTCTCAAAGCTTATAGGACTTAGGACAAGTTGTAATAACTCAATTATATTTCAGCAGGCCTGGACCTCCAGAATCCAGCCTCCGTTCTATTAAGGAACGGAGAACTACGGCTCCGGACCCCCCCCCCCCCCCCTACCCTCTCCCACCTATGTCGGTTTTAAGTCAGAAAAATGGACCGAATCAAACGAAAAGGAGCCACGTCATATTTTGGAAAAATATAAGCCGATTGATTTGAGCTTAACCCCACGGTGTCTTATTATCAAGCCTGGAAAAAACGAAACCCATCGAGAAACAAAAAATTCCCGGGAAAGGCGGGGAATTCATTTGAAAAATAAAATTAGACAGCGAACTATCTTGTAAATAGCAGATAACGCTGTCTCGTGTTACAAAAGTAAGAAGTGAGTCCAAAAATGAAGGTTTGAAAAAATTGGCCCACCGGGAAATTTCGTTGAAGCAGTTCTCCGCTTTTTGTCAAATAATTTTCATTGAATTTCTAAAAACGATTGTAAATCGTTCGTAACGTGTAATCGTAACGAGTAAATAATTGAAACATTTTCGTCGTGACTGTAAAGAAAGGAGCTTATTCATCATTTCTGGATGAATGCTTGATTAGGTACGTTTCAAACCAATCACCAAAAACTTTTAAAATTAGATGTTGGCAGGAAAGGGTGCTATTTTGCAGCATAGTACGAACACAGTAAGTACAGCTCTCTCGCGGAATAATGCGGACTTACCGCTGCTCTGTCAGAAATTACGGCAATTTCTGAGCAGTTACCGCTCTTCGACAATCCTCGTAATGGTGAGAAGGGCAAATACTGCCGTTTAAACGGAATCACTCAGCTCATTCGAATGAGATCGGTTTGAAAAAACTCGATTTCGGAAATTCGGTCTTCACAGTTCTATTCGGCAACATTGTTGGATGGTACCGCGACCGCGGTTAATTCGAGTCGCGGATATTCGAGACTCAATGTTTGAAAAAACTCGATTTCGGAAATTCGGTCTTCACAGTTCTATTCGGCAAAATTGTTGGGTGGTACCGCGACCGCGGTTAATTCGAGTCGCGGATATTCGAGGCTCAATGTTTGAAATAACTCGATTTCGGAAATTCGGTCTTCACGGTGCTATTCGGCAACACTGTTGGATGGTACCGCGACCGCGGTTAATTCGAGTCGCGGTTACTCGAGGCTCAATGTTTGAAATAACTCGATTTCGGAAATTCGGTCTTCATGGTGCTATTCGGCAACACTGTTGGATGGTACCGCGACCGCGGTTAATTCGAGTCGCGGATATTCGAGACTCAATGTTTCATTGAGGAGGGATAAATCTTGCTCGCATAATTGTCAACACATAATGTTTCAATTTTTTCTGTATTTTCTTTCGTCACACCTTTTGTTTTACACTATCTCTAATCAGTCTATTCGTTGCCCTTTCTCTGTTTCAGTTCATCGCAAGAAGAGCTACCCTCACACACATGTGCCTCTCAAAGCAATCCACTCTCGCTCGATGAAAAAGCGCTCCTCTGTGCCGGGGAGAGATAGCTCAGAGAGTAACGAAGTAAGTGAACACCCGTCTCTTTTAAACAACTATTTCAATGGCTGAAATTGAGAAATGCGTTTCTTTGATGGGCCAGTGGCACTCATTTTTTTAATATATTTCCTGAAAGTACGGAGTAATCTAAGCTGCCAGGAATTTTGTTAGATGTTTTTAAACCCTAAATGGCAAAGAAACTTCGTTTTGAAAATGCCAAAAGAAGGACCCGTTTGAAACGACATTTTGGGCGGGCGCTGATGACGAAGCCAGGCGGGGTACGGCATTTGATGATTTTCGGGTCATTTTTCCATAGCCGAACAGCCGATCATATTTCCGGAGGGGAATGGATAATTTTTTCCTTACAACCAACCAAATTCAGTGAACTTTCTGTTGGAATTTTTTTGAAAGTCCGTGAGCACAAAAATGTATTTTTTGTGGCAATGTTGAAACATTGTAATGGTTTAACTCACTCATGTTAAAAATCAATTGAATTATTCTTTTGAGCAATAGAAAGGTTCTTTATTGGAAACGCCAACTCCGATTTTTGATCAAACATTACAAACATCGCGTTTTTAAAAATTTGGCACCTTGAGTCAAAATCCCTTTTTCTGGGAACGATCACGTACGTATTCATTCTTTTTCGGTCTTGGAATCTTTAACTCTCTGTGGCATGAAATAATTTTGGATTTCAGAGTCTAGGGGACACTAATCTATTTTGTAGCTTGCATAAAAAAATAGAGTACCAAAACTTTCAAAATTTTAAATTTAAGGGAGTCAATTTTTCAAAAAAAAAAAAGAAACTAACGAAATTTTGCAAACTCATTTCAGATTCGATTTTTAAAAACCCCAAAAACACGTTGTTACGAATTCGTAACGCTATGCCATAGAGTGTTAGAAAATGGTACTTTTAAGATGAGCCTGAAGAATGTGAACTGAAACTTTGATCATTTTTTCTAGGTTAGCAGCGGAGATGCCCAGAAACGTTCTCCATCCTTATCAGAGAAGGGAGTAAGTGAAGCAGTGGCAGAGAATGGAGGTGAGATCTCTGTCGGACAATCAATTCCAGCGCAAGATTCCTTTGATGACAGTAGTCAAGCGCCCAAGCCTTCGATTCCACCAACACCACCTCCTGTAGATTTTAAAACTAGCAACCAAGCGCTCAACGAAGGCAGTTCTTCACCAGCAGGGTAAGGTCCTTCCCATTTCTGTGAAAAAATTAGCCGAAGACTTTTGGATGAATTATTTGATTGGAGACTTAATAAAGGATAAATTTTGCATTTCCAAATATTCAGCTAATCTTAAAATTTCGTCAGGGGATCAGCTATGTTCAACGTTTGAAAAATGTATGCAAGAGTTTATAAAGTCTTTTAACTTACACACTATTTGCTTGTTTTAGTGTTCTCCTGGGAAGGAGGGAGGGGGAGGGTGGATTATAGATTTTTTGATGAATAGCATGGCTTTATAGTTGAAATTTTCATTTTATTATTGCTCCCAACATTTCACTGATCCAAAAAAAGATTAGTTAACGTGCAAATAGAAATGAAATCATTGAAGTAAACCTCAAAACGGTCTGTCACTTTTATCGTTGTTGCATTTTCTGTAAGTACCAATTTTCCCCTATGAATCCTGATGGGTGAGAACACATTATTTATGCATAACTAAGCAGAACTTTTTTCTCATGTTTAACCCAATTTTCATTTGTGTCTCTTTTTAAAGTTACCTACTTAATTTAATTGAAAATTTGTTCGTATCTATAGGTGTCAGATTTCAAGTCCTGATTGTGAAGAAAGTTCAACAAGAGATGTATTGTTCAGTAGTGGCAGTGAGCCACAAATCTCAGAACGAGCTGCCACCTTGCCTGACGCCTCAATTTTGAGTAGTTCTCCTGACAGGCGGGTCCAGTTTGAAATAGGTACTGAACTTTACAACCACGTTATTTTCAAGGAATCCCCTATAAAACCACTAAATTTTGAGAACATAAGTTGTCACGAGTGCATTACTTCAGCTGTCTAAGAAAAGCAATGATGACAAATAACTAAAGCACTCATCAATATTACCTGTATAAAACTACAATTACCTATTATAAAACAGGCTGAATACCACATAGAAAGAAAACCTGAAACGTTTTACCAAAAGTTCCATTGCATTGCCAGCCTTAAAAAAAATTTACGAAGAAAGTGAAAATTATAAAAATTGGAAAAAATTGTCTGTCGATTGGAGGCGATCCACTAATTTAAGGAGGAAAGTTCAGTCTGCACTATGTCTTTTTTTAAGCTTTATTGTTTACAGTCAATAGCAGAATGATTTCTGTCGAAAGTTTTTTGAAGGAATCAAGGCTACCTAACAACATACCACTAACAATGATACAAGATTTGCTTATCAGGAAAGCTGCATTTGAAGCTTGGTAGTGGAAATTATGTAGTATGATATAGCAAATATCTAATCTCCTTTCCTTATCATATCCCCTATAATTCTTCGAACCATTATTTTTTGTAGATGGAATTGAGGAAGAACATGGAACTCAATTAATACCTCTAGTTGAAAGGAAAACTACAACAGGTGATGCTGAGGATTCGCCACAAGACAGTGATAAAAGGTCAAAACGGAGACACAGGTAGTTAACCAATCTTGTACTTGTAATTTAATTATGAACTGTCATGGTTGATTGTTCGAACTGTCTAGTTAGAGATAGTAATTCTGCCATCATGCCTTTTGCTTACTAGATGGTAGTATTTGCCTATCAGTTGGTGCTGCATATCTTGGTGTGAAGATAATCAGGAGGTTGTGCCTGGACGTTGTGCTGAATACTTAAAACTTCCTGCTTACTAAGTCTTATTACTTTACTTATGGCATGTGATTGAAAAATTGATAAATCACAAAAAACGAGGGCTTCACATTCTTAGAATTCAATTGTGTTTAACGGTTTTTAACCTTGAGCATCTCATTTCTAAGTATGTGAAATCATGTTCGTTTAATTACAGTTGGGTTTGGTTTTTCTTTTTCTTTTGTTTGTTTGTTTGTTTGTTTGTTTGTTTGTTTGTTTGTTTGTGCAGTAATGATCTCAAACAACAAAAGTAGTTGCCAAATGAATAAAGGAAGTACTATGAACATGGTAATTGATTAGAAAATCGAGCTACAAGCCGAAAACAGCATTATTTTTGGCTTGTAGCTTGATTTTCTAATCAATTATTATGTTCTATCCTACTTAGCCAGCCAAATTTGGCAATAAAATGTAAGTAATATGGCAGTAACATTGAAGAAAATTATAATATGTCTGATTCTGAACAAAACTTTAGTCAAAGTGGGCTTAAAAAAAAAGTTGACCTCGAAAGCTCAATTTTCATTCGTGTCAACTTTTTTGAGCTGCGAGACTCAATGTAATTTTCAATTTTAATCTCGTCTTCCTCAAAATCCGGAAAAAAGTGTTAATTACCCCCTTTTTTATTTAATCACATCATCAAATAATATGCAACTATTATTAAGCCTTGAATTTGCGTTTAGTATCTATATCTCTTGTAATAGGGACGCACCCAGTTAACTCTTTGTCAGTTCCAATATAATAATCATTATTTTGTTTTTTTGTTCTTTTTTCTCAGTGGTAGACACTACTATCACCATAAATCAAGGAAGCACAGTACCTCTGAAGATCCTAAAAAGAGAAAACGATCAGGCGCCGAGTATTTAGATAAAGAATGTTACAATGCTTTAATTGCTCAAATTGAAGAAGACACTCTTCTTCAGGACATCGATCGGGAGGAACTTGCCAGTAAGACCATTTCCATTTGATTATTTAGCTGTCTCTCATTTGACAACTTATCAGAAAATACTTCACCGGTTATATTAGAACAAAGACAGCAATTTTTGGAGATTTTTCTTGATCCTGTGAATTAACCTTTTATCACCACGATCGTAGCACCTGCATTTATGGCAAAAGTATACTGCCCTTCCAGCAGTATTTCCGTCATTACTCCGCAACCTTTTCATAGAAGTATTCACTTTTGTCACTCTATTTGTCTAGGAGGACCTAAACTATTTTAGACGTATTTCTATCAAACGGAACTAAGCGCCAATTTGAGTTCCTTTTGAGGAATTTAGAATGCCGGATACCGTGTTCATTCAAACGGATCTAAGCGCCATGGAAAAGCATTGCGAGTATAGGACGGAATAAGCCGGACGCCCGATTTTGCCGCCAATCCAAGCCCTCCTCTACCTTCCTCACCATATGGCGCTTAGGTCCGTTTGATAAAAATACGTCCATTTTAGATACTTCTTGACAGAATGTGCTCTAATTTGTTTGCATGACAAATTGATTTCTGTTGTGGGGGATGTGGACGCAGAATCTAGCCTGGTAATGAAAGGATTAAACAGCTAGGATGTATACACCAAAACAGGCAGTATGCTAATACTTATTTATTGAGCATCATTAAGCCCTTTTTCAGTCATTTTAATGTAGCTGGATTCATTCATAATTTAAGAGCCTTCATCTTTTAATACAACAAATGCTTCCATCAAACTGACATTATTTTATTTGTATTTTTTCTTTTTTCAAATTTTTTTCTTCTAAGCAGGGTATGATGAAGTATATATTCCAATAATTTAGAATCTGTTAAAAATTTTCATATTTTCCATCCTCTTTTACAGGGCATCGTTATGACATCGCCAAAGGCAAAAGGAGATATAGTACAAAAACGAAAAATCAAATACCACCACACGATGCACTTGCAACCATTAGTCGGTTTCCTTATCAAGTTTATAAAAAGTTCTTCGACCACAGCCCTCATGAGGTGTGTATACATAAAAATTGTTCTCTGTTATTCTAATTTTATAATTTCTCCTTGAAAGGTATCACAAAGAGAGGGCAACCTGGACATTTCTGGAAGACAGTGAGCTTCAAGTACAGTTCAATTTTTTTTAAATTTAATTTTTCAAGTTCAAAGTTAATTTGCATAGTAAGCCTCCATGAAATTTTACAATTCTGAGCAGGAATTTTTTCCCTAAGATTTTTAAAATTTCTACTTCCTTATCCATGATCCTCTTTAATTAGATTCACTGTGAATTATAAAACTTCAAAAGAGTCACGTAAATGAAACAGTTGCATGAAATCTGATAAGAGAAAAAAGAAATTCTATTCTACTGTATTCTATTCTAAAATTTACGATAGAGAATTCTCTATTAAGTTAATACTATTATCCACCCAAACTTTTGTTTTACTAAAACAATTTCTCTTCCCTAAACAAAGATTCTTGTGTTTATTTTTCAAGATATTTGTACAATTGGATGAGCTTTGTGGAACAGGCGAAGATCGTGAGTGGAAAGAAACCGCCCGATGGATCAAATATGAAGAAGATGTCGAAGAGGGTGCTGAGAGGTGGGGTCAGCCTCACGTAGCATCTCTCAGCTTCCATTCCTTACTTAATTTAAGACGATGCCTTGAAACAGGTGACTTTCATCTCTACTTTCTCCAATAATTTATGAAATTATGTAGTAGTTTCATAGAGTACATAAAGTCGTAATGTAAGTGGGAGAGCTGGCGCCACTTTTAAGCATTTTCCATGTCCCGAATTCGGAGACTCCTGTGTGACGCCGGGTCACTTTTTCGATACATAATCGATTGTTTGCGATACACGGGTACCCGGCCATCCGATGACAACAACAACAACAACAAAGGAGATAGTAATTACCACGTATTCCACACTGCCATTTTGAATCGAAAATGTATCGAAAAAGCGACCCGAACTCGGCGCACACTGGGCTCGGAATTCGTTGAGCAGAACATGGCGCCAGCTCTCCCACTTACATTACGACTCTATTTACTCTATGAGTAGTTTTCGCCTTGTGTTTCAGCTTTAAAACTATAAAATCTAGACTTAAATTTTCAGATGTTCCTTGAAGTTTTTTAGTTTTCTCTAAAAAAGTTTGAAAGATGGTTGGAGTTGCACATATTTTGCGAGAACAACTCCCCTGTGTGGCAAAAAACAATATGCAAGCTGTCTAGTTCATTTTTGTGTCCATAGGTTGTGTAGAATTTCATTCTATCAGGACTGTGTAGAAATAGAAACTTAGCAGATCAAAACTTTAATCAGCTCTTCTAAAGAGTATATTGTTTGAATGCAAACCTCAGTGCGTTGTAATACGGACTTGTTCAAAGTTTTTGAATATCCTGTGCTGAAAATATTTTTAAAGCATTCCTCTCTTAACTAACTGGTAGTGATGTCTCTTTTTTGAGATGTTTTATAACAAGATTCCCTCATTTTGATTTCCCCTTCTATCATTTTGTCAAAGTATTCTTGTGGTGAAAAAATACATTTTCATTTTTAGGTGTGGTGCTATTAGATTTAGAAGAAAAAGATTTACCCGGTGTAGCTTACCGGGTAGTCGAAAAAATGGTGACTGCCGAATTAATTAATCCAGGGGACCATACAAAAGTAATGCGAGCTTTACTCTTACGACATCGACATGTAGAAAATCATGATCGGTTCAAATTCAGTGTGCGACGAAATAATTCCAGTTACACAAGTTTACAGGTATGTACATTATTAAGTCAAGTTCTATTTAATGAAATTAAATTAGCTCTCCTAATCTTCATTACTGTATCAGTATCTGATTTCCTCGTTGATCTTTGAATTAAATTCGTCTCATTCAGTTCTAAGCTCGCTTCTCAATGTATAAACGTGCAGGCTCTACCTCCAGCATTAGTTACACTTGATGATATCTCACACCCCCTTAAGTATCTGAGGGGGGAAAGGAGGGTGCGAAAATAAAATTTTTCATAAAAAATCTTTTTTGAAAAGAGGAGAAGAAAAGTAGAAAATATTCGTAGTTACTTTCCCTCTCTAATCACGCAAAGCTATTTTATCAGTTGTTTATCATGACCTAGTTTTCCACATTTATATTCAAATTGCAAATTGTTCTAAAGGTATTTGCAGTATTTCCTGAACTTAAAAATGTAATTGTGGTAGGTATGTAAGTTAACTTTAATTCCCTGTATGTATTTTCCTTAGAATCATCCTTCAACTTCTTAGGAAAGCTTTTGCACAGGAAAGCAAAATAAATTGTTTTCACTCCCTCCGTATTTCTAAGATCGGGAACCATTAAATCTTTAGTGTGAGATCTCAAGCGAATAATCTGTAGTGTTTGGATTTCTAAACCTAATTTTTCTGAAAGATAAAGGAGAATTTGATATAAAAGGAAATGAGTAAAATTTTACTGCATATCATATTGTATCAAAAGGCTGATGTATACTTAATAATTTCTCTGCCGAGACCAAAGTTTTTCTCTTTTTATATTGCTTCTGTTCCGTTTATGGCTCATCAGAGAAAGTCATCTAATGTAATAGAGAATAAAGGAAGTTACTTTCTATTGCAGTGTATGCTTTCAGGTTTAGCTTTTTACCAGAAACCGTGAAAATAATAAAAAAAATATTAAGCTTCTTGATTTTGTCTATGCACTGCTTTAATCTCGTCAAAGATAATATCAAAATATGCCGCTTTTTCAAACCTTTTTTAATGATTAGACTGGCTTAGTGTTTATTCGTGAGTTAAAATTTCCAGTAAGACTGTAATACTTACTGTAAGACTAGGAAGACCGTATGCTACTGTATGCTCTGCCAGGAGATAATTCTGGAACAATTTAGAAACCTACATATATCAGTCGATTTTCTCTACTCCTCGCTGTGTTTTCTCACACTGTACATATTGAACTGTGCATTGATGCACTTTACACTCAAGCAACTTCAAGCAAATTTAATTTTACCACTTTGGCGCTGTTATATTGCTAAAGAAAGATTCCAAACCTAGCAGTGAAAGAAATCTAATCCTCAGATCACTTTGAATTGTATTATGTCAGTGATAATGCAGAATATAACTGAGATTGCTAATATATTTGTTGGGCAGTCTGAAGAAGGAGCAGGTTCTCTGGATGAAGTCTCGATTCATCTGAAAAATAACGTAATCCTCAATTTGTTTTCTTCTTTTGTTCCCGCCGGACATGTCTGCATTGTTCCGTAGTTTCAGTCCCTCCCTCATTTTGCCTCCTCTAGTTTTTAGATAGTTTAGCAGTTGAAAGTTAAATTGCAGCTCTCCTTTTTGCTTTCAAATCTTTTGTCTTGAAATGTACCCCCCTTCCCCTCAAAAAAATATTCAACTGAATTTTACAATCTCTCTTTCTTGATCACTAACATTCTTATGATTCTTCATAAATTTATTTCTGAAAAGTTGTTGCCAACAGTCTAATAAAAAGCTGAAATATTGCTCTCTCAGAAGCATCAGTTACAATCACCAGGGGCACCTCCCTCGCTGCTATGTGGCTCAAGTTCTAACAGGTACTCTGTGTCCTTCAGAGGCGGCCGTTTGGCAACAGAAACCTGTGTCATGACTTAAAAATTCAATGACAGCAGGCTCATTCAAAGTTTATTACCTGCCGGTGATCAAAAATCTTGAAAATTGGCCTTCTAGATCTCTGGACATGGTCAAACTAGCAAGAGTTTATAGTATTAAAATGAATACTGGGATTTTTCAATGCAGAGAAGTCTCTTCATAAAAGCACTATTCCATAGTTGTTAGAAACAAACATGCAATACAAGACAAAACTCCTCGTTTACTCTCCACCTAAAAATGCCATTGCGCTTTTAGAATGACTAGAAAAAGGCTCCAGTACTGTTCTTTCAAGCAGCCTGTTTAGAGTTTGAAAATAACCCTGTAATACTCCTTACTATGCTTGCTCAATTTACACATTTTATAATATTTTTATCTTTATTTCTGCATTGTGATGGTAGACACACTTCCTTTTTTCATCAAAGCACATTAGCCATAAATGTTAACTGATTTTTAGAGAAATTCCATTGACCTTAGTTATTCCCATTAGCTGCTCTCAGTGCATTTTTGCAACCAATTTTCAATAGGCCCCTAGGCAAGTTCTAAATTAAAAACAAACAACTCATGTGTCTCGTTTACCCTGCGAAATTTCAATAAGACAACGTGTTGCTAAGTGCTTTAATTTACACCGTGTCTAGAGGTCCATTTCGCTAAGGGAACATTCCTCACTACTTTTTTTTTCGCCTGATGAAAAATGCATGACACTAAGTAGAATAGTCATAAGATTAAGGCTAAATGACAGCTTTCCAATGAGAATAATATAATGGACTACCGTTAAAAGTATGTACAACTTTTTCCTGTGTTATTTAAAGAAACTTTCTTACAAAAAGCTCTTATGCACCTCATGCTATCTTACAGTGCTCTTTGGTCTTTGACTTGCCATCTTGTGCCCTATTGACTGCCGTGGTACTTTGCCATTACTGACGATAGCTCAACTGGCTGCAGGTTGTGTATCCTAAGTTAGGTACCATGATTTACACAACTGGTAACTTCCAATACTATTTTCACTGGATTCAAACAAAACTATTTGCAAAGCAGATAAATTTTAAGAAAAAATTCTAGGTAGTATGGATCATACAAAATGCACATTTTACGTTTTTTTATAGCTCCTTTTACTTAAATTAGGTATACAAAGTGTCAACAAATTATAATAAATCTAGCTCGTCTTAATAAACGAGTCATACATATCTTCGTTCAGTCGATATCAAACACTCATTGAGGAAATCTGTATCAGTTCGTAAGATATAGTCATAGTTTCCTTACATCATGCTTTCAGCTGCCTGAAATATTCTAGTATTTTGATTTTGTTTCTTTTTTCCTTTTTTCGTATTTCTTGCTTTCTCCCTCTCTTAATGTCTAATTCAAGAGTGATGACATGCATGTTAGCAATGAAGTAAGCCAGCAAAAATATTTTGTTTTATAGTTTTTTTTTTACTTTTATGACCACCAATTCTTATGAATCTCTCATACCAATAGAGTCGCCGTGAGACTGTTTCCTCAGGCATATGATTTGCCTAATCATTTGTAATCCTTACCTTCCCATCAGTTGAATTACATTTTGCAATATAGAACCGCCATTTCCAGCTACGTATTCAAGCACCCATCTGCAAAGGTTAATTAATAGCACATACATTGTCTCTACAATGAGCCATAAATATTGGTGCCTTATTGCAAAATATAGTTCAGTTATTTTTCAACCATCTGCTCAGCTCAACGGAAGTCACAATAAAGGAAGCATTCTGATTTTTTCAAATGACTAAGGTACCAACTAAATTCTAATTCTAATTCTGAGCACTTTGAGATTTTAGAATCGAATCATCTATGTACCTATCTTGCGAAAAGCGAGGGTTATAAGTGAATTTTTTAGCATTTTAAATGGAATATTCAGTAGAACTGTTGCAACATCTGATTGGTGATGAAGTAGAGCTTTTGTTACCTCACTGGACGGGAGGACAAAACAGACAAAAAGAATCGAATTCCTCCAAATGATAGCAGCAAGCGGCACAGTGTCCACACATACATAATGACAGTCTTTTCTTCCATCAGAAAACATGCGTAAGGAGGCCACAAAATTCACTTTTAAACCCTGCTTTCTTGAAATCTGCGTATAGAAAGTTCAATTTTAAAAGCTCATTGTGCTCAAAAGGTTTTAAGGAACATCATATCAAATAAAATCGAAATTTAACAGGAGCCAAATTTCTTGGTATTGCAAGTGTGGTCTTTCACCAGTATGTTTCCCATTGCCTTTCTTGAATCATGGATTTAAAATTTTGTTGGATTTTTCATCGATGTAAAGTAGATGGCTAAGGAACAATATGGTCCATCTGCAAACCGACAATTTTACAGGATGAAGAAAAAACTTTGCCATTTTTGTAACTTTGAAGTTAGGTTTACCTTCTTAAGTTTATACATTGTCCATGTATGTAATCCCCCATGTGGAATCGAAAAAAGCAATAACATTAGGTTGCAAATGCAATTTAGAATTCGGCAAAGTGGCAAACTCATTTTTGCCAAGATTTTCAGTCAGATGGTAATGCTCCTTATCCTGACAAAATGGACAAAAAGTGAGTGAAGCTGATCTGAATACAACCTCAGTTGGTTTGGAGAACAAGTTTGACAGCAAAACTCCCTCCCAAAAACAGTGAAGAATAAATTCATAATTCTCAAGTCATAAATATTTGTGCAAAAGTATACATGTGAGCACTATAGTTGGAGCTTATTTTTGTTTATTTTTCTTCTTCTTTTCTTTTTCCCTAAAAATTGTGAAAAAGATTTGTCTCACCTTATTTGCTATTCCCAGCCCGCTCGAGTTACCTTAGGCTCATTTCTCTGAAGTAAAAATCCATGGAATGAGTGTTCGAATAGGTTTGCGCTGATAGTCCTTAACATTGCATGCGTTTATTTTTTAAACCTACTCATGAGATGATTAGAAAGTAATTTCCACTCCATTTAATTTAGACCTCTTTTGTAAGTTCTAAACCGCTCGGTTGAATCATAGCCTTTTTTTTACAAAGAATAAGAAAAATAACATTAATGCTATAAAAAATATAAATTCATATGTAAGCCATTGCTGCAAAGATCATCATGTTTTTATCCATTATGGGTGAAATATTTTGAGCAACTGAAGTTTTAAAAATTATTTTGCTATTATTATATTAATAAATTGTCATAATTTTAGAATTAAAAAAGTGAAATTGACTGGTTTTTCTTTTTTGTAAAAAAGGGATGAAGTAGAAATGTTTGATACCATAATTTTAGCTGTTAGCCTGAGCACCACCCTTTAGTCTAAATTTCTGCAGGTCTTTTAAACTCTCTCATGCAATACCTTTTAGGGTTGAAAATCTTTAATTTCTAGATAAATTAACCAGCAATAGAAAGAAAAAATCAAGTTGATTAAAATTTAATTTTTGAGGCACAATTTATAATATTAAAAGATTTGAAAATCAGCGTTTGTTACCTCCCAATTTACTTTATGGGAACAGGTCCAAGCACGTGATTCAAGGGAATTAACACTATGCGATATAATCATAGTATGTTTTTAATTATTTTAATTATGCTGTGATTTTTGGTGTTCACAGAATATTCATGAAGACAGTAAACACAAAATCAAAGTCATACCCTCAGCATCTAATTTGGAAGTTTCAACCGTTTCAAAAGTGACACAAGATGCCGAAAATAAAAATGGCCTTACCCACCATGCTGTAAGTGCCGTACATAAAATCTTAATGCTTTGTTCACCTCTGCACGAAGCTCTTACTGTATTGTAGTTCATAAAATTTACTACTTTTTCTCTGAACATCGTTTTTAGGATTAATATTGCCAAAATTTTAAACATAATCTCTGCATGTTGCACAATCAGACAAGAAATGAAATTATACAGCAGAACACATGTTTTCTCAGCAAAATCTGTCAATAAAATATGATAGTTGCAATGAAAATTCTAAATTTATTTTTATTATTGAAAAATTGTATTAATGTACTCAGTATTCATCAATTTATTTATGTTACGAAAGCAAATATTCCCTTGAATGAAATTCGAGTAAAACTGTTGACAGTATGCTTTACGTTACAAGAACTTCCTCATTTTTCAATAAGCTTTCAAAACTGTCTATTCTGCCTAGTTGTGTTCCAATTTGAACATTTATTAACTTCTTTTTTCTTCCTCTTCTTCATAGATTGATATGAAAGAGGAAACTACCTATATGTCATCAAGTGAGGATTTGTCCCGCAAAGCACAGAAGGAAAGCATTTTAAAAAGGATTCCTGTTGATGCAGAAGCCACAACTGTTCTTGTTGGTGCGGTTGACTTTTTGGAACAACCGACTATTGCTTTTGTCAGATTGGCTGAAGGTATTTTGTTACCTTCCATAACTGAGGTGAGTTTCTCAGCAAGTGCTTACAATTAGACACATCTTGCTTCCCTCCTGCAATTGAGTGATTTCACATAACGGATTCTAACCTTTGCATATTTTCCATCCATGAAATCCATTTTATTAGAAATTCTAAGACAGAGAAGTACTCAAAAAGACAGCATTTAGTAAGAGAGAACCATGAAGGAATAATAAGTTTGATAAATTTGAGCTTGTCTAAGAAGGAACACATTATTGCCTAAGGAAAGATTTGAGTCGCTCCTCTTTTTGTTGACGGCTGTCCTCTTTATTAATCTTCTTAGTATTTCTGATTTTAATGTTATTATTTTATTTTTTTCACCTCCTGCAAGGTTAAGTTTAAAAAAAACTGTAAAAAGGAAGAAGAAGAATAGCCATCTGATATGACTTCACATCTTGTATTAATATTTTACTTCACCCTTAGGTACTCCTAGGTTACTTGACTCCTTTGTAGTTACACCTTTCCTAACCGAGAGAGGTGTAATAAGCTTCTGCTGAAAACATAAAATATTACCTAAATGATCATAAAGAGTTTTACGTTACTAGTAACAATACAATATAACTTGCAAATCAAAATCCGCATCAAAGATGCTCACTCACATATTTTCCATTCTCTAATTGTGGTTGCAGCATCATTTTTTTTTTTTTCTTTTTTTTTTTTTTACTGTTTTGTATTGAAGTTAAAACGTTTTCCCTCCCTACATTTCAGGTAACGATACCTGTGAGATTCATGTTCATTCTACTAGGACCTCCAGATGCTGAGTTAGATTACCATGAAATAGGTCGCTCTATCTCCACACTGATGTCTAATGTTGTGAGTATTTAACTTTTCATAAAGGTGTCATTAATTTTTTAAGAATCAAGCAGGGTTCAACACATCTGAAAACTTAGAAAAACCCAGGAATTTGGGGTAGACTCAGGAGATCCAGCAAGATAACTTTCCCTCAACTGTCCACGACTGTGCCAAAATTGTAAAGACTTAGTTTTTTATTATTTTCTCAGGCATCATTCATATTTTTTGCTTCGGGCTCTTTCTCACTACCCTTGCATTTTGACAATTTAAGTATGTTTTTAACTTGAAAATTTTGACTTTAACATATGGAGAGCAAAAATTATGAAAACGGTTGACCGTACGGTGGTTTCTAATTAAAAGTTTGGAAAAATAATTTTCTGGAAGGTCATTAAATTCAAATGATTATGTGACCAATAATCTTCTTCAGAACCATGTCGTGTCTCTTATTAACAAAATGATTTAATATAATATATGAATAATAATATATAATATATAATATAATTTACATATATATATATACATACTATCCGCTTTTCTGTGTGATTTCATCAAGCTACAACCAATAGTGCTCATTCTTGTGAAACTCTGTTATATTGACGGTTTGGTTTTTTTCTGTTTTTTCCAGGAGTTTCATAAATCAGCTTACAAAGCTACTGAAAGGAAAGATCTTTTAAGTGCTATTAATGAATTTCTAGATTGTAGTATTGTACTGCCTCCAGGAGACTGGGAAAGACAAGCTCTTCTTCCCTTCAGAGAACTTAAAGCAAAAAGTGAAGCAATTCGACGAAGACAAATCCGAGCCAAAGTAAAGCACGAAACACAAAAAGGTAATTTCTATTTTCTAATCTTAGTTAAGTATAATTGCAAAAGACTCCATCCTTAAGTAATGAGGATTGAAACTGTATAATGTGTGCAGAATGGGCACTGAGAAGTGGATTTTAGACTTTTTTTCATGTACCCATTGTTCTGCAACTTTTCCTATAGATAGTCTATTCTATGGACTGTATTTTTTTGCGTGTAATAGAACCATTCTTTGTCATTTTTAAACATACACTGATCAGAGCCACGAATGTGATTTATGAGACGCAAAGGAAGTATCTGTGAATCTGAACTATTTCTTACATTTTACTTGGTGTTTAATATACTTGAACAAATGATACTTATTGTTAGTAGAAAAACTTACTTTCAACCCCCATCAGATCTAAAATTTAACTTATACTGAATAAAAAAATGTTTTAAAAAAATATTTCAGAAACATGAATGTTGATGATAAATCTCACTCCAGACCCCATCTCAAATGTACGCATTATTGCAAATAAAGAATCAATTGTTTTTAATTTGTTCAATGTGTCCATAGCTTTAGCCTCACCAGGAGATGGAGGAAAAAAACCACCAATTGACCCATTGCAGCGAACTAAGAGGCCTTTTGGTGGATTGTTCAACGACATGAAAAGAAGATTTCCTCTCTATGCCTCCGACTTTAAAGATGGTCTGAATTTGCAGTGTTTAGCTGCTGCTATTTTCATGTACTTCGCTGCTCTGTCTGGTGCCATAGCTTTTGGTGGTCTTTTAGGTAACGATTTTGAAAACAGATTTGTGCTAATTCTAGACCTCAGTTCAAGTTTGTAAGGTTTTCATGTCTTGGGACTGATCCCTCAGATTGAAATGGAATCTTATCTCATTTGAATCATTCATTCATTTGAACATATTTTGAACGGAAAATTCATTCAAAACCATCATATTTGTAATAAATTATTCTTGTTGGTAAAATTTGTCTCCTTTGAGGTACTAAAGGTAACTAAAGGTACTAAGAGGTAAATAAGTTAGCTGACTTAATGAAAAGCGGTTTTTTAGGAAATAATTGAATTTTCATTTGGCTTTTTCTCCAATTAAATGAATTCTTTTTATATATACAATAGAAAATTGGCCAAGCTTGTGTTTAATGGTTACAAACAGAGCCTTCAATTGCATTTTTCAGCCTTTTTTCGGTCGTTTTGCTGAAACAACTTTTTTGATATCCGATGCAGCTTTCGTTACCAATTGTCGGATGATTGAGACACTATTGCATTTAAAAGTACTTTTTTGCATACTGTCCTGTTCCAACAAGAAAAACACTGTATAACTTTTTATCTGGAGCTTGTGATGTTTTTATGAACAAAGTATCCAAGCATGATGAAATTCAACAAGTGCTCAATCATAATTTACACATGCCTTTCATTTTCTTCCATCGATTATTGAAACTAATTGGTTTAATTCACTCTTTCAGCTGACAAAACAAGCAATCTCATGGGAATATCTGAAACCTTGGTATCCACTGCCATTATGGGCGTCATATTCGCTCTTTTCGCTGGCCAGCCACTGGTTATCATCGGCACAACAGGGCCATTATTGTTGTTTGATGAGAGCCTTTTTAGTGTAAGTTAGAATATCAAAATATCGGTCAGTATTATTGTAACCAGAATGAATAATTAAAAATCTATTCCGACAAATTCAATCAGAAATAGCTGAAAAATTCAAATGCTCAGTCCCTATCGTAGAAAATCCATATTTGATTAACTGCATTATGAGTGATTCCAGTTAAACCCCAAAAATTTTGTTCTCAACTTGTTTTTTAATACAAAAAACCTAAGTCAAAACTTATTCAAATTGGTGCACTGTACTGTAATAGTGTGTGCATAGGTCTGAAAACCGGAAATTGTCACGGAATTTCATCAGGACAGGGAAATCGGGGAAAAGTTGAGGAATTTTATGAAAAAGACAGGAAATTTGAAAAATCGAAATCAGAAAAACATCAGCGCTATCCACAAAATCAAACTGAGTCTTAATTTAGGTCAGGGTTCTGTGCTCTGAGCCACTTTCTGAATAGTGGATAAAGAATTGAAATTTTATTTAATTGAATGACTAATACTTGAAGAAAAGAAATTCAAATGTCTTTGTCATTTGTACTGGAATTAAATTTCTGGATGTCTCAAAAAGTTCTCTCTCCAGCGTTTTTGTCTGGCGCCTTTTCTCATTCTATAGCTTTCTTTTATCTCTGTTTCAGTTTTGCAAAAAAAATAATGTGGAATTCTTAACTATGAGAGTTTACATCGGGTTTTGGCTGGGCGTAATAGCTTTGCTGGTGGCAGCTGTCGAGGGCAGTGTTTTTGTCAAAGTCTTCACACGCTTTTCTGAAGAAATTTTCTCTTCTCTCATCTCATTACTGTATATTCACGAAAGTCTTTTAAAAATACTAGCAGTAAGTTTCCTCTTTGTTAATAATTCAACATTTACGTAACAGAAAATATATCTCTGAACAAGTTAATATCGCATGAAAATTTTATGAAAAGCTGTGACTGTGATCAGTCAAAGTGCGTCTTAAATTGAGTCAACTCTCAATTTCTATGTATTCAAACAAAAAAGAAAGAACCAACAACAAGAGTAAAATGAGAGATACGTCTCTCATTTGATGATCAATGATCAATAATTATTCTGTGAATTTTTTTATGACAGGAAAAAATACATCCTTCCAAGGTCGAATGCCACTTATTTGTAAGTAAAAGCAACAAAACATGAGAGTATAAGGGCTGTTCTTCCTTAGTACCTTCTCTAAGCTGCAGAGAGAATTCCTTTAACTCGCAGAATCTCTAAGATTACTGGATCCATTATTTAATTGGCTCTCGTGCGTCTCTTTGGGAGTTCTTAAGCAGCTTTTTAGTTGATTTTCATGTTAAATGTATAATACAGGTATTTCACTCTGTTTCAGTTGTTTTATCTTCACCCCCTTTTGACCTTGGATAGTTACTGTGCCAAATCCACCCACAGCATTATCACCAGGTCTGCACCGTATCTTGCACCTTCTAATAATTCCTCATCACAGTAAGTATAATTTGTGTTTTCATTTATCACTTCCTTTGTTCTAGTCCATCAATAAATCAATTAATTTCATCAATAAAAATTGAAAAAAAGGACATTTCAAGCAAATGGGCCTTTTGTTGGAGCAAAAATAAGAGTTGTTCCTATCAGTAAATGTCTCAAAAATCACAATGAGCGCACTGGCAAAGTTTGAGATGCACTCCAAACTTCTCAATCTGTGTAAGAAATTGGCGTTTTTTTAGCCTCCCGCTTCAAAAACGATACTATGCCACAGGTGAAAATTTCGTCAGAGGAGTCGTTTCATTCAACCCTTCCGCAAAAGCCATTCCCAACATAGTTGACGCTTCCGTGCGCAAATCGCAATCGGGAGCACAAGGTCAACCAAAGCGGATCTTTATCAACGCAAAGAAATCGTGAAAGTAAACATGCCATATAGGTTGTTAACAAATAGTTATAATCTCGTCCAGACACATGTGTTTTGGTGGATTGGTGCTGGCCATGTTGAATATTGTGTAGTATCTAAGTGCACAGGGGTTGGATAGAATGACTCCTCTAACGAAGTGTTCACCTGTACACTGCCGTGCAACGCAAAAACGCTGTAAACGCCATTTTAAATTTTTTGGAAACAATGTATCTTAGCAGAACAACTTGTGCACCTTGGGACAATGTTTCTACAGAATTCTTTCGCAAATACTATCAAGAGCTTAACCTGAAAAGTTGAGGTACATAGGTAAAACAGTTTTAGCGGCTCTGGTGCTTGCACTAGAGCTGCTATTCCGGACGGTCCCAGCTGGGGAGTATCATTGGACCATGTTACATTGGAGAGACCGCGCGTTGGTTAATGGGAATCGGCGCCATTTTCGGCTATGTTCCTTGTCATGACTTTATTTTATTGCATATTGTTTTATTGTTAGCCAATGCTATGTTGTGTAGTGTATTTTTGGAATCATGGTGATACAGTCAATAATTCTAAACTTGTCTGTGCTTTAATCTCGTGATGGAAAAAATGTACTTTACGTTCAAAATTTGAAAATTTGAATTTTAAAGTTTTCGCGGTTAAGGAAGCTCCAACCACTGGGTTGGAGCTTCCTAGTCATATTACTCGATATCAGCTGATAGCAAACAAAGGTTACCAAGGAAACCGTAAACGTCTAATGCCGTCTGCCCACGTAGCAAATGGGAGGCGAAAATGGAAGTCATCAGTGCATCGTTGAGTGTTGACGCCCGATCCCATTTTCAGACATGTTCACACGTTTTGCTTGCAAAGAAAAAAGGCGGCAAATCAATTTTTATTATTGGACCAATGAGTGTTCTCCAATTTGAGTTTGTAAACATCGTGGTTTCTAGGTTAGGTTTTTGGCTGTGTGATAAATGATATTATGCCGTCTTTGATTTTGTTAAAATGACTCGATATATGTTATTTGATAAACGATTGGAGTTTTGATAAAGTAAGTTGATTTGAATTAAAAATTGTGTCCTTAAAAAATGGATGATGAGGTGATTTGGTTAACATGGGCATTTGTGGTACTTGCGGCGTATTGGGAGTTTGTATGGAAACGACGTGGCAGTAGTCCACACTTTTTACAAGAAACTATTTTGTACAAAGTTCTGTACAAATTTTACACTATTTATACAGTAATATAATACAAAAAAATTATGTACTTTATCACAACTCACATAGCTTCAAAACAAGATAGAAAATGATGGATGCTCAGCCCCGACACATCGATGATCGCGAAATTTGCGCAGCCCGCGCAATTTTCACGTTCAACATTCACCGATGCACTGATGACTTCCATTTTCGCCTCCCATTTGCTACGTGGGCAGACGGCACACAACTACCGTGGCCATCGGGGCGATTATTGAAATGACATCGACTCTATGTTGCCGCTTACGACAAGACATATAGCCCTATCTTAACCGTGTAATATATCGCAATTCGATATTCAAAACCATTACCTACAATTTCAGATATAAAAATGCAAATTTTTTGCAGCCTCGCTAAACGACTTATCAACCATGCATTCCAAAGTTTCTTATCACAGGGCTGTGAAAATATACAATCTAATAAATACAAAATAACCAAATATCTAAAAAGACAAAATTTCAGTTACAGTCAGTTTCAGTCTTATTGTTGCACAAACTAGTTATTTGACAAAAAAAGAAGATGATCACTCAATCGAAAGAAATTGGCGCCCAATCACAACGACAAGTTAAAAAAAATACTGTGGGAGAAATTTTTTAGGATGCGGACCTCCAAAGAGCCTTCAAAATTAAAAGTATACAACAAGTGATAGTGCCGTGCATTCTGCATATCAAGGGCCAATACACATTTATACACCGGCTACGTAAATCTGCTAAGTTACAAAACATGAATCGACAGTTGTCGGATTGTACATCAGTGACAAAATGTGTCTAGGCCCTCATTCTTGACTACAACTACTGTCGCCAGAGCCGCTCTCCGACGCGAATGCGTTGGAGCTTCCTGCTTGTTTATTTTATAAAGTGTTAAGTTCCAAAAAATGAGGGAAAATCTTGATGGATTTACAGCTTTCTTGCTTAGCTTGGCAGTACTGTAGTATCGTTTTTGAGGCAGGAAGTTAAAAAAAACGCCAATTTCTTACGCAGATTGTGATGTTAGGAGTAAATTTCAGCATTTGCCAATGCGCTCATTGTGATTTTTAAGACATTTTCTATAAGTAACAACTCTTACTTTTGCTTTAGCAAAAGTTTGCAGCAGGCCTGTTGTGAGATGAAAAGAGCTGATATAAAGACAATAAAAGCATGTTGATCTGACGCTGAAATGCAATCTACCAGCCAGAAAGTCAGGAAATTGATTGTCCATGCAATGAATTCTGGAATTGCCATATAAGGAGTCGTGTGAATTGGGCAATCCATTTTAAAGTGTGTCAAAACGTGTCAGTATAAAACACCTTGAAATATTTTCAGATTTAAGAAGTATTTTCAGATCTGAACTTCTTGAAAACCTATCCGTCCATCTTGCTGAAATTTTTAATACAATTGCAAATAATGCCTTGTGGTTTGGTAGTTTGACCATTCATTTCCTTGACTCACTGTTGTGTGTGCTCATTTCATGCTTTGTGCTATTTGTCTAGACTTATTTTAGTGAATGAATCAAAGCATTTTTTTTCATTGAGCTCATTACGTCATTCTTTGAGAATGGTAAAATGCACTTCACACTAGATTTTTACGCACAGTTTTTTCTTCTTTCAGTTTAGATGTAAATGCCCGCAAAATTCAAGATCCAATTTTTGAGCCAAAAGTAACCAATCAGCCGAATACTGCTTTGTTTTGTTTGATTTTGGCGCTCGGTACCTTCTTCATTGCTTACTATTTGCGCCATTTTCGTAACAGCAAATTCTTAGGCAGAAGTGTAAGTAAATTATTTAGAACTAGGTGTAGCTTTTGTAGGGTAAGTTTTTTTCTCTTTCATGTACCCACTTGAAGACTTGGTATGTGTCAAAAAGCCAACATATTTTGTTTGAGGATTGAGACTGCAGTGAGAGCTGAGCTCAAGTAGATCTGAAATCTTCACATAAAATGAATTATCTTTAAAAGGAAGTGCGACAAAATGCTTGGATTTACCAAAATTCATGAGCTTAAATGGTAAATACTGTACAACAGTTTCATTACACAACACTTTTTTAACGAATGAATTATTGCTCCTCAATATTTGTGACCATTTTCAATCAAAGGGACTTCCCCTTTATTTTAAATTATGTAGTAGAAAGTTTGTTCTCAGTGCCAATATTGAGGTATTGGTACTATTGCCAAAGGGAGTATTTTTCAGACATTTTGGCATAAAAATGCTTAATTTTGCCAAATAAGATCAGTTTATGACAATGGACCAACAATTTAAGCATGTTATCTGCCGATTATTCGCACATTCCTACTCATTAGCATTCACATAGCAGTATAATATTAATGAAAATCCATTATTTTGCTCTTGAACCTTTTTCTTCTTCTTTTTTGTAGGCAAGAAGAGCCTTGGGTGACTTTGGTGTCCCAATTGCAATAGTAACGATGGTTGCCTTGGATTACTTCAACCCACAAACTTACACAGAAAAATTAAAAGTGCCTGAAGGATTGTCGCCGTCAAACCCGGAGGAAAGAAGTTGGATCATTCCACCGACTGGTGTTCATTTACCGGTTCAGACATGGACCATGTTCGCTGCTTGCATTCCCGCATTACTTGTTTACATTCTCCTTTTCATGGAAACTCACATTTGCGAGTAAGTACCGTGTGTGAAACATTAATCTTCTATTTATTTTTATTAGGGATGGCAATTTTTGATAAATTTCAGAGGTCAGTTTGATTTTTATAATAAAATCAATACGATTTTTCAATAAGCAGCAAAAATTGATTTTGCCTGAAATTTGATTTCATCAATTTTTGGGACAAACAGGATGAAAAATCTTCCTTATTACATCATTGCTGCGGATGCTTTCATCATTTAATGCGAAATTTAGCAAATTTGTTTGCTGGAATGACTTATTCCATCTTTAGATTGACTTCTACCAATTGATGAAAGAAAACATGATTTGAAATCATCTGGCCTCTCATTCAAAAGCTTTTATTATTATTAAAGTCGCTTTACAACGCACTCTGGCGTTCTACGACACCCAATCGCCACACATGCCTGTCTTCCCAGAGGTTATCGGGCAACTGACACCGCAACATCTCTTCGTCAACGCCCTGCCGCCAACCCTTTACGGGACGTCCCCGTCGCCTCTTCCCAGGTGGTACCCAATCCAAAACTTGTCCTTTGACGAAAAGAACGCAAGAAATGTTGAGGGCAACTGAAATGGATTTTTGGCGGCGATCTGCCGGCATTTCGAGACGGGACCGTGTCCGTAATGAGAGAATTCGCCAGGTGATGAAGGTTGAGAAAGATATCGTGCACGACGTCATGTCCAGGCAGTTATGCTGGTATGGACATGTGCAAAGAATGTCGGAGGAGAGGTTGCCCAAAAGCTTTTCATGTAGTATAATTTCCTTCTCAAAAAATTAAAATTTTTTAAGCCCAGTTATGATGAACTCAAGGGGAAATGAAAACTTTTCTTTTTTACGTATTATCATATTTCGCCTGGACGCAAAAACTAAATTATGATATGTTTGTATTGTATTCCCTCCTTGTGTCATCATATGTGCATCGAGAACAGCCGAAAGTCTGGCAAGTGCCTCAGAACGACTCATTGTAGCCTCCTCACCCTCTCTGTCTCTGTTTCTATTGCTATCTACCTCAGTACTGCACAGGTACAAAATGGAGATTCCATCAGTAACAGCTTCAACATCATCTTCTAAACCAAAGAAATTGAAAGTTCGCAAACCTCTACAAAACTTCCTTCAATATTAAAGAACAAAAATGCAGGACTTTCAAACTCTATGTCTGGGGAATTGTCAGTTTACATTAAGTTTTATTCATTTTATCTGGTTTCAGGTTGATAATTGATAAAAAAGAAAGGAAATTGAAGAAAGGAAGTGGATTCCATTTAGACATAGTTCTTGTTTGTATGTTAAATGTTGGCTGTGGATTGATGGGTGCACCATGGATGTGTGCCGCAACTGTTCGCTCCGTCACTCATGTTTCCTCTGTGACAGTCATGTCCCGCACTCACGCTCCGGGAGAGAAACCACATATCATAGATGTGAAAGGTATCCTTCGCGTTTTTCATCCATACAACTGTGACTTGTTTTACCCATTTCACTAGGGAAGTGTTAATATCCATTTCTGTGGAAAATTTATGTGATGTGAAATGGTTACAACCGAGGGCCAACTGACAGTAACTGCAAGCAATTCTTTGAACAAAAACCTTTTTAAACTAGGTTTCTGAGTATTAAATGTTCATCATAGTTTACCCTCTTTTGAGCAAGTTCGTAAAAATGAATTTGCTTGGATCAAATTAACTTTAGTTCATTCATAGTGTTCCTTGTGAAGCTTCAAAAGTAAGCCAATGCCTACGTTTTATGAAGATTCTCCTGAGACCAATGTATACAAACTCAAAATTTTATTTTTGACACAACTTGTAAAAATTGCTCGTCTGTAAAATTTATCTTCCTTGCATTTTCAAATTGGATAGAGGGCTTTCAGGGTATGACTATGAAGTCCATCCCTGTTGAAAGTCCTCCTCCCGAGGACTAGTCACAAAATTAGTGATGAGATGAAAAAAATGGCTTAGAGTTATTATTTAGTATAAAGTTGTTAGGTTGAAGCTTTTACTACTCTTCTTACTCCTGCCAAAAATGTTTTGCAATTTCCTGGATCCTGTATTGATGAAAAGTACACATTTTGTCAAAGATTGAGTCAATGCCTCAGAAAAGCCATCATAATTGATGATTTCTTTCATTTTCAGAATAAACATTTTTTTAAGTGTCGTTAGAAAATGCAGTAATTCTTTTTTTTCCTTTTTCAGAACAGAGAGTTAGTGCTCTCATAGTTTCAGTATCAGTAGGGCTTTCGGTGCTTATGTCACCTCTCCTACGGTTGGTTCCAATGTCTGTTCTGTTCGGTGTTTTCTTGTACATGGGAATCTCCTCCTTGAACGGAGTTCAATTTTTTGAAAGACTGCGATTATTCTTCATGCCTGTAAAACATCATTCTCAAGCAACTTATGTCCGAAAGGTGAGAAAAAGTTCCAAATCCTCTCAATCGTTTGGTGTCACTCCTGTGTTCACCAAGTACATCAGAACGTAACCAAAATTACTACTACAAATGATGTAAGAATTTCAATTACGTACGTGAACTATTTCAAATCAGTCTAGCACCATGAATGATCTTTGTATGAGCGAGTATTTTCCCTTTGCCTAGAGATTGATAAAAACGATAAGCTCAGCCCACAAGTTTCTGGGCGTTCATCTCTCTTTGAAATTGCTTTTTGGTGGAACGTCTCACGTGTTTGCCATGATCTAACCATAATTTTGCTTCTTTGAGTTTAGCCTCCTTTGTGGCTAATAGGCACACCAAATACATTTTTTTTAGTCCTAAATTTGTATTGCTTGTAAGGACGATCTGCTGGCGCATGAGGCTGGTGCATGAGACTGACTGCCCGCCTTGAAAGGCTGATGCTACTTTTTAGGAAAAAGTTTGAAAACTGAAGATAAGTTAGCAGAATTCCCCCTAAATCTACTAAGTTTACAATGTTAATTCTGTTAACTTAAGTGTGGCTAGTGAGGCTTATGGGTGAGGCTTTTTTACCACTGAGAACAATGCTAATTTCATATTGAGTACCAACCAGTTTCGTTTCTTGTTATAAGTAAAGCCTCAAAAATGAATATCTCATAAAAAAAAAGTAGAATTCTGCCTCTCACATCAGTGACAATCTTTTGCAAGTGCCGGCTTTCAAAAGGGTATGAAAATGGATTACAAGCTGATTGTTGTATAAAATAAATGCTTGACAACTGCAGAACTGCCAAGGGGAAAATAGGCACTGTAGAAACTATGATCTACAAGTTTTCAGTTCTTAAAAAAGCAGAAATAAAGTTCATAGTCTTGCCTCTCATCCCAAAATCTGCTGCTCAATTTCCCCAATTCTAGAATAATGAAGTAAGAAAATGTTTGCACCCCTGGTTCTGGCATGTATTCTATCTCTATGGCAAATGTTTGACCACTGAATATCGAAATTATGTGTACTATTATGTTTATTAATTACCTTAATTTTGAATTTCAGGTCCAAACAATGAAAATGCACTTGTTTACAATAATTCAACTCTTGTGTCTTGTGGTCTTGTGGATAGTCAAGTCAACTGCAATATCTCTTGCCTTTCCATTCTTCTTAATTTTGATGATTCCATTGCGAGCTCAACTGCGATTTATATTCACACCAGCAGAACTTAGAGCTGTAAGTATTTCAATTATTAATTTTATCACACTAATTTTAAACTAAAGCTTTTCCCCAATAGTTTTTATTATCTCATAACTCTTACTAAGGCTTCGATAAATGTTTTCAATGCATCAGTCAGTAATAATGTACCTAACTAGCAGCATTTTACATTACTGACATAGACCTCCAAGTTGTCCTAAGTTTCGTTATCCATGCTATTATAGTGAAACTATGAACATCATCTTGCCTTTGACAGAATAAAATCCAGAGGAATCAATTTATTTAATGGACAAAGCAGTAGTAATCTTGCTTAATAGTGTGTTCACTAATGCATTTGTCAATTTTTCTTCAGTTGGACAGTGATGAACCTGATGTAGACGATAAAGAAGACGAACCTGATTTCTACACTGAAGCTCTTTTGCCTGGCTGAGAGAACTATCGATTTTGTGCCCGTATTGTTCTCACATTTTCTTGTCTGGTATCAACTTGTTAAGCTCTTTCCATTGAGACAAGTTTCTTCACTTCCTCTCGCCCCTTCGGTTCTAATCGTAATGGTAGTGGCTGTACGCAACGTACAAACGCAACTCTTTTTGGGTATGATGGCCATGACTTGTTATTATCTTTTATTGTTTATTTTAAAAACCGGTTGTAGTGTATATTTTTTTATATTTTATTGTTGTTTAAAGTTTATTGTTGTTGAAATGCTAATCAAGATGTGAACGTGTTGAGTTGGATTATCCAAGCTAAATACCCACAGTTTATAAGGAGGAAGGGGGATTATGTTTATTTTTTTACAAGAGTTGGAACTACTGAACAAACTTTTTTAACAATCCACCAAGTTTCTTGGTTAACTTTCAGTTTTCTTATTTTGAAACATTCAACAAAGATTAAGGTCACGGATCTTTTAAAGTTTGCCATTTTTTTCGATCAAGTTTTCCAGATCAGTGCCCCTTTGGACATCTCTTCCCCCTAAAGTGAGATCTTGAGAAATAGAAGGAACTACAAGAAAGATGAGGAAGAGTAGAGTGCATGTGTGCATGATTGCTCACTTCAAAAAAATTGATGCTAATAGCCTCAAATGAAGCTAAGTTGTTATGCCATAACTGCTACAAAACTCAACATTGATAAGAAAAAAAAAATTAAAGTCTCAGTTACTGGCATACAGTTTTGATAAAATGAGACATTGCAGTTGATTTATTGCAGAGGTTTAATTTTAGAAAAACTGATGATAATTTGAGCAATTTATCCTTGCCCTTAATTACCCTTAACTGCCATTATAAAATCATCCAGGCAAACAGCGTTCCACCTTTGTAGGCAGTGAAGATACCAGTTGCTCTTTCTCTCCCCCATAAACTCCTGAGCCTAAATCTTGTTGATCAAAGCTGTTCGCAAGTCAAATCAAGATAACCTCTGCACGAAGACCTCCTCTCGAGAACCTCTTATTCTTCAGAGTCTGGACTCTGAAGAATAAATCAGGCATCAATATCCAAACACAAATTGTTTGCGAGTGAATCTGTTTTAACAACCCATTTCAACGATATTAAACATAAAATAGCCAATAATCATCAATCGTGAACAAACTCGCTGTCATCTGGGAATGAAGATTGGTTGCTGATAAAATCTGTGGCCTGAATTGTTTGAAAGCTACACAGAGTCCCTTGTTGATGGTGAAACCATGGAGGTACCTTTATTTGCAAAGTTGTAGGTTTCTTGTCACATTGTATTTTTTTCAAAGGATAACGAATGAACATTGATGCTTGGAATTTTATTGATTTCTTGGTTTTTTGTATTCTTTCCAGAATATTCCTGAATAATTCCAAATAAATTAAATTTGTTAGTTTTTCCTTTGAGAAAATCGAATAACAGAATAGAGTTTGAAACGTTGTAATCAAGGTTGGTATGTGTTTTTTGACCATCACCATTGCCATTCATTATCTTGATTAGCTTTGATAATTGATGTGATATGTTGTAAATTTCTCAGATAACATTTAGATTCTCATAGTGGAAATTTAGATTAATTTTTTCTAGTTTTTATTGAATTATGTTTCTTTCTTGGGGAATGCTTTTATTATATTTGGACTCGAAAAGAATTTGAAGTTTGAAAATGCGCACACCCTTGTGTGCTTTTGAAAAATGTATTACCATTGTTCCCTTTGTTAGGACCATGTATTAGCTCTCAGCTTCTTTCCAAGTCGTCTTTCATATTATGATTTTGAAAGAGATTAATGGTGTGTTGCTCATTTTCAAGATAATTGTTATCTTGGAATAAGTGCTCTAAAGGTTTCCTTGTAGCATTGACTACTAAATTTAAATACATAACAAGTATATTTTTTAAAAAAATTGTTAAAATGTACAAATAAGGACATTTTCTTTGGATTTTTCACGTATGTTGAACGGAAAATTCATATGAAAAGAAGAAGTGAAAAAAAAGGCTAGCCATAATTGAATAAAATTCGAAAATTATCTCTATTAATACAGGACACTCACTAAAATCAATATAAAACATACAAAATGAAAAATGTACTCATAATATCTGTTACAGTGTACTTCTATAATGTGATTTAAAACTTCTGAAAGTGCAAGTCGTTAATTTTAAGTCAGTAAAAACTAAAAAGGATCTCCTACTTCTTACATAAAAAAATTTTTTGTTTTTGTTTTCAAAAGATAAGTTTTTCTCCTTGTTTAGTCCTTAACTTTTTTAACGGTCAGTGCTACCAGAGAATTGCCTTTTTCCTGCTGTTCCATAATTTTTTGCCTTCAGTATTCTTCCATCTTTATTATTAGTTAAATTAGTTTTTTAATTACGTGTTACGGATCATAATGAGTGCTGTGCCAGTTTTGGATTGAATTAAAAGTTTCTCCAATGGATGCCAGTACCTTTTTTTCGGTGCATTATTATTTTTAGGTGCTATGTAATTTGCTCACTTTCTTAGGGCCCAAGAACGTTAAATCGATTCACCCCCTTCACATCATAAAATATATCCTTCCCTTCAGCCATCCTCATTTAACCCTTAAATTAACAGCAAGAATTTTGTATTTTACTTTCTAAATTTTCATTTCTTGTGAAGCTGCATGTAAATTTACCCTGTTAGGTTCTCTTCTTGTAAAATGGATACAGTAGCTATTATATTGAAGCAATACATTGTATGTCTTCCCTTTAAAATTTCTCGATTGGAATTTTGCTCGGAAAAACATTTCAATTATCTCAACTCCTCGCCGATTCACCATTGCACTCTTTTGAAATTGATAAAACAGTGAATGAACAATACTATTCATTGTTTTGCATTTACTGTATGTTAATTTTGAATGTTTATATCTCCTTCAAAAGTTTAGACCCCACCCATCCCAAAACAATTGCATGCAATGTTAGTCATGCAATTTTGGAGGGAAAATTTTTAACTCAGTTCTTTAATCTATTTCTTGTCTACTGGTTGACTATCAATAATTCAATCACTGAGATAAAAAAAAAAAAAATTGAACTCATTGGCTTCATGGACTACTAAACAAAAATCCTCCCTATCAAGATCTCCATCAATAAACATTAGAGCTCCAAGCTCTGCTCTGTTCATTGAAATCTGCTTGTGAAGTTAATGCTGGAGGTGCGCATTTTAGGCCTGCATCACTCACCTCGCTTTTTCAGGCTCTTCTTCTTCAGGGCATAGAGGAAATAATTGCAGATCACATTGTTCGAATTCCGTATACCTACATTTAAGGATTTTAAATGCATGACTAACAGAATACTGATAGGATAAAATTGTTTTTTTTCCAAAATAATCAACAAATTCAAGCGATGAGAAGCTAAGAAACGTGTTTGTTTTCCTTTTTTCGAACTTTGCTCTTAATTAGGAGTACCTTATCAGTTCATCAAAAATAAAAATATATTAACTAATAAGTTCCGTTTGCTAAACTAAGTCAGTTTGCAGGTTATTTGTAGGTAAAATGTCTCATCAAAATTTTAACTGATGAATCACCAGTCATTTTTCGCATCCATTCTTTAAATAGTGCAATGGGGTGCCAATGAGATGCAGCTCATTTTAAGCTAATTTCCACTTTGCCTAGGTACCTGTTAAAAAATCAGGTATAAAGTTGAATTTTTGTACTATAATTGACTCTAAACGTAGGAGATCAAGGGTAAACTTTAGGAGAGGATGATTTCATGTCGCCATTATGCTTTGTTTCACTGTTCTGCCCCTGTTGTGAGTAAAAAAATTTCTATAGGTAAGAAATATCAGGTATTGTTTCTTGTAAGATGTGGAAGGTGAATGAGCTTTGATTATTTTGAGTTAAATTTTTTTATATGTTCTGTAAGAAGTCTGGACAGAATTTTATCATCTTTAATAGCTTTTAAGAGATAATAAATTTCAAAGATCTTTTAGAAGTGGTGAAAACTATAGAATGTTTTGATTCTTACTGAGGTCAAATAAATGGGACAAATTTCGAGGAGCATAACCTAGAACTTTCCGCGCTGCAATATTCTTTAACTTTGGTTATCATTTCAAAGGATGCAATGTATTGCAGAATGTCCCTAGACCTTTTACTTCAGGCATAAATAATTCCAGGTGCTCTTAATTTATATTAACAGAAAAGGTCATTATAGTTTTACCCTGCCACTTAAGGTTAAGGAAGTCTGTTCTGTGAAGGACCAGATAGAACTTCTTTTATGATGAGTACTTTTTTTTCACAATTCCTCTACTTAAGAAACAAGCCTCCATCCTCAGACGTTTTTCAAAATTGATGGTATATTTTAAAGTCCGTCAAGACTAAACATCAAATGAGAGAAGAACTTTTAATATGTAGTGTGTGAATCCTGAAAAATGGAAGGTAAGAATGTCTGGAAAAAAAAAATATTATTGTAAAATTGAAAGCTTTAAAAATGGGTGATCTCCGTTCTTTTTTCAGTGAAGTAAAATGCACTTGACTTCTCTATTTCTTTTTTTTCTAAAAAAAGAAAGAAGAAATAAAGGGAAATTAGTTTTTTGAGTATTAACGTCTGCTGTTCTCAAAAACACGTTATTACTTCCCTGCAGCTTCGATTGTCACTGTCGGTGGTTTTATGCAAAGAATTGTAAATCTCAAACTTCAGTTGAGTTGGGTTCAATGTAACCTAAAAATTTGTTCAATCCCAAGAACTGAACCGTAGTGTCCATTTTTCCTTGAATATATCTCTGTATTGTCTCACAACTATGTACCTAGTATGTAATTAATTAAATTGCTTGACATCAAGCCTAATGTTGCCTCTCATTCTTTGTTAATTTTTTTCTCCTCGTTTTTAACAGAAGAAATGGTGTATCTAGCACATATCTACTTTTTGAATAAAATGTTATTAAAAATCAAAATTACTGACAATATCATAATTTTAATTGCCAATTCAATCAACTCCAGGGAATAAGCAGGCGTACTATTCTTTGATAGAAATCTATTGTGAAACAGAAAGCCAGAAAAAGAGTTGAGAAGATCATGGAGGACTAGGAGTAATGAGATCAAATTGTTTATTTTGTCAAATTTTCAATACATTTTAATTTTTTGTTTTTGTTTTACACAAAAACAGCAGTCTTATCATGAACGAATGAGGAAAAGTCAGTGCATGAAGAGTAAACATAAGAAAACCACAGAAAGTCTAATCATTTTCGCACAAGGTAAACATCAGTTTTTGAAACAAAAATTTCAAGATACATATTTTATTACATAGCTACACTTAAAATACAAAAAGATCATTAAGAATGCCCCTCCCCTCCCCCCAAAAAAAAAATTGAAGCTTGGTAATCAAACAGTTTAAAGATTGGTGACTAGTAAAAATTGCTCACAAGATTACACTTATTTATGAAAATTACAACAAGTATGACATGTCTTGTAATTTTTTGGTTGAAAAAGAAATTTATGAGGTACAATTTACAAATTAACTAACACGATTCACTTCCCTCAGCAATTTTAATAGTTTTCCCTGTAACTAATTCTCACTTTTAAATACATTTGGGGGTAAAAACATGAAATTAAGGGGAGAAGCAGTTCTTTAAACAAAAAATAATTCTTTAAATGAGGAATTCACTGGAATGGGAAAAAAAAAAAGACAAGAAAGAAAAAGAAAAAATCACTAGTTGAAAATCCTTATCATAAATTTTAACAACTATTTGACCATAAAACATTTCCATGAATAAAAAAACAGTTTCCCTGAACCAACAAATTAAATGAAGACAAAAATTAATAGGTACATCGTTAAAGGAAAAAATCCTCAAAATTTTATATTTATTGTAAGTATTTCTAGGGGATTTTCTGAAATGAACTTATCTAAAGAAAAAATCTGTAGAGGATCAAATTTTCAATCACTCTCTTAGAAGCAAAACACTTTCATTTTCAAAGAAATTTTGAAAAAATACAACTCCTAACTCAAATGTTTCAATTGGGAGAACCCTAGTAACAATAAGTTGAAAAGATGGAAGATGCTTACCAGAATGCAAATGACATTCTTTCGCTGAGCGTTGTCCAATTGACAGTCCAACATTTACATGGATTACACTTTGCAAAAAGCAACCATTAGCTATGGAATGCTATTAAGACAGTGCAACTTACTTTATTTTGTAGCTCGAAGGTTTTTATTTGCTCACAAAAGAAATATCAGTGGAACAAGAAAAATTATTTTTCAAATTTCATACATAGATCTGCTTTGAGTTATTTAATGATGAACCAAGGAGTTGCACAATCTTGGAAATATTCTGATACCACTTCATAGTGCCTTTCAACTAAATGCTGTAATTGGAGGGAATCAATTTTCCTAGCTTATTCATATGAGCACCTCTCTGAATCAGAAAATTGCATGTAAGTTTTTCTTTAAATGGTAAAAAAGTTGATTCTTTTTTGCATGATGCCGTCGGTAAAATGTTTCCTGTTTTTTAAATTTAATTAAATTCTTAATAATCAAAACAAGTGGTAAATAAAAGATGTTGGCTCGAAATATACATGAAAATAATACATCAACAATTCAATAATATTACTGGCCTAGCAAGTTGACTGATGCATGTGTACATTTTGTAAATATTCTTACCCTAAGATCACAGTCAGCTATCACAAAAACCTTAATCTAGGCAACAGCTTTGTCAAATTTCACAGCTGAGGGTAAATGCAATTGAAGGAGGTTGATTCAAAAACAACTAACTGTAAAGAGGACAAATCCTCACAAAAATTTCAACTCAGGAGAATAGAACTGATGCAAGTACATGTTATTCGACTTCACCGAAACGTCTGGGAAAATTAATTCGTATGAACAAAATGTCATTCAGTAATTGGAAGTCCGGTTTATTTGAAGGTTCAATGTAAATCATTTGAAGGCTGGATATCAGCCTCTGAAGGAGGAGTTCATCTCCAGGCACTGCTAATAAGATTTTTGCAAGGGAAGCAAGCTCCGGATTCGTAAACTGGGAGTCATGCCAATACTTAAATACGTTCTCACTAGCTTCAAGATTGTTCTCCCTTAAATAGGTCTCGATTTTGGCACGAATAGGCTCTAACATAAGAGATGTAGGAAACTTGAAGCAACATTCGTTTGATTTGTTACGCTCCATAATACCTCGCAAAATGCTCAGGTCTTTCATCTCATCGTCTTCTGAATCCATCTCCATTGGTGCTTCTACCATAGGCTGTAAGTCTGGCGTGTTGTTTTGATCAGTGCCCATAATTCTTTCCCAAATTTCTAAAAGACGATGTGTACCCATCCTGACTTGGGTACCATCAAGCACTGTCTTGAATCGCTTATCTAGAATTACAGCAGCAAAGAGATCCGGAGAAAATACTTGCTCTGTTCTTGTTCGGATTTTGTTTGACAGGAGTGATGCGAACTGGGAAGCTCCATTGGTCGTAAGCATTTCAATTTTGGCGATGCACACTGTGAAAATGGTGAAAACTTCACTGTATGGCAGCTGTTCTAACAGGAGCCTCATTGAGGCGGTTGCGCAGGGCTTCAGCGAAACTATGATTTCCTTCATGTCACACTGGTCTTGGAGAGAGAGCTGACTGCATGCAGATGGAATATTTTCTTGGATAAACGGTATTAACTCGACCAGCTGTATCAATATCCTGTATATGGAATCCCAGCCGTCATTGCATAATACTGGTCTCTTCTGGTTTTTTTCAGCAAATAGCTTTGCCGTTTCAAATGTCTGCAGTGACCTCACTAAATTTTTTGCTTTTAAGATAACCGCCTCTGGAACAAAGAAGAGGACACAAAAATCTCATAAGAATGGATGTTCATGTTATCCACCCTGAAAATTTCCTTCATAATCAGAGATTTTTAGCTTTTTGCGATAAAATCAGTACTGCAAACTCTCTAAAACTTTGGTAATAATAAATTAAGCACCAGCTAATGGAAAAACCACATGGGTTGTATGTAACCAATGATAGCTTTCTCAATTTTTTTCTTTATTAGTACAAGAAAAATTTTTGATTCAGAAAAAAGTGTGACAAGATATTATACTTTTTACTTTTTGTTAAAATACAAGAGGCAATACCATGTCCCGCGCTACAACAGCGAACATGGCCCATACACTCTCCCTAGTGCATCTGTCCTATAGTTTTCATGAAAGAGGCGAATGAATGGGGTCAAAGATTAGACGGACAACCTGAGTACTGAAAAATTTCAAAATGGGAAACAAGAGGCAAGTGTATGACAACAATTAAGGGATTCATCGAATTCTACTACAAGGACAGATTTTCAAAATCAAAATGTGTGACTTATTGGGGAGTTCTAATTAGAGCCAGTGCCAAAAGAGTAACACAATTTTAGAGTACAATAGAGGATCAGCGGTCTTAAGTTTAGTATCGAAAATGAGTGCAAAACTCAAGATCAAGAGTTTTCTGTCTTAATTAGGAAGTGCGTTGTCTTATTTGGCATAAGCTCTAATAAAAATCAAGGTTTTTAAAGACTTTTTTTTAGAACTTCTAGTGGGATTCTTGAGGACTAAAAAAATTTATTCACATGTCCTAAGGTATGCCTATAAAATATGAATTTCCTTCCCTGTGCCTTTACTCTTTGGTGGACAGGCAGAAATGTGAGTATTATTACGCTCTGAATTTTCCCTCAATAGTCAATAACCCCCAGCTTAATGCAGTCATGGCCTTGGCTATGATCATACTATCACTGCCTTGTTTATTGGCAGATGTGTCTCATCGCCTTTGTTCTTTAGAATAATTATTAGATGAAAAGATTAAATTTGTAATACTTACTGTATCTACCAGATTTAAGCGCGTCCTGAATACCAAGTTGTAGGACGCGAACTGCAGAATGTATTGAGCATATACCTTCTTCCTGCAAAGCTTTGTCTGTGGCAGACAATAATTTGTTCAAGTTTTCCTCATCTGCAAATTCAAATTCATTCTGACTGGCATCACTGTTTTCTTCACTTCCGGCACACCCTTCAGCCTTATTGCTACATTCCACTTCTTCCTGAGTGTCTCTTTCCATTTTTAGACTTATCTTCCTGCTTCGATAAGAAGCAAAAGCATCTACTCGTTCTTCAACTTCGGTAGTAAGGCAGTCTGAAAGATTCGTCACTCCTTGGTTGGGACAGTCTGCGTTTGAATCTTCAAGGAAGGGATAATCCCATATGTTCCCACCATTACTAATCGATGATGAGAAGATTAGCTTAAGGGGGATGTCATATTCAGTAAGGACTTCTAAAACTTTTTTTTTTAGGTCTTCTCCTGTGGATGAGATCGCTACCGGTACTATTCTTAGTAGCCTTGTCTGAATACATCCATCTTTACTAAACTGCACATTGGTGGTTAGATAATGCTTTGTGGTGTTTTTGGATGCAAAGTTGATCTTCACAGACACAAACGCACCTTTCAGTTCTGCTTTTACTTCTTCCCGGAGGGATTCTGCTTTCTTTTGAATTTCCTCCCGAATCCTCGAGGTGTTTACTATTTGGCATTTGAGGCTTCTTTGGATGGGACCAAAGAACCGTCGTAGTAGGCAATTAATAGTATCCAATGGATGTGCATTGACAGTGCACATTTCAACACAACAAGATATTAGATGCTCCTTCGAAAACTTAATTGTAACTTTTGTAGATTCAAGGCTTCTATCTCTGCTGCGTTTCGCGATGGAATTTTTAATTTTGATCTTTTTTTCTTTATCTTCCACAAAGAGTTTCCATGGGTCAGGGTGTTGAGTTTTCAAATGCCTCTGTAAATTTGATGATTTTTTAGTCTGAAACAGGACACAAAAATAAAGGCTGACAAACAATGATAGAACAGACACAAACAACGATGAAGACTGACTTCCGAGACATTCAAGAAAAATAATCACTGGGTGAAGGACACATAATTATAGAATTTCAAGTACACTTAAATAATGTACCATAATTCAATGATAGTCGAAAACTAATTTTGAAAATATTCACAAAAATTTAATGTTGCAGCAACGTTTTCATAATGAACATTAATATTAGCATTTAACGATTGCATTCAACCTCCATAATAGTATATTTGCAAAAAGGACACACTATCATTGAGGCAATTTGCACAAAAATTTGTTATCAAAAAGATAAATAAATCGACGTATGCAAGAACAGCCGATGTCCTCTTTTTTCGATTTTGACTTTTGAAGCAAATATCCACGTGCTATACTCATAAATCTGCACTTGAATAATATTGAAGTAATTTGATTCATCTCTCTATTTCCTAATATTAAAAAGCTACAAAGAAAATGCATCTGACAGGAAGATTTGACGTGTTTTGGGGGTTTTTTCAGCTCCCTTTTGGAGAGTCCAAACCTCAAAATTGTTCAAAAACGTGCAATGTCCACTTGTTTTTTCACCCTGTTTTCTCGTTACATTTCGGGCATCGTCACTGCACTAATGCACTGATCGTACAAGTGCACTGTTCGTACAAGTGCACTGTTCGTACAAGTGCACTGTTCGTACAAACAGGAAATGATGGATATTCATACAACTGGTAAGCAAAAGTATACTTAGGAGAACTTTGCCCTAAATGAAAGGAGGAGTAGTGGTCGCAGCAGATTTTTGAGGTGAGTACTTGACTCTTAATGACTTCTCATAGAACACTTAGTTCACATACCGTGCAAAGCATGCGTATTAAATGCAGAGGATGCAAGTATTACTGAGAGAAGAGTAGTTTTATGAGTACTAGTCTAATCTCCTAAACCAAAATTGACAATTCTGAAGCATCTGTCTCTATTTCTATTTACATCTAGTTACACATTTTTTCCGGGACAAACATATATTGTGCAAAAACGTTGAATGTCAATTTTTTCTACTGTTTGGTGGATCTCTGTGGAAGTTAAAAAAATCTTGAAAAAATTTTCATTTCGCTGATTGAAAGCCTCAAATGCTGATTAATGCTTGTATGAACTTTTTTTCAGTGTTGAAATAGGTAAATTTTTTCTGAAACAGATTTGTGCTCCATGTGCATAAACGTCTGATACCCAGCGTGCTTTTTTAAAATCACTCTGCTTCCGGTGGTAGTTGGGAGAAAAGCCACTTGGATGTCTTTTCTACAATTCTCCATAGAAATTAATCACCTTTTGATTTTCTTAAAAACCCCGGTTCAAAGGCCTTCACAACTGTTTTGCAATTTACCAAGTTTTGGTTTTTTGGGACATCGGATGAAGTGGGCTTGGTAATAGGGCAAAGTAAAAGCAGCCCCCCCCCCCCCCCCCCCCCNCCAAGTAAGAGTAGAAATCCCCAAGTAAGAGGATGTTCCCACAAATTTTTTTTTACTCATTTCTCTTGACTTATTTGAGCCCTAGAGGACTGTTTCCTGCTTGCACTTACCTTCCAATTTGTATTTTACTCAAGGTGTTCCTAATCCCAGTTTTTGAGCATTACTTAAATATGCATATTTGAAATATTAAGTTTCCTCAAAAACCTCCTCTCTGCATTAAAAACAAATTGAGCCTGTTTAGTTCACCATCAGGTAGATCTAAGTGGTTGCCAAATCACAGAACTGGAGGGCACCTGCTCTGAAGAGAATAAACTCAATGATAACAGAAAGCGATAAGGAAGGACCGCGTCAAAGACAAAGTTATATGGCCGGCTGTGATCAGCGGCCTGGAGGAGAGCTGCTATTGGGCATTGTTTTGCAAAGACTCTGTGCCCATTGCACTCTTGTTATTGTTATCTCCTCTATCAAGTGGCACTCTCCGCTCAGACGAAAGTAAGTAATTCTTCAGAGTGGAAATTGGCATGTTCTGGCCGCAAAGCACACTTGTATTACCCATCGACTCTACTCCATTCTTTCTCCTGCAGTTTCAGGCATGCATATTTCTGTTTCTGTCCATCTTATTCAACTACAATTTGGGTACTTGCGTAAATCCTTTAATCAATTCTATCCAGCTAAAATACAACACATGTTAATGATCTGATTTTTTCTGAAATCTTTCGGCAGCGGCTTGCCATGGTTATCAGGATTGCATGCCACTGATCAGACTTTTTACATGAGCCATTCCTTTAATTGCAAGAGGAAGAATTTGCCCTCGCCTTGCTTTAGGAGGCTGTACTTAAAATAGTGACTCAACTAAAATTGTGGCTGCCTACAATTGGACGTATTTCTATCAAACGGACCTAAGCGCCATAGAGTGAGGAAGGTAGAGGGGGGCTTGGATTGGCGGCAGAATCGGGCGTCCGACTTATTCCGTCCTATACTCGCAGTGCTTTTGCATGGCACTTAGGTCCGTTTGACAGAACACGCTATCCGGGATTCTAAATTCCTCAAAAGGAACTCAAATTGGCGCTTAGTTCCGTTTGATAGAAATACGTCTAATTATCCCTCTCAAGAGATGAAAGCTTATAAAAGATGATAAAAGGTGACTTATTGGCTTACTATGAGATTTTTACGACATGTTGGGATTCTGCAGATCAAACCGCAACCATTTCTTGCTGGATCAAAAAAGTATTTGACAAAATCTGGAACAGTGGATTCATCAACCATTTCTTCCAGTACCCTTGAAGTATCCATTCTGCTAATAAACTCTGAAAATGAAGGAGAGGTGTGAATATGATTTTGCTGCTTTTACAATAAAGTAAGTTTGAGATAGTGTAGGAGATTAAAATAGTTTCATTGATTTGCGGTAATTTCACTCGTAAAAACCAGAGAGACCCTCAGGTCTGAGCCAAAATCTTTTTGAGGTTCATGTATCATATAATACACTAAGTAAGTAGATACTTTCCAATGACATGTAGGTAAGGAATTCTTAATCGTACACTCTATTTTAGGTGTAGATAAATATTTTATCCAAAATATTTGCTCTTACAAGAGTACCTATCCTACCCTGTGAAAATAGTGACCAAGTGTTTGACAGTAATTTGGTGCAGCGAGTAATATACCTACGTAAGTCGTAAGTAATTACTGATAAGAGATAAAAAAGATGACGATTTTCTGACATATTCCCAGCTAGTAGTAGAAATCCTTGTACAGACCTGATACTTATTTCAGAAAATAATGTGAGTGTTGAGACTTGTAATTAAAATTGCCAGAAGATACACATTTGACTTTCTGGATTAAGTAGCTACGTGCCGGTTATCCTTATTCCTTATCAGATACCAGGGATTATCAGACACAGACACAACACAACCTAAAATTACACGCATGAAGCATGGACAAAGTACGCAAGGTCTCAAGGTTGTCTAGTATCAGTTATCACATTCAAACAGGTATTTGCCCTAGAATTGTGCAGTGGTGCCGTTTCATAATACATTTTGGTTAAAATAAGCAAATTTAACGTAAGATTTTGCAACATTGACCTAGCTCCTTCCTCCTTCGAAAGAAAGTTAGGTTAGGTCATACAGACTTGCACTAATTTCCGTATTTCGCGGAGAGCCGATTTTCGGATTTCGAAATCGGCATGGAATTTTCCCCCTCTATTTGCAATTCGGTTTTTAAATTTAGAAAGTAACTCGCCGTCGTGTCATCTCGTTTCGTGATATCAACGCAATACTCACACTCTATTATCACTGGCGATCCAAGTCTCGATTTTGCAGAAGTTCGTGGCACCTAGTTTCTTATCATCTGACTGCACAGGTAAGTACTTGCTTATCATCGATCTCAGCATCCAGGGCTCTTATCTTATCTTTCATGATCGGAATTCCCTTGAAGTCGCTCTAGTGTTTTTCTATTTTCTAGCTCCCAACTGTTCTTCTTTTGATCCTCCTCGATATCTTCTAATTTCAATCATTGTCTAATTTTGAAAGAAGAAGATTCGCTGAAAGGAAGGAGAGGTTGCTTGTGAGCAAATTGTCATGTATGTTGATATCTGTCTAGCAGGATGTTTTATGAGACCAGGAAAACTATAATAATACATTGAAAACATTTAGAGTGCCATTCTACATTAGGTATTCTGAATAGCATCCAGGACAGCATTTCAATTCCTGACTTAGAATTGCTGAATGCCCCTCTGTCAGTCAAGTTTGTTTTTTATGCAAAAAAATGTTCGGTTTTGGTTGAACTAACAGTATCGATCAAGCAGGGGCATCTATGATGTATCTTCGAGTATTTTGATTGAGTTCATGGGACTCTTCTGATGCAAATTCAATAGATTTTTGCGATGGGCAGAGGAAGATTTTCTATTGATATCATTCCCATTCATTATTCTAGAATTTATCTTGAAAAGGCTCCTTGCTATTTTTCTTCACCTGTGTTAGTTTTCATTTGTGTCATAACTCTCTAATGCTTGGTTGATCTCTATTCCCTCCAGATATCTAAATGGCAGAAATACGAGAGTTCAATGAAGTCAAAATTCCTGTACCATGGGGCACAATTTCAGGTATGTGGTAACAGAATGTTTGTTCCAGGTCATTTTTGGAAAAATTAGGGTTTTGATTATCTTACAAGAGTTGCTTCAGTAATTTTCAAGTAGTACTTGAAAAAATAGAAAACTATAATGCAACTCAATGAACCACAAGACGAAGTACAAATTTCAGCATCTTGTCCCTACTTTCTTCAAACTTTCATTCGACACAACGAAAATTACCAATGTTTACTCCCAAACAAGGCTTTTAAAATTTTCTACAGCACTAGTCATGAAAAATTTGAATTTCCCTCTCTTATAAAACACTATAGAGTGTACATGAATCACATAGCACTCCCTGACGGTTTTGGCAGGCTATTCAATCGAGCAGTGTTCCCTCCCTACTCCGTGTTGTTCACAGTGGAGAAACAACATGCAACAGCCGTGTCAAAATGCCAAGTTTAAAATTGCCATATTTTCACACCCCAGAAACTTATGGCTATGCACAGTGTGCGATTTAACTCTAGTAGTTTTAGGGTTTATTTTATGAGCGGAATTTTTGAATTAATACATTGAGAAATGTTAATGTCTTGCTCAGGAGTTACTTTCAATTTGCTAATTGCGCAAATCACGTTCAATGTGAAGTTTTGATGAAGAAATACATAGCATAATGATTAAATTTGCACCTTGTCTTGTGGTGCACTATTATCCTCACAGTATTCTCATCTGGCAATTGCCAAAAATAATGTCATGAAATCATTGCATAAACATCGCTGCATTATTTCTTTTAGCAAGAACTTTGTGACAACGTTTTCGCAACTACTTGTCGCCGAGCAGGTTTATTTCTAATTTTTTCAAGCCATAAGCTCCTATCTAAATTTTCAACTTTTTCTTAAAATCTAAACAATTTTCCACTAAGTACTTCATTCATGCAATGTGGACTCTCTGAAACTTTGGCATTAATCTAAAACACAGTTTGAAGGAATGTAAGAATAGCTTAAAAGCATCAAGAGAAGTCAACCACTCTGAATCTCGTAATTTCCAACTTCCTTCGCAGCATGTTTCTGTCACATATTTTTATTTTCTTGCCACGCATGTGTATGAAGATAACGACGATGAAACCATCAATTCTTCTAAATTCAGCCCTGATGTCACAGGTCAGGTGAAACATGTAGCTAAACTGCATGGCAAGTAGCTTTTTTATGCACAAAATCACTCGGGAAATCTAATCAAAATATGATCATCACAGTTGAGCAGAAAATATGAATTGAAAATCTGACTGAAATTGAATGCCCTCCTGTTTCGGAAAACCCTAGTATAGATGTGAAGGGAATCAACTTGTGAGTGTCGAGTGTATCCTACTTTTAAATTGTTAAACATGTTTTGTGCCCATCATCAAATGTTCTGGAAGTACTATGGCTTCTCTTAGGCCAATTTAAAGGCAGTTGAAGTTTTTGTGTGTTCTAGAAATAATTTTTCTTGTGTCTCCCAGGTAAATGGTGGGGTCCTCAAGGAAAGCAGGCCATTTTAGCCTTACATGGTTGGCAAGACAATGCAGGTAGCTTTGATGAACTAGTCAAATTTTTACCGGAAGACTGGTCTATATTAGCTGTTGAATTACCTGGACATGGCCTCTCATCTCACTTACCTACGGTTGGTAATGTTAACTTTGCAAACCTAGACATTGAAGAGCAAATAGTCAACAAAATTTTTCTGCTCTTAAAGCCCACACAGATCAAAGAAGAATTTTTTTCTAAATGGATTATCCTTTTTCTGAACAAAATACTGTGCAAAATGTTAAAACCTCAACAAAAAACAGACAAAAGGTAAACTAGGTAAAATTTTCCAGTAGATTTGTGTGCTAGTTTTCCTGAAAAAAATTGGACAGATTTAAGAAGTCTGGCAACACAGTGCCTAAGCACAGTATTGGCACTTTTTATCCTGAGGCCGGAAGGTGACGAAATTTTGCCATGTTCTAGTCTTTCCCCCTCAATGTTTATCTTAGCTGAGGTTTTGACCAAGACTCCTTTGTGTATTCAATTAACAGAACTACTGTTCAAAATTTACTTTACAATGTTTATCTTTTTCTTTGTTTTATCAATTAATGTTATTTTTTTCCTTTTTTGAGCAGGGTATTAACTACAATTTATATTGGGATGGAGTCATAGCAGTTCGACGACTTTTAAAATATTTCAAGTGGAAAGATGTAACATTGATGGGTCACTCAATGGGCGGTGCTATTTCATTTTTGTATGCTGCGTGTTACCCTGATGATGTTGAAGCCATAATTTCCTTGGATATGGCTGGCCCGCATATCGATACTCCAGCAGTTCAAGTGAAGAGGAGTGGGCACATCATTGACAAGTACGTTAATTTAGCAAGCTATCTCCTATATTACAAGATTCTGGAAGCAATACTTGCAGGAGATCTTCAAACATTTTCACACCATGCAAATGTTTTTTCCGTTTTTTCGAAAGACAAGCTAATGATGCCTGGTATGATTTACTGGGCCAATAGTTGTTTAGTACAGTTTTTGATTCCAGAAAAACATTGAGTACGTAAAGATTGCATGTGTAATTTTCTCCATCCAAGAAATAATGCTAGCCTTTGCAGGAACATGAAAAATGCATTTAAATGGAACCGCTTTTGGCGGCAACCTTTAAAATGAATCCAAACATCAGATAGAATCTGGTAGCTTCAGTGCCCTTTACTAGCAACTACTATACTTCCATTTGATAGACTGGCATAGTGGCCATGGCACTCTTGCAATATTCAATAAATCAATTTATTCAAGTTCAATAGTTGTAATATGAACTGATGGAATGATCCATGAGGAGACAGAATAATTACTTGAAGGTAATTTCTGTTTCATCCACCCAAGATTTCATCGTTTTGATTTTTTTCACTACTAAATCATTAACATTACTTCTCATTAATTAAATTTTTTGTCAAAAAATTTTCATTTATCCATGAACTAACGTAATTTTTGATTTCATCCTCAGGCTTTTAGTTTATGAAAGTTCTGCAGGCGTGGAAACTCGAGGTTTGCCCTATGAAGAAATGGTGGACATTGTTGAGGACGCTTATAGTGGATCTTTAACTAGAGAGTCGTGCGAAATCATGCTTCGACGAGGCATGTACAGGAATCCAGATAATCCTGAGCTATACCACTTTGCTCGAGATCCACGCCTAAAGGTATGTAGAGTATCTTTGGATCTTCCTATTTTAGCATTATTAACTTTTTAACTCTTGTAAATGAACTGAATGGCAGCATGCTAAAACAACTGCTATTCAAAAGCCCCAATTGCTGAAGAATAATTGAAAACTATTTTTCCTTTATCACTGGTGGTAAATTCTCCAGAATTTTTGTTTCATTTTTTGGAAATTGTTGAATAATTGCTTTAAATGATTTTGCTCCTTTCACTTTACATGAAATGGCTATTCACAAGTGCCATAGCGCAAGAAAACCGCAATAGGTACCTACTTAACTATACTAGGTTTGAACTCGAGAAAAAGTCATGTATTCTCCCTTCAAAGGCTTACAGATCAAGTAAACGCCATTTGTGTTTTTTGTCTGTCAACCAGTGTTAATTGTAAACACTTATATCCTGTTAAGGAATGGGCATGGAAACTTCTCGTCAAGTGAAATTTTGAAGAGATAACATGTTGCCTCTTGCTTTAATTATACCTTGTCTAGTAGCCCATTGCCAATACTAGACTATCCTTGTTCTAGCTTGATGCCGTTTAATAGTCTAATTGGTAAGGTGAGCAAATTTTTAGTGGAATTCAAGTCTGCTCATGGCTCAAGAACCTTTTTTTAGCAGAGGTGGAGAGGTGATTTTTGCCTTCAGATAATGCAGAATTATGCAATTCTCGCATCCCTGCTTTTGATAAGAGGGTTGAAAAGGTTTTTACAGAGAGATTATTTGTGTGACAGTCATTCAAAATTACTTGACAAAGCCTTTTTTAACAAAAAGAAAGATTACTACTTCAAATCTCTATGGTAAAAGCTCCATCTTAACACAAAAATAAACTGGCATTTCATAACATAGAATTTACCGATGACACCCATCGTTTCACTACATCAGATCGAGTGTGGGGACAAAAAAGAATTTTATCAAGGAAATATAAACTATATCAAGATGTAGCAAAATGGACTAAAATGCGCAGGAAAATGTGACCGAAGCATGTCAAGAGGATGGATGAGGAAGGCTTCTAAACTTTGTATGTTTGGAAAATCATCAAGGAAATGTTCCGTGCAAGAAGCAGGTCAATTGGCTAGTTTCAAAAGCAATCTGAAGCAGCCATTAATTATTAGCCAGTTTCTTGGTGAAACAGTCATTCTTTCAACATGAAACTACTAATTCGTTGTTCCCAAACATCAGTTGATTAACTGTTGTGAAATCGTATTGTAGAGACATCTATTACTCATGGGTCAGTTGCTTTGGTCACAGAATTGTGTTTTGATGCTTGATTCTAGTAGATTAGCTAAAATTATTAAGATCTGTCCAAACCGCAACTTTCTACTTTCAATATTTACTGAGTTATCGCCCTTTGAAAAGTTGAGTTGAGTTTTTGACGTTATCCACTGCGGTAGTGACACCCTTGGTTTCTTCCACCTTAGTTTTATCAGTCAGGGGCTACTCTACGTGAAACGCAAATGAAAGCAAGGTGGAAGAAACCAAGGGTGTCACTACCATGATGGATGACACCAAAAACCCAACTTTTCAAAGGAGATATCTCGATTAATATTGAATGTAGAAAGTTGCGGTTTGGACAGATATTAATTTTTTAAGCTAATCTACAAGAATCTAGCATCAAAACATAATTCTGTTGTAGCACAACTGACCCATTATTCTGCATAAACAGTTTTTTGGAAGTTCATAGATAGACACTGGGGGAGAGCCACTGCTTGGCCAGTTGCCATTGCTCCATTTCGATTCATGTAGTAACCATCAAAAGTAATTACCTGCATAGAAACTATTATCATCTCGGACATTTGGCTAGCAGCAATTTTTGCATGAAGCCTGTCCACAAGAGTGTCACTGTCGGAAAGTAATGGCAAAACAAACTCCAATTGAAGTCAAACTGCAGGACCTCAATTTTTTTGTGTGGGAATAAAGTTGACAAATTTAAACTTTTTAATTCCATTATATTAATGAAAAAATAGGGTGTCTACAAGTTTAAAAAACCAGGAATTGTAAGGAAACCTCATCAGGCCAGAGAAACAGGAAAAAGTCAGGGAATTTAATGATTCAGACTGGATATTTGAATCTGAGCAAACGTCAGCACAATCCTTACAATCAAACTTAACCACATTCTGGTTTGAGGCTCAATGATCCGAGTTAAACGCTGCATAGTGAACAGATTAATGAGTTTCAATGAGGAGTATCAATTTTAGTTGACTGAGTTATTCATGCCTGAAAAAAAAATAGTTATATATCTCCGTCATTTGCAGGGAAATTAATGTCAAAAATTGATCATTTTCAGCTCTAAACTTACGAAGTGTCGTGCGAAAAATCAAGGAATTTTAATCATTTTGATCAGAAAAGTCAAGGAACTTTTTCCCCTTGAGTTTGTGGACACCGTGTATGTTTACCCTTCACTAACTTTTTATCATGTTTTTTTCCAGATTGCCGGCTTAGGTCTTCTTGGCTTGGATCTCATTCTAGAGTTTGCATCCAATGTAAAGTGTCGATACTTAAATGTCAAAGCTGTGCCCGAAAAAAATAAGGAGCTTCTCTCCAATTACAAAGCTGTGTTGGAAAAAATTGAACCATCCGTAAAAGAATACAAGTACGTGGAAGTTGAAGGTAAACATCATGTACACATGAACGACCCTCAGCTGGTGGCCCCGCATATAGTCGAATTCGTAGAGAAAAAACCATGTGAAAACGGAGGTGAGAACTAATCCCTACATTTCCTCTCTCTTTCTTTCAGTATGAAACTAGCTCTGGTTTTTACATCATTCAAAAACCAAATCACCATAAATAAGGCTCCAAAATTACTTATTCAAGTATTATCTTTAATGTGAAATATTATCCTCTTAATAATTTAGTCTGTATACCTTTACAGACTATCTATTTGTCTATGTAGAAGCATTTTTACTGTTAAAAAAACTGAAGCAATCAAAAATTCTTGCGATTTCTCCTATTCCTTCTCCTGAGCAAAAGCAGGGGTTGATAATCCTCCACAAGGACAAATTTCTGCTCTATCCATCTAAAAATTCTTGTCTTTAGGTATGTATTTTCTGTCTTTTGCATAAAGATCAATAGCGTTATCGCTGAAACCTTTTCAACTTTTTTATTGCAATGCACCAACATCAATGGAAGCTTGAAACTAGAATTAAGGCGTCGAGTGTAGAAATGGCACTTCTCGGTTGCGATGTTTCAGAATCTCAACTGCTAATTTATAGTTTAGAAAGAAAACTATTTGATGAATTTTCTGGAATTCTTCGTGTAGAGTATTGTGAAATCACGAAGAATATTCAGTGAAATTTTCAGCGAACTACATGCATTGCTTTGATCCTAATGGATGAAACGTCATCAGCGATTCTGAGACACAACAACCAAGAAGTGCCCTTTCTGCACTCAGTACTTCAATCTATGCTTAAACTCTTGCATTGCTAAAATAGAGTAGAGAGAAAGAACAAAGGCCAATGGCAGAACGATTTTTGGAAGGTTACTATATGGAGCATTTCATCAATATTTGAACAAGAATAATGTTTAAGCCTTGTTTTGGCGAAGTAGCTTTTCCAGGGCTCTTGATCATTTTTTTATTATCATGTGACAGGTTCACTCCTGTATTTTAAAATTGTTAAATGTAGATAGGTGGTAATGATTCTTAGCTTATCTGACAGTTTATTATTCGAAAATTTGCTATTTAATTAGACATCAAAGATCTAACCTTGAAACCCTTTGCCTTCTTGTTTGTATAAATATGCAACTGTTTGTTATGTTTAACTCAGCTTGTTACGCTCAGATTTGATCTCTGAAACCGTTCGTTTCTAGTCAAAGAGCTCAATTTTTCACTTAGTTCTACAAGTCTATCCTTCTCTTGAAGTTTGTTCTTAAACTAATTCATGTTTTTATTCAGAGATGAAGAAATGAAATTCGAAGATTTAAAGCTGTTTCTCCTATGAAATTCACATTCCGCTCATTTACTTTTACCTTAACATATTTTCCTTTTCTTACTCAAATGGTAATGATATTTCTACCCCTAATCATTAGGAGCGGAAGTTCTATATCATGGAAAGTATTGCTTACAGTATGATAAATGTGATATAGCATAGGAACAGGTTTAAGCACAATGTATAGTTTGCTTGAAAGGCTTTAATTAAACTTTTCCTGGAAAAACCTGAAAATGCTACTTTTTTTTTAAACATGTTCACCAATAAATTTACTATTTGTATGTATAAAAAAATATAGTTGTTGCCCACACAAATGTTTTATCACTGGTTACGATTGATTTCTTTTGTTTGTGACCTTTCACAAGAAAAAGGTTGTCAGTGCTGAAACATTCAAGAAGCCTAGAAGAGAGTTTTACAAACATTTTTGTAAGAGGAAACTTTTAAATATCAAACTAGCATTCGTGCTATTTTGAATCTGGAGATTAAAAATATTAAGTTCCCAGAAAAATCCGTTTAAAAATCTTTTTCAAGAGATTTTCCTCCGTGCACTAACGTCCCTATTCCTATGAATAGTCACATTTATAACTATTGATTGTAAATTTATCAAATTGTAAACTTAAAGACTCTGAAGACTCACATATTGGTTATATGCCACTTATCAAACAAGTCAAATCCTTTGTAAGCTTCAGGAAAGTTTTTTGGAACTTTAAATTGTACGATTTCTCTTTGTTTTGTGGACGTAACATTACGCAGCTACTTGCTACTGAATTTTGCTCATTTAGCAATTAACATCCAACCCCAAAGTTCCTGTTTAATAAACCTATAGCCGATTTTTTCTTTATGTATTACTTAACTCTTTTACTTTACACACGTTTCTCTTCTGCATGGAATGCTAATTTAGTTCAAAGTATTTGTCAAGCAGATAAAAGCCCTTGCCCAGGAAATGCATCTTTCTCATCAGTGTTGTACTGTCGGTTAACCTGGAACCTCTGTTTTTTGTCTAGATGCAAAGAAATTTCGAATTCTAGTAGTAATTAATTTTCATAAGCGCACCATTTGCTATTGCTTTTCAATAAAAAAGAGGTGCTTTTCCTACGTTGCTGCCTTTTTCTGCTCCATTTTATTTTGCATTTCATTACTGTGCTTTTTTTCTTACAATAATGAATTCACTCCCAAGAAACATTGCAATATTAAAATACTCATGATTTTTATATACTTGGTCCCCCTCTTTCTCAATTTCTAATATTTTTTGAGTTCAAACGAGAGTGAATTCAGATGTTAAATTTTCACTGATAAAATGATACATTCTCAAAAATTCAAATACCACGAAGAAAGATGATATTTTTGGCTTAAAACGAGTGTTGTTTAAATGCACAGAAAATCTATCTGAAATTTTACCAAGAAGTACATCAACAAAAATAACCATACACATATTTGTAGCACTAGAAAAACCCTACAATATATTGCATCGTGCTATAACCTTATAATTTATCAATTTAACCCCATTGAGCAAGAGTTATTTCTTTTTTAGATAAGGTTACAGCTTTAGATTAATTTAAAGTTGCAAGTCTCTAGTGTGAAATCAATTCTGCTATGATTATGCAGTGAGACATTCGTACAGTTCCACGGTGATCCAAATTTGCATAATTACATCAACCGCCTAGAGGCCGTATTCAAGGTTGCGCATAATGAGAGAGCTTACTCTCTCTCTTGATTCCCTACATCCAAGTCATTCATTCGTGAGAATCAAGCATGGTTCCAAAGTGGCTCATACATTGCGCAATATTCCTCTGTTGGGATGAGAGAAGGAGGGGATTTGAGAACTACATTACAATTTTGTCACAAGGTGATTAAAATCAGCGATATGTGTAGAGACATTGTGTGTTTTTTTGATGAGGAAAACATGGATAGTTGGATATTTTTCAGATAAAAAACTGAAGAATAGAGGGGGGGGTGGAGTTCTCTAGCATCATTTAATGTCAGAAAGAATGAAGAATGTGTATGTGTGTGGAGGGAAAGGGGGTTGAAGAGGGTAAAAACATTGAGAAAAGACTGGTCTCTAACTTTTGCAATTGTAGAATCCATCTTTTTCCTCGCCCAGATTTTTATTTGGATTTATGTAATTTTGGACAATTTAAAACTACTGTTATGAGAGAATCTGTAGTTTCTTGTATTAATGACTTGTCGGTTGATTACTTTTGATGCTATGAACCATTCATCTTTTCCTGAAGATTTGACTTTAGTTGTTATTTTTCTCTTTTTTCTCGTCTCTTTGTTATCACCTATAATTATTATTACATATCCCTCCGTTTCCAGGGAAGTCTTGGATATATATTTCTTCCTTTTTAACTGATGTAATATGAATTTTGATTTGAGTTTGATGAGGCCAGAGTGTAAAAAATTTACAGTCTCGCCAAATTTTATGACTTTTGAATCTATATTGATGAAGGTCATGATTTATAGAGACTTGACCTACATGAGAGAAAGAATGTTTTTTTATGAAAAAAGGGGTCTTCTGTTAAGTATCATATTCAATACTTTTATTTTCTATGGAAGCACCATGCGAAAAAATAAAAATTGAATTTCTAATACTTAATAATGTATGTTTTAAGTTTTAGGCTGAATTTTAAGTTAAAATGAAAATAATTGCATTCATAAAAACTGGATGTTGAACCTAACTGTCGTTTTCTTTCTGCTATTTTTGTTTCATACATGTAGTCAAAGTTTCTTGATTTTTTCAAAACAGCAGTGGATAAAAGAAAAAAATCACAAACGAAGTGGGCTGTGATAGGCACCTTTGTTATAATGTGTTATCATCCTAGTAGAACATGTCTTAAAAAATTTTAAAAATATTTAAAAAAAAAAAAAAAAAAATTATTTTCATTTTTTACTTATACTGTTTCTCCGACACAGCAAAAGATCCCTTTGCGTTATTTGCAAAACCTCCCTTTGTTCTCACTGCTTTCATTTCCTGTGTGCACAAGTATCACAGTATTCCTTGTCTGTCATTCCAAATTGGACAAGAAGTCTGTCCCCTGTTGTTAACATTTTAAGTGAAGTGGAAGTGTGAACAAATTTTAATTGGACATGGTTTTTTTTTTCTTTTACGAGATGTTTCGTATTGATGCAAATGTTAATTTTTTATATATTTATTGTTGTTTTATCTTTGATAGTATTTTTGAGGCAGGGAAAATTGGGTATGATAAAATTTTCCCACCTGTAGACTAAGTTATTAGCACATAAAATTTGTTAAGAATGTTTTCTTCTTACTTGTTTAATCCAAGAAGTGCACTTGTAATTGTGTTAATGATAGCCTGCAGAAAAAGTCTTCAAAGTTTTGCTTCGGCTGGAGATCAAATTTTTTAGGAGGTGATACGGGCCTTTTAAAGCTCGTCACTGAAAGTTAAAGAGGTTTTCGTACTCTATTTCACATTTTCTTATCATCACCAATCAATAGTTCAAAAATTTGGAGCATTCCACAGCTTTAATCTCTAATGTACGATATTGCCTGACCCTCAACTTCTGACTTAACAAGCTTCTTACTTTGATCATTTACATATTACTCTCTTGAATAACTGGAACTTGGTTTCGATAAGTAGGAGGAAAAATCATGAATACCAATTTTTTTTCTCTAGAAACATTGAGTTCTTCTATTCAAGCAGTAAAAAACAGTCCAACAGTAATGGCCACTGAAAAAACATAAAGTGTGATATTGTCTGATTTGATAAATGTAAGTATATGCAAGAGATATTTCAGGAGTAAGCACAGCCTTTTGTTGTTCTAAAATTGATAAAAATGAACAAATTTGATTGATCTTGGCCGTGAAGTTTTCACTGGGTTTTTATTTTAAGAAATTTCAATCCAGCTCAACTGGATGGCATGATGCTGGAAATGAGATGTGAATTTGACCAACGGTATGTATCCAACTGACTGTAATGCAGCAAACTGTTCTAAAGCAGAGAATGAATTATCTGCCTCTTAATGTCCAAAATTATCAACCAAAAAATTTACTGAATGTTTGACATGGTACATATTTTTCTTCACTAAGCCACCATCCTTACTTGTGCTTCTCTTTTGGCTGTAAATTGCCCTGATCGTTGAACCTTTATTGTTAATTCAATTGTAGTTAAAGCAAAATTCAATGCTTCTTCCTGCTCAATATTACATAAGAACAAACACCGATTTAATAGATATTTAATAATTACTATTTGCAAAATTTGTTGTAGTAGAGAATGATTTCAAGATTCCTTTTCTCTCTTTTTTTTCTATTACATATCAGCTCCCATAGTGTGATAGCAGCTTTGGATTGGAATCCATTTTAACCTGAGTAAAGTCGGTTCTCTCTGTTACTTTAGCAGCTTTTATGACGTTCTTGTATCAAGAAACCAACAACTGTTGTTTATTATCTAATGTAATTTTCTAGGGGAAAAAAAGGCACAATACCCTTATATAAACAGTTGAAAATTGATGATGAGGAGGCTTGTAGCCATCCGCAGCTAACAAATTTGGGCCAAGGGTCCTTCAAGTGTCATAACGTACCAAGGGAGAGAGGGGTCTCATGTAGTGTTCTTTTCTATCATAGAAATATTCAAACTGTTTTCAGTCAGGGAGAGGGGGGTAAAAGATAAGAAAACGTGCGTTGCTTAGTGTTCTAATGATCTCTCCGAGCACTGGTCTATTTTTATCTTTGAAGTCATTGGTTAAGAAATGGCTAAAATGAGTTTTGTTTAAAACTTGTAAGAAGCTGTTCATCACAGGGACTATTAACTATGTACCTACAGATACTCTACGTTTTGTTATATTGTTATAGCGTTTTTATTTATATCCTGTTTTGTTCCTTAGAATGACATTCCACATTTGTTCAAGGTAATCCATAAGAAATTAATCACTAAAAAAGGGCTCAGCGTTGATTTAATTATGTTGATATGAGGATTCGAACAAAATTACAAGGCCTAGGATACGCTATAGGTGAATAAAGTGTGAGATATTCAACACATTCTGCTAAAGCACTGATTTGACTCGATTCTTTGACTAAACATATCCTACCCGGCTGAAGGAGCTCTTCTACTTTCTATTTATAAGACTGTCTTTTGGAGACCCAGATCAAAGCGCTAAGTGAAGAAATGCAAATATCACACTTTGATCAGTCAAATCGAATGACAAATTGTAAATACTTATTTTCATAGATCTTTATGTTCCATGGGTGAAGGGATCTGAACATTCTGAAATTAAAAATTGAGATTTAAAAATAATGAAGATCGTGAGTAAAATATTTTTTTTCCAACATTTTGGTTCAAAAGCTCTCGAAATTATTAAATCAAACAGAAAGATCTTAATGCTTGAATTTGCTCCTTGTTTAGTGGTCTGATGAATTGCGTTCAATTTGCATTGGAGATTCATGATTTGGTAGAGAAAGTTACCTGACTAAAATTCTTAATATCCAATTTTAACTAGAATTCCTTTCCTAAAATGTTTTACTCGGATGAGTGAAATCTCTTTTTCCTATGGAGCACTCTCCATTTATCATCGATTCCTTTTGATTTCTATTGTCAACTTAGCCTGAAAACCCGCCTACATAAGTGTATACTATTTCTGAAATCCTAATTTTTTATTGCTCTACACAATTGCAATCTTGCTAACGATCAAAAGCGTGTAACATGGTATTCGTAGGTTTGTATTTCTTACGGATCTACCCTCCATCCCAAAGTGCTATACGAAGTTTATGTGTGCTTGATAGTTTTTAGTTACGTTATTTATTGTTTATAAAGATTTATCTCCAAAGCTAATTTATTGCCAATAAATCTTGTGCGGTTGCATGTGTTTTGTCCTTCATTCTAAATGGTTTTCATGAATAAAGTTGAATCCAGGCGCTACTATCAAATGCATCAAATCTGTTTCGATTAGTCATCACCTGTTTAATTTTGATCTTTTCTAACTATTTGTTTAACGCAGCCTAGTTTAACATATGGGCAACAGTGCAGTTTTTGCTATTTCGAAAAATACACGCAAGTTTGAAGTTTCAAAATTACATGGATCCTTGTAGTGGGAAGATAGTTCAAAAAGACTTTACGATGCTCCAATTTAAAGTTGAAATTTGGGAGCAAATTTTTCACAGAATGTGCATTACTAAAGACTAGCCTTACGTGATATCATTAATATCTTAATTTTTTCAACAACTGCACTTATGCGCCTTATCCTCCAGGCCGCTTATAAAATAAAATTAATTTTTTTAACTGAGCGCAGCTTTTACTGAAATAGGAGGACTAATCAGTTTTATTCCATCATTTTGAGATTGTTCTGTTTTTACTTTAAAAAAATATTATTTTATGCATCATCAACAATTTTTCTCTTCCTAATTTCCCTTCTTATGCACTGAATTTTGCCATAATCAAAACGACTCTCCAGAAGGTCAAGTAAATTTAGAAAAATAGCAAATCCAAAAATTTGGTAGGCGAATTTTTGCCATTCAGAAGTCACTTCATACATTCAAGTCAAGTCAAAAAAGTAATCTGTGCAAATTTATTGCTCATGCAAATTAATCTTCAATTTTATTTCATCGTGCAAATAAATGGTGAAACAGCAGGAACTCGTATTTCTGTTGGCGATGTTGCAGACTTCCTGCTATACTTAATTTTTTAAATGGTAATATACTCAACGGCACCTTTTGGAAACTTCTCTAACTTTTTACCTCTGCATGAATAACATTTTGTGACAATTTCCAGCAATAGCATTGATTTGTTCTCTTTTGAGATAAAATGGGAGAGAAAATTTTGATACACCACAAACAAGATACGCATTCCTGCTGTTTCACTGTTGATATGTTATAAAACTATAGAGTGTACTGGGCAATATGAGTAGGTATTGTTTAAGGCCTTGTCTCCATAGGACATTTTCATGGGATTTGTCTTAGAGTCGAATCCTGGGAATGAAACTTGAGGGTTTTTTGCAGTTACCGTCTCCACAGGACGGGGCTCTCACATTCCTGTGACAAGTTCGCGCAGGAAGATGCATTAGTAAAACTGAGTTTTCAACTGGTATTAAGACAATAACTGAACAAAATCAACAATTCAATAAATGATTTAAATTAAACAAACATGAACAATCAAGTGAACAACAAAATATCATACACTTTGCTTTCACTTCTACTTCTTCATTTCTCAGTTGGTCTTGTTTCTCTTCAAGGATTACAATGACCATACTAAGTACTGCGATTAATATTGAGTTAGTCAATATTTTTCCAAACGTTGCAAGTGAGATTTTTCCCTGAGATAAATCTCATGAAAATAGTCTATGATGACAAGATCTAGGTCATTTTTCTATCCTTCCTGAAATAAGTTTTCACTCTTATGAAAAAACAGTTAGTACAAGATTGGTCCGAGAGCTAAAGGTATACATATGTATACATTATGCAAGAGCAAGTAGGGCAAAGTTAGAAAAAATAGGTAAGTAAATATAAATTGTGAAAAAAGAATAAATATATTTCATCATCAGTATTTCTTTTTCTCTAAATATTTTCCCTCAACAGCAAAAACAAAAAGTCTACAGACTGGAAAAAATAATTTCAGGATTTGTAAAAATCCAAAACATGAAAGAAACCCATAATCATACCCGTGTTATTTAATGAAATAAAATTAACCCTTTTCCAAACTCCTCTCACCTATATCAGGCTGAGATATCACTGAAGAAAAATATTTATAGCATAAAATACTCAACTGTCCATGGAAAAGAGATTTTAGTGCTGAAAAACTTGAAATTAAGATATCATCTGAGTTTTTTGGACACATTCAACTGAAATTAACCTAACTACATCAGACATTGCCCAATTTTCTCGGATGTTTCATTTTATTTTATAAATATAAAACCAAGCATCACTGAAACTTGAAATTTTGTGAGAGTATTATTCATAATCTATCGTAGGTAAATTCACGGAGAGTTCAATGGCGTTTAATATTTTAGCTCTGTGTTAAAAAAATAAACCATGCGAGAAAATTAGGCCAAATGAAATGCAATTAGGCTGGTTCCTGTAAAATCCGTGAATTTCTCAGAGGATTGAATTACCAATATTTAGGTACACCAAACACACACATGGCAACTCGAGTTTTCCTTTCAAGACAAGTAATTTTAGGGAACCTCTGTTTCAAATTTTAGTCTATCATGCACAGAGCGCAAGAATGTTGGACGCCTTCTGTAACCATGTAACAATATGTAACATTCTCTTTGGGATCTAGAAAATACAAGTTTCCCGACAAAATGCAGATTCTGATTTTCTTGCCCGACTTAAAAAAATTACTATCCTATGAAAGTCCCTTTGCACTGAGGCACCTCCTCGTGTGGTTGGTTACATTTTAGAAAAATAATTAGGAATTGGAAATATGAAAACTCGAACCATTGGGCATTTACTTAGTAGAGATCTGAACAGTAATGGTTGCTACTGTAGAAATTATGAAGAAAGATGAAAATGAGTGTACAATGGTGCCTAAGTATGTTTAAAAAATAAGAAAAAGAATGAATCAATCAACGCACCCTTATTTTGAGACAATGGTGCCTAAGTATGTTTAAAAAATAAGAAAAAGAATGAATCAATCAACGCACCCTTATTTTGAGACTAATAATAAAAAGTAATTATTATAATAACATGTAAGAACAAAAATATTATCACAGAATGATGATCTTCCTCAGACAAACAAAATCACACCTCTAGCTGAAAAATTAGTATTGGTAAAATTACATAAATATAATAAGAAAGTCTGATCTAATAATTATGGCTGAACGCTAAATACACGAATCTCAACTGCAGCGTTTTTAAATCGTCAGTTCTTTTTTATACATCTTTTGAAGGAGAAAAGTCAAAACTGTTTCTATGAAATAATGTGAAAACGTAGTCTTCAATTTAAAAAGCTGACAATAATGAGATCTCATGCCTGATACTACAAATTGAGATATTAGTTTTTATATTTTAACCATGAGCTTCAAAGTAAATGTTCCAAATGTTGTGTATTCGCTCTTTTAGCAGAGGTAGACCTTACAAAAGGCGTGAAAGTTGACTTGCTCAGTACAATTTGTCTCCGTATCAACGCATGAACTAGAGATGCTGCTTGATCTTAAAAACTATAATCATAATTAAAAATCATAGAACTTAACAGATATTCATGTAAAACGCAAGAAGTAAAGTCTCTCTTTGTAATCAGAATTTTAAAGCTGATTTTGTTACACCAAAAAATATCAATATAAAAGGGTTTGCTATAATGCCAAAAATGCCACAACATGAGGTGCGACTAGTGAAGCATTATTCAAATGAACATGATGTGCCCCCTCTACCTCGACACAACAAAAATCTCTGGAACTTTCTCTCAGCACCTCCATTATTTGATTGTAGATCTTTTCCTTTTCCGCAGACTTTCCTCCTGGTACAGCTTTCACATTTAAATAGCGACACTTCACTTTTTTGGCAAATTCCAGAACAACATCTATTGAGGGCAGGCCAATGTTTGAGACCTAAAGGCAATTGGTCAAAAAACTATTAGAGTAATACTTGTAATCTTGGATGAGACATAGTTGAAGTAGAATGAAAAGAGAATGATACACATGAAACTAAACTTTTTTCAAATTGAATTCCTCTTATAACTTTGAGCACAGCCATAAATTAATATCAAATTTGGATTTTTCAGCCTTCAATCTCCTTTGTTTGAGACAGATTTCCTGAGTAGCCTGCTAGTTTGAGTGGCCGATACTATAGCAGAGGCATCTTCTTTCACATTTTTCTGCTTGCAACTAAAAGTTTGGAAGGGCCTCAACAGATTTGTTTTCTATAAAAGCTAGTCTCTTGGTTTTTAATGTGGGTAAGGGGGCAGGAGCAATATAACAAGCATATAAATGCATTGACCAATATCTTAAATGACTAGTACGGTAAACAATAGATTACACCAAAACTTTAGATCCTCAAAATTCATTTTTGGGGGAACTGATTTTTGTCATATTTTTCTCATTTTCTCTCAGCAGTTTCCTCTGACTGACTACTTGAAACGGGTAAACCGATTGTTACACAAATATCAAGAATGAATTATAGAGACCATTTTCACATCATATACTTTAAATTCGTGAAAACATGTTTATTTCATAATGTTTTAGAAATTGAGAGGATCAATGGGTTTCTCGTAAGTTGGCAACACTTGGCTTTGTCCACTTAAGCGCATAAAAATACGTAATCAATATTTTTTGAGGGAGGCAGCCTCACCTAGAATCAATTATTTATAATGAATTCAAATTTAGGAAATGAAATGTTTTCCACTCGTAAAAATAGCCATTGAAGAGTAAGAGAAGTATCATAGCACACTTGTCACCATCGATCTTCGATCATACAAACTTAGGTCCATCTATCAAACAACTGCCACATTAATTCAGTGTTCACCTACTTTATTTAAAGCATAATTCTTCAAGTTAAATCAAGGTATCATTAATATTATCTCCTAGCTTAAGGCAACTAGAACTTGAAAAGACGATCCTGCAGGCCAATTATTGAAATATTGTGTTTGTCGGGGGGAAATAAATGACATAGGTTTAATGGCAGAGCAAGATTAGTCGAGCGACCAACCATGCTCCAACATTTAACCTATGTTGTCTATGTCCGTCCAAAATACACAAAATTTTAATAATCGCCCTGCTGACATACTTACTTTCAGACGGACATCCCGTGTAAAATGATATAGATGAGGATTTTGTGGGTTTCGGCGCATTCCACGTTTCATCATTATTTTGCAAGCTTCTCTTGTCATGGATCCAGCATACGCATCCTCCACAAGATCGATCATTTCATTGTAGGTATAAGATGGCATGTTATTTTCATTAAGTTTCTCATACTTTAAAAATCTATAAAATAAAAATAAAATAACTGTCATAAGTTCTACAAAGTTGTCATAAGTTTTCCCTAGAGGTTGATGGAAAAGAAAACCTCTTGAAGGAGTAAGAAAATAATTATTTAATCTCTTTCAAGTTTTCATTGTCCCTACTTTAACCGTTTCTTCTATTATTGTCACAATTCTGTTTGGAATTGTTGTATTTCATGAAATTGGGACTTGGGGAAAATTAATACTTAAATTTTACTTGAAAAATGTGGCTTGCTTGTGAACACTGAAAATTTTGAACAACAGCTTAGCTCTAAAGTAGCCAACAAAGACTTGGCAAGAAAAAATTTTGCATTTCATAATTTCAGTTTTGAAACAACAACCAAGGTTATGCATTACTCGGTTCTTAATTGGCAATCCCATTTAAATAAAGTACCTAAAGAAGTGAGATATATACTCACCAAGTTTCGCCATCAAATTAGAAATTTGTCATTTGTCATCTTTTAAAAATTACGTGCAACTCTCCATAAGAAGCTTTAAAAAATTCGAGTGAAAAAGGCTTTCAGAGGTGACTTACTTTTCTACATAATCATGAGTGCTCTGAGCATGAGTTGATGGTGGATCAATTCGAGGACCAGCAGCGTCCAAAGAAATAAGAGCTTCTACGTCATCTGGGTAGCAACTGGCATAGAGAAATCCTATCCCAGCTCCCATTGAATGACCAAGAATGGTAATTTTTTTCCAATTGAAATGCTGGACAATTCTTCGAATATGTATGAGGCCATCCCAGTAGCGGTAGTAGGCAACTCCCTTAGAACAGAGGACAGAATTAAACACTGTAACAAAATGAAAATGTATATTCTTCTGTTAGTTGGTAATGGGTTACCATGGGTTGGTTAATGTGTTAGTACAGTTGCTACTGGTTTTGCGAACAATTGGGTACTTCTTAGATTCGGCAGAAATGTCAGGTCAATCTAGCTTTAGTCCTGAATTACTAAACTTTGTTCCTCTTGACGCTCTACGATGAAAGAATGAAACTAGAACTGACTGTTTAATTTCTTCATTTCTCACTTTCTTAAAATTTCACCATCAATATATCTCGCTACTATCAAAAGTTTCCTATATTCTTGTTAAGCTAAGATTCAACTAAGAATTTAGCGCAGGAATAGTCTTGAAAATATATTTTGACAAACTTTAACTTGTGTTGAGTTCACTTCAGTAACTTGTGGGAACTTCAACCAAAATCAGGCTGACTGCATTTCACATTGCTTAATTTCCTCTGGAGTTATATACCTAGTTTCTTCACAGAGTACCAAGCAACATAAGTGATTGCTGTTAATTTCCTATGGTATATGAGAAATAATCAGAAAATTTCAAATCTGATTGTTGCTAAGTTTTTTTCTGAAAAAAATAAAACATAAGAGGAAATCAGGCAGCGAGTAATGTAGCTGGACTGATTTTGGTCGAAGCTGTCGAAATTATACACTAAAAAAAATGATTCTCATGCTAATGCCAAGATTGGCTGGCTATAGATGGCCTGATCTCCATCAAGACAAACCTGAGTTCTGACCTCATGAGAGGGGTTCATAACCCACCCTGCTTAAAATGATCCTCAATTCAGAATTTTTTCATCAGAACCTGCTATATATCAGAAATAAGCCAACAATAACGCAAACAGCTCCTGCGGAGGGGGCCATCACAAATATTCTAGTAAGGTCAAATCTTTTCAGGTCTGCGCGTACCAATATAGTAACTACACCAACTGATTGCGGTAGACACACGGATTGTAAGACAGTATGTTGGCATTTTTTAGGCAACGTGCATTAAAAATCAGGATAAAGCAGAAAATCTCAATACAGAGCGAAGAAAAGGAAAGAAGCTCACACATAATCACAATTTTCCTTCAAAGAGATGCGCTGTTTGGTGCAACACTAGTAACAACCATTCCGAAAGGCAACTACAGACGCATTTGGGCCTTATTGGGCCAATTCTCGCAGCCTCCTGAATTTCCTGCTACCAAGCTCGAGAGGTTGTGAAAACCAGCCCGAGACTTGTTACTAGTGTTGCACCTACTGCATATCTCTTTGAGGGAAAATTGTGATTATGGGCTTTTTCCTTCTGTATTGAGATTTTCAGCTTTATGCTGATTTTTAACGCACATTGGCTATAAAATTCCAACATACAATATTGCAATTACGTCTATTCCACTGAAAATCATCGAGTAATAAAAGAAGTATGTGTTAAAAATAAATAGACTCAAGCTATGTACAGGAGGTAAATGTGATGATTGTCCATGCCCAGGGAAGTCGATGGCTAAGATTGAAAGGTTAGCTGGGAGTAGGTTGATCAACTCATCAAACGTGCCTGCGTTGTCTTGGAAACCATGCAATGCTAATATAGCTTGTTTACCTTTAGGACCCCACCATTTGCCTGAAACATACAAAATAAAATAGAGGATAATATTCAACTACATACCAATTGGTCTTTCTCCATAATCATTATAATTTTATCATCATATACATGCCTATTACTTGCTTTTTAATACATACATGCATGACATGCATAAAATGCATATTTAATACATATTTTGAAACTGAATTTAATTGAAAATTACACCCCTCCTCTACTTAATATAGAACTTTTGTTCAAGGAATCAAGGATTCAGGGTGAACAGTCTCATGTATTAACACCACATTTCAAAAGATTTTTTCTCAACCGATTTCTCGACAACTAATAATTGAAATTGGTAAACATCAGAAATCCAACAAAAAAGTGATGTCAACAATGACGTTGTAAGTATTAGAGATTGCTAATCATTTCAATCCTAAGTAAAGGAAATACATTTTAAGGAAAATCAATTTTCCACCACCGATTATTGAATTGTATTGAATTCTATGCAAGGATCAAATCAACTGACTGAAATCAATTTTTCCTTCAAAATCCCAGTACTGAATACTGACAGAAGCTGAAAATGATTGCGATTTGTCAAGGTGATGACCTTGGAGAGTTAGTGGTCAACATCCCCATCAATGTCAAGTAAACTGATCTGGACTTGAAACATCCAAAAACTGACACAGACTGATAGCCGTCCCTTTCATCCCAAACCCATTATCATAACTCAATTCAATTTTTTTAAACTTCATTCTTTATTTATAAACTACTTGAGTATATAACTTCGAGGGAAAAGAACAATTTAACATACAGTATCATACTGATAATCAATTAGGATCAATTGCTAGGCTATCCAAAAAAATTGGACGCTCGACGAATTCATAAAAAAAACTGAAAGGTGTCGGTGAAAATAATTGATACGGTGAGAAGTGTTAATGATGAAATAGTGAGAAACTAACCACTGATGTGGCCCCATGGAACGTCAATCTGAAATTCAGCAAATTCTCTGTTGTTGCTCATGATATATCACAATAATAAGTTTCTGCAGGAACTGAAAAGATTTGTTCGGCCAGAGGGAATTTAGTCACTTTTGTGCACACAGCAGTCATGGATGAGGAACGAGATTTGAATTAAAACTGAGTAACTTCCAAGAGAATGAAGCGATTAGAGAAGCAGCCAACTCTCAAGATGAATAAGCTGTTAGTGTCTCTATAACTGAAATATGCTTAAAACCAGTCAATCGCCATTCATTGTGAGTAGTTGATGAATTGACGATAAAAACGTCACAATAGCATAATTAACTAACATTAACTAAACTGCCAAGGATCAAGTAAAAATTAAAAAACCTTATCGGCGGCAGTCAAAAATTGAAACTGAACTGATAAGCTGATAAGAGCCGAGAGGTTAGAAAGTTTGTAAACATTTTCCAGTGCTCCTGGCGGTGCTGAGGAGAAACTAAATCCAAAACAAAACCCTAACCTGCAAGAATACATGGAGTGGAGTTTTTCAATTTTTCCCGTTTTCCGGGTTTTTCCTAGATCGTTGAATTTTTCTCGTATCAGTTCACTTCTCTTTTCTCTCATCTTTTATTTATCAACCATTTGCGTTTCCCGCACCTGAAAAAGTGAAAGTGTCACTCATTCTCCAAGACGTTAATTCCATTTTGTGGTTTATTCTAAGATGAAACCAAGCGAAGCTTTCTAATTTACTCAACTGTGTTTTAGCATTGAAGTAACGTCTCAAGCAACATTTGGTCATCCTCTGTAATGATGGATGTAGAAATCATTGATGATACTCCTGACAATCAATCAAATGGAAACAGTACAGCAGCAACCCAGAGTGTTATGGACTCAGACCAAGAAAAATTAATATCAGAAGCGCTAGCTAATGTAAGCTGGCCGTCCAATATCAGAAGAACCAGACACCGTGAACATGCCGTAAGTTAGCATGTATATTCAGCTTGATTTTAGTTTAGTATCAAGTATGGAATGCCACAGAAAGAATCAAAGGAATTTCGGCACATTATCTCTTCGCAGATTCCAGAGTGCCTCTGATGTAGAAATTATTAAAAATATTTGTTCATGAAATGTATGGAACAAAATACTTAATTTTAGATAAACATTTTTTGAGCCATATTTGCCATTTACGTTGCATTTTTACAAAAGATGCTTTTAGATGTTTATCTACAATCTGAGGTTTGAAAAACAATGTATGTAACAGTTAAGGTTCACCACTATACTGATGGTGAACAGTGAGGAAAGCATGCAACTGGTTTTTCAATGCTGCAGTTTTTTTATATTGACATATTCTCCGTTGTCTCTTATGCTGAAAGAGCACACAATTTTACTGATGCTGAGACTAATTTCAAAATTATTTTTCTCATTTCAGCAAGCCTTAAAATTAGGACTCACATCAGCCACAGATAAGTTTCTTCATAATTTTAATCCAGAAAATAGCAATCGCGAAAGGAGGAAGTTAACAAGAAAATTGGTCCAAAATAAGTAAGTACATCAAAGAAATTGTAATGAAATGTCAGATGAGGCTTCTCAAAATGCTGAAGCTGGTATCTTCGAATTTTCTGTTGGTTTTACTTTGAAGTATAGATTGAGATACCCAGGGCAAAGAATAGTCCCTAGACCAACAGAACGAAGATACCTCAAGCTTTTTATTTCTTCTGTCGGTGCCCATGAAATTTACACGTAGTTGTTGATTCACTCCTCAATCTTTCATAATACTCGCAACACTACACCTAAAGTTGAACACTGCTTCTGCAAAAAATTAATACTTTCACAGCCTACCAACAAAAAAAAAACTGGGAGCAATTAGAGGGAATTAAGTAATATTACTTTGTCAACTTTTCTCAAAGCTGTACTTATGTAAAGTCATTTTTCAAAGTCAGTAATAATGTGGCTCACTTCTTAATCCTTGTAAAGAAAAATTCGATAAACTTCAAAAATCAAGCAGTACAGTTCATTTTTTCAGAGAGAATCTTCCAAGTGCACCCAAATTAAGTAATGTAACTTGAATTTTGTCACCTACATGCGCCATAGAAAGTATGACTTCTTATATGAATTTTTTTGTCATACATACAAGGTACATACATACCTTGTCAAAAATGGGCCCGGATGAAGTGAAACCCCGATGTACTTAGTCTTACAACATTCAAATGGACCGAGTTTAACAGAAAGGAACCAAGCCACATCAGCTATTGCCAAATTTAACCGGACAATTAATTCTTTTACGAGAGAACGTTTGTGCGGATTCCTTTGAAATTTTTAAGGAATTTTCTTCAAACTATGGAGATTTTACACTGAAATTTGCATGGAAATCTGCGCGATCGTTTTTATGTTAAAAATTAAATTGACCGATTAAATTTGGCAATAGCTGATGTGGCTTGATTCCTTTCTGTTCAACGCAGTCCAAATATGACCTGACATAGATTAATGCAGGTTTTTTTGTCTCTAAATATTCAAAATTTTATTGGAACGTTTTTGTTTTGCTTTTTGACATTACCTACTGTAAAATTTAAATCTGTTTTTATTTTCAGCAAACGTGCATATGATGCAAAAGGAATACTGCTTGTATGTAACAAAGATTTATGTGATTGCCTCAATGAGAAATGTCCTGGTTGTTTCTTTCCATGTCCAAAATGTAGATCCTGCAAGTGTGGACATGAATGCAGGTGAGTCATGTCACTCAACTGTTTCAAATTAAATCGAGCAATTATTATGAAATGGATATCTTTGTGTAATTTTAAAATTAACAATGCACCATTGTGAAATTACTGAAGAAGCCCAAAAATGGTCTTGAACTCAAATGGGAATGAGAAAGCACAGAAAAACTGAACCAACGTTTTTCAATTCTCCTCTCTCTCTCTCTCTCTCTCTTATGATAGGAGACCCAGAATAAACCGGTCAACCTTTGTTCTGGCTGCCAGTTTTATAATATTGACTTCTCCTTTTGAGTGAGCTCAAGTAACTTGAAAGTTATTGATGAACCTAAATGTGCGCTGTAATGTAAAAATCTTCATGAAAACTATTAATTTGCTACCATGTTAGTGGATTACTAGACAAGGTGAGAATTTAAGCACTATGATACATGTCTCTTGACTAAAATTTCATATTGAAAATGAATTGCACTTTGAAAATCACTCAACTCCTAACGTTTTTAGTTCACAAAGTTACAGGAAGTTTTAATTCCCCAGCCACTCTCATGAGTTTCAATGAAAGTCATGATAGTCAACTTGAATCAAATTGCGCACCATACATTGGTTTTGGCAGCCTTCATAATCGAGCAATGTTTCTTCTTTGCCCTATGTTGCTCATTGTGTCAACAACGCGTAACAGCTGAGCCTTGAGGCCGTCATATTTTCATACGATAGAGATTTTTACAATAACATTTAGTGGAATTTGACTCACGTAGTTTTGTGTTTTTCATGAAAGGGAGGTTTGAATTTATGCATAAAAAATGTCAAATATCTTACTTAGGAGTTGAATCAATAATATTTGCTGCGTGAATCAAGTTCTACGTCAAATTTTGATGAGGTACCTGGTATGCCTCAGAATCCATGAATTTGAATTTTGTCTGATGGTTCATTGTGAGCAAATATGCTGTGGAAGCTGACTGTCCCCTGTTTTGATATCAAAATGCTCACCAAGTCTAAATTAGTCACTATCTCCGAAGAGCATGGTTTCTAGTTCCCTTAATCCGTTCTCAGCACTCAAGACCTAAAACAACAGGCTGTTTAAATTGTTTAAAGCCGAGTTTCGAATTTGTTTTATTGGTACTTTTTTAGTAATTTTTAGACTAGATGAAAGATTCAGACGGAAGTTCTAATGTACCCGACTGTTCAAAATTTTTGGGGGAGACGGGAAACTGACAAGGTCGTTTAAGCTTTTAGAACCTTCTAACTGAAATAAAATATAACCATCAAAGACTCGGAAGAGTCTCCCCTACAAAAGGTTTTAATAAAGAAGAAAATTATTTCTCTTTCCAGGCAATTCAGGAAGTGGATCTACGAATCAGCTGAAATTCAAGGCACAAAAAGTGTAATTCAAAATCCATACAAAGATCTACTCAAGAAGAATCCCTAGGAATTGATAAACCAGATAAGATTCTACATTTATAATTCCTGTCTTTTGTACTTTCCTTCAAAAGGCACATTTGTTCTTTCTCACCATCAGTTTCACTGTTTTCGATTTGTATCGCAAATTCGATTGCATGTTTAAATAAGACATAATGGTGTGAAGACCCATATCTAACATCTCCATGACAGCGGAAAGATTTTATCTGTCATTTCATCTTTCAGTCCCTATCATGAAAAGGGTTCAGAGTGTCCAGGAAAAGTATTCTGCGGGGAAAGAGAATCCCCAGGAGAGTTCTAGATTCTTTCCTGTAACTGAGGCGTTTTAGAGTTGAAAACAGATGCAAAATATATGAAGCAACTCGTTAACATTAATATGCTATCCTAATTAAAGATCGCCTAAAATTTCTTGTGAGTAGGACAATCAGAAGAGACCCAAGGAATGTTGACATTGTAAGTTCTTAGGATAGGTTATCAGAGCATGAACTTTTCTACAGGAAAAATCATGGACTTAAGTATTTAAGAGGATCAAGCATCTAAACCAAAAATTCATGGGACCATCCTTAATTTATGCCAAGCGCTTAAAAGGAGGAGATCCAGAAGTCCCTGATAGATGCTTGACAGTAAGAACACTTATCTCAGATTCAAGACCAAAAACGCAGTTTGAAAATTCGAAAAGTAAAGAAAAGAGAAAAGATTGAAAAATAATCTTGAGCAGTTTTTTCTCTCTTTTTTTGAACGAGAAGGGAGTCAGTGTATTTTGTTTGGTGTAGTTATTAGGAGTTTAGAGGTTCCTGAAAAGAGGAGGGCATTGATGAATCGGAATAACTTCCCAAGCTTGATATATTTAGTCAACAGTCCTTTCTGGAAATGAAACTAGTTTCAAAGAAATCAAAATTAAAAAGGAGAAATAAAGTTCAAAGCTTGTCAATTTAAAGTTAAGATTTGCTATGGGCTGAAGATGGCATTGATTGTGTGTGCCTGAAGAACTTCGGAGTTGTAAATAAAATTTTACAGTATAAAGGAAAAAATTCTTCGAAAATAATTTACTTTCTTTCGCACTTGCTTTCATGAAACATCCATATGTAAAATATTATGGATCAACTGCAAATTTAAATATATTAATCGTGGTGTTTAGATCTTCCTAAAATGTATTTGGTTTTTCTCCGATTTCTCTCTTTTTCAAAAATTAAAAATTAAGGTTTGATCAAGATCTAAATATTATTTCCACTGAGATGGCACTCAATGTTTGAAACTATGTTCAATTGCTATGTTGCAATTTGTGACCAAAAAATTTGCTAATGTGATTAGAATTTTTGCATTTCCATGAAAAATAAAAATGCATCTAAATAAATTAAAGTCAGTCCATTGTTTTTACCCTTTCATAGAATTTGATCGATCAACATTCATACTCACTTTTTGACCAACTGAAGGCTGCTTTTTTTTGAGTAGATTACCGTCTACCTGTTTTAATTTTTAAAGGTTTATTGTGAATCTCTGATTTTTGATGCCTATGAAAGTAAGTTTAAACGAGATCTTTTAATGGTTGCCCCTATCATTTCTGAACAATGATTTAAATGGCAAATTTTGAATGGTAAAAATTCTCATCCTATTAAATTTTTTCAAATAATTCTAGAGCCAGAATGGTGAAATTCATCAACTCATGTCAATATTAATAAGCTCTGTTGCCTAATTTCAAAGCTGAGTTTTATTTATTGTGAGTGTTGTGATAAATTTCATGCGAGCATAGCCATAGTCACTACTTCTAAAGACAAACCATTCTTGCGCATTTATCGGGAAGGGATCTGTATTTTCACTGCATCCCTGAATCAACAGATCTAAAAGATATCAAGGAACCTCTCAGAGGAAATGAATTTGGAACTTTTATGACAAGTCTATATATTCATGTGCTCCTGAACCAATAAATCTAATATATTTTGTAAATAAGCACAAGTTTTTTTAAACCATCGAAAACTTCAACCAGAAAATATTTGTATGCCCCAGAAATTTCACAATATGCTCTGACCATCTTTATTACAAGTGGAAAAAAAAGGTGAACAATCAAACATTTCAAGTATTTCAATATATTTATTTGATATTTAATTTGTAAAGTATGAATTTAAAACAATGTTTAGAACATTCCTTTTCATTAAATATTTACAGAATATAATCCTTAAAATTTCATATTTACACAAAAATTAAACTTCTTAAAAAGATGGACCCTTTCAGAAAAGTGAAAAAAAATAAAACGTTACAAGAAAAAAGGAGAAACTAATATCACAATGCATTGGTATAAATGTACAGAGTAATGGTGGTAAAATATATCTTTGAATGCAGTTATTTAGATTTCGGTGAGTTAAACATTTAAGTATCAAATTTTTGCCTTAAACATTCAGCTTGTCATAATCCGTCATAGGCTGTACAATGACTATTATTTATCAATCTCTTTTTGTGACTCCCGGGAAACGAATAAAAAAGAAGGATAGTGAAGTGGAGGTCTTGACTTGGGTCCAAAGACAAAAAATTGTATGTTTTTAGTGCCCCACATTAGATTCAATGCTGGTCCAAAAGGACTCGTTTCACCATCTTCACATATTTTTCGTCTCAAGTGGTTCTATACATGATATCCAAAGCTCATACACCAAATCCTTTGGGCCCAGCATGGAATCTAATATGGAACATTGAGAAAACGCGAATTTTTGCCTTCAGACCCAAATTTGAGCCTAAGTTTTGAAGCTGAAAAGTGAGAGAATCGCTGAAACACAGCTGTTTCTGCATAACATACATCATCAACTGTAAAATATCGGAAAATCTCGGGATTCCGGAAGTGGCCGGATTATTACTCCTATTACTACCCCTTGCTTGAATGGAGGATATTTTTAGAATTATTTGCAGGGTGAGTCAGTGCTTTTTTTTTCACACTCACTCTCTACTGTCTGCTTTCTTCCCTCTTTCATCCCTTTGTCTCCCATTTTCAAGCTTTCAAATCATGCCCTATGAAGTTTCTATTTTATAGCTCTCTCAATCTTAAAGTCGTAAAAACCAAGAGTTTGACCTTGAGACAGTGATAAACTGAAAGATTCTTGCTCATAATTTTTAGTTCGTCTCATGATTGGTCGGACGCAGAAATTGGAGATTTTTCAGGTGACCTTAGATCACTGTGATATTTTGAATTTTGTAATAAATTAGACGCTAGGATTTTATTAAGAGACTTCTAAGGAGGCCTGGGGGTGGATGCGATTTTTTTCTCTTTTTTTCCCCCCACAATTCCATGTCTGATGGCATTATTGGTTTATTTCAATAACAGTAATCAGAGTTATCAAAATATGCTAATCTCAATCTAGCAGTCTCTTTGGTAAATGTACTGCTTCCAAGACTTAAATTAAACCTACTTTTTCAATTTATTTTTTAATTTATTATTTCTTTTTTGAAACAGCATACTTTACCCGTATACCTTCTCCTAAGGTTAGTAACACAACTGCGCCGATAGAATGTTGACTCCTTTTGATACCCCTAAAGGAAAGGCAATTGCATGTAATGATTGAATATCAATAAAGAATTCATGCATTATTCATCTTGTAAACTGTTGAACAATACATGATGTGTGCTTTATCAGGTGCATAAACTTGGTCAGCATAGTATATTTTCCATTTAACAAGAGATACTGTGCTCCAGAACTAGTAGTTAATAGCTTATCCATTACGTGATTTACGAATATAGTAGCTAATGTAGCAAGGAATCTTTGATAAAGATGAGTTGAACTTTTAATCACCTTCTTCATTGAGCAGTACTCAAGTTAGCTACAAAGAAGTGGTGAAAGAATTCCCTTCAAAGAGAGATCTCTAAGTTTACATAAGTTAAAAAACAAGTGCAACAAGAAAGCGACTGGAATAATGATAATCAGGTAATAAACGCAAGAGGTCGCCAGACAAATTATCTATTTTAAAATTCATGAAAGGAGACTGGAAACACAGAATTTGTCATAATCTTGAACTTTGACCTATTATCTATTTTGCTTACTTTGTTGCTTTTCTAAAGCCATTCTTTTGGAAATGAAGAAGAATGATAATGGTAATAAAAGAAAATTTCTCAGCTGAATAAGACATAGGTGCTATGTACTTAGTAAATTTAAGGATGAAAATAAGTTTCAAATGTATATGAATGGAAAAAACGCTCATGAAAAATGAGAATTAAAATAGCTGACAAAATTTGTGAAAAATTCCATTAAACGACTTTGTAACCTTTTGAATTTTTTGCATGTGATCCAAAATTTAATAACTTTTTGAATGTGCTGAACGTGTTCTGTTTGCTATTTGCATACTTATTTGTAGTTACTTGCTGTGATGAAAGAATGAGTGAAATATTGTTACTTAGGTTTACTGGCAACTTCTTTTTCTAGTTACTTAGAAGAACTTGTGGAAATTTTTCTCAAGTATCAAATGGGGCTATCTATTCTTACCCAATTTTAATCGCTGAAGCCAAAATCTAGCACCCACCAATTTTTTTAAAATATAAATTTTCAAAAATGTGCGCTTTTTCAGCTTGTGATAAGCTTTTTGACGGAAGCTTGATTCGGAAAATTTGACCCTTTACTGCTCTTTTTAATAAAACTGGAGAAAAGGTAATCGATTTCCAGAGTTTCTGTCAATATAGGTAATATGAAACCGTATGACATACTCGTGTGTGGATTCACAGAAGGATCTCAAATTCCAACCATGAAAACTCTTCAAATTAACAAGTCAGAGAAAGTCGGCATGACCATCCTAAAAGAGGAATTTTAATGTCATCAATCGTTAAAATATTACCAACTCTGATTGTTCAAACGCTAAAGCTAAATGGAAGAAGCTGTTTCAAACTTATGATCTACGTGGCTCTAGTTTATTTGAAAGGCTAGTGAGAGCTCTCTGATTGTTGAGTGTGCGGAGGCCGCGGACGTATGCTACAGCCTCATTTTCGTTCTTCGGAGACGGTGGCTCTAATACTGAAATGCAACGAAAAAACAAATTTTAGTAACCAAAGCACCTTGAATTTAATTATTTTTTTTGTCAAATTAAATGAAAAAATTGGTGAAAATATTGTGAGCTAATCTCATTTTGATTCTCCTATATTATGATCATAGTTAGTGATGTTGACTCCAAAGAGTTCATTTCTGTTATAAAAATGAGAAGTTCTAAACGTTTGCCTTCGGAGCAGATCTGACTCTCAGTATCAGATTGATGTTAGAGACTGAATCCAATGTGAATAATGCTTATGTCAGTTTTGATCAGTATAGCATTTGCTCTGCTCGAGTTTTTTTTTTTTTTTTTTTTTTTTTTTTTTTGACACTGGCGTGGTTATAATTTATGCATACCTACCCAAGCGTCAGATATTTATATTCAAAGATTTCCTGTGCCACGTTATTTCCTTGAAGAGAGGATTTGCCTGCAAAATTTAGGTAGTCAGTCGTCTGATCATCTTTTAGGAAGTATTAGAAAGAGAATAATCAGGAGCACTATTTCATGAAACTAGCTGAAATAATTTTATAAGTTTTTGGTACTTACCTAAATGCCTATTTCTACAATATCTAAGTGTCCTCATTATTTGACCCAACATGTGCATTTTTTCAAAATTTACTAATCCATCAACGATGGTCTTATTGCCTTCATGAACAAACGCCATATCTGTTACGAAAGCAGAGAAGGAAGTATGGAATTATAGGAGTGTAAGCAAAAGAAAAATCACTATCAAAAAGCAGTTTAGAAATTAGAACGAAGAAGTACAGTGGATTTAACAACTTTTAAACTTTGTTAAAGCTTCGGAAGAAATTAAAAATTAAAGGCTTGCAATCCTCACGCAAAAACGATAAAATTCCTTGTAGGTATTACCAGAATTGACCATTTCCGGCTCATATTCATGGTGTGAATGCAGTCAGAAATATGCGGAATCCAGAATAATTTTTTTTTCAAAGTTATTAATTTCCACTTGGATGGAACATTGTATGCAGCAATATTGGAATTTTGAAAGTTATTTCTCAGGATTGTCTCGTATCTCTTTCTGTTCATAGACTCCCTAGTAAAAATTGGCGATAGGAGCTGCGTTCCAAAATACCATAGGAGTTCTTGTAGCCGACTGAAGAGGGCGATAGAAAATCATATAGCTGGCTGTAGGAAGTGGAAAAAATCATACGACCGGGCTACACGAAGCGATAAAAAATTATACAGCCGGGCTATAGTTCCTATCGCCGGGCTTTACACTTTATCGCCTGGCTGTTGCTTTTTCGCCATCGGCTATAAAAGGCTATAAGACATTGTGTAGAAATTCTTGTGCTTTGTAAATCCTTAAGTTTGTACGGAATCACCTTAATATTTACAAAACGCACATTATATTTTCCTTTACTACATATTTTTTTTTTCATCAATTAAAATGAGAATAATCCATACAGAGTGTGCAAACATTTCAAAGTCATGAGTTGAAAAACGCTGACTCCGCGAGATTAAATATTAGAGCCCTAAACACAAAGCAAAGCGGCGGCGGCGCATTGGCGCCTACAAACCTAACAGGGATACTTCACGCATTGCGCAATGCGTGAAGTATCCCTGTTAGGTTTGTAGGCGCGCCAATGCGCGTTCAGCGCTGGCTGCCCACCCACCGCGCCGCAGCGTACCACGGCGCTTGAAGCAACTATTTCACACCAGAGGTATTGCACAGTAGCATACGAAATTGAAGGCGCTCCAACATATTAGGAATGGCAGGCATCCTTCAAAAGTACGGAGCTTTCCTCGCAAATTAAATCAAGATACTGCGGCCCAAAAAGAGAGTATCCGTATTTAGTAACGTTTAGCATAAACTTTATCGTCTGGCTGTTGCTATAAGAATAGTGTTGCCGGCTATAGAAGCTATTTGAAATCTTACAGCCGGCTGTAGTCTATGGTATTTTGGAACACAAATTCTACTGCCAATTTTTACCAGGGCTCGGCTCAACCGTTAAAAAATAATCAAGTAGGTGCCAAATAATTATCAAACGAAATGTGTAAAAGTCTTGTCATATTTCGGAAACGTAGTTGGCCGTTTTTGATATTTTGTGTTATCTTTTTTAATGCATTCTCTCATTAGGATATGTAAAAAAACGCATTCGGTTAATAAAAATGTTACGATAAATTAAATAAAATAAATGTGTATGAAATAAATAAATTTTCCAATTAAATAAACAGTCACCAACCTTTGAGAATTAGAGGCATGAAAGGAATAAAAGGCGATTGCAATTTTCCAACTGCTGTGCGATAAGCTCTGTGGTTTCTGCCCGGATCTGTGAGCGCTTCTAGTTCGGTGAACAATTTTCTAGATTTAGACGGTAATTTTTCCCAAGTCAAGGATAATCGACTAACTGCTACATTACTCAAGCCCATTATCACTGCGAAGAATGCGTTTAAATTTCGGTAACCCTTACAGCTGAAAAATATATAATAAAGCAATGATACCACAAAAATAAAATGAATGGTTAATAATGAGGTTCATGTTGCGATGTGTGCAATTAATCCGTAATCATACGGAAACGTTACGTAAATATGTCAGCTGCAACAAACTCTCCCATGGGTAGTACCCAAGAGTAACGGACCCTTGCTTGTAACAATATTGTGTATTAGAATAGAAACTGCATGCATCTTTAAGAGTGCACTGAAAATTGAAACGCCTGTTTTTGGGGGGGTATGCAATACAGGTATCCTTTGAATAGACAAAGTTACGTCCAGGCATCTTTTTCAATGCCACTCCGCATCATTTGTCTGAAATACTATGAAACTGATTGTCTTACTTCCACCTTAATGGCAAAAGAGACGAAATAATATTTTGTGTCTAGCTCAGAGAGATTACAACCCCAGAAACCGTTATTTCTCATGCAAAAATCTCAAACTTAGTCTTAAACTTAGTCTCTCATAGCCTGTAGACCTACAGCTGCAACACTAATGAAATGATGAACTTCGCTGAAATTTTATCGGCTTGTTTCTAAACTCTGTACAGGAAAAATCTCCCTCTCAACCAACCTCTCTGTCTCCTTTCGCTTTTTTTTCAGTGGATTATCTGAATCTCTTTAAGAAAGCATGAGCCAATGTTTGAAATGAGAAAATTAAACCATTTCAAACAAGAAATAATCATTACAAGGCAAAAAATGCCACAGCTGAGCAGATACTTTGGTGAAGAATAATTAGAAGGTGATCTACTTACTAAGCAGCTAATTTGATCATTTTCCTTAAAATTTGAACTCGTTTGCTAATGCTTGTGGCCATACAGATTTCTGTTATAACCCAATATTGAATTTCATTGAATCTCCTAAGGAAAACGTCCAAGTTCGCAGTGATTTGTTGAAACCTATGCTTCCCGAATGTGTGATACAGCAACTCATACTGAAAACAATTGATTCATTTCATGAGAAAAATGATCGAGTGACAAGTACATATTTTGAGAACATCATTGACGGAATCGCATCAAATTGAATCTTTTTCAGGGGGCATCCAAAATTCTTAGAAGATTTTATGATGTAAAAACATAATTCTATCCTGTAAGATCAACTGATATGGGCCTGGATGCCCCACAGAGTTTGCCATCTAGAAACAGTTTGCAAACAGTTTAGAAATGTTTACCTACTCGGAGTCGTACGGTCATTTGCACGAGCCTTAGGTAAGAGGGTGCAAGGCATTTTGAGAATATTATTACATTTGACTCAATTCCTGTGATTAAATCAGAGAGTAAGCGGTGCAGTAATTTTGGTCAAAAGTCCTGAAGTTCGATAGAATTTACAGCGTAGAATTTGGTTTTTTAAAAATCGAACATGATAAAATTAGAGGCTTGATGATAAAATAATCAAATTGGTCTCAAATAATTTATCAAAACGGGAAATTTCGAAAATTAGAGATGCTGAAAAACGAGTACCTTACCTCATGAACACACCAGAAAAGATCCCAGTCGAACATAGTCAAATGATAAGCCAGCTCCCGTGTGCTAAAAAATTCCATGTCAACACCCTCCATTCCTTCCACTGCCGTCTCTTGCTCTGGTACGCAGGTCTAGACGTAGATAAGAAACAAAAAGTCAAAAATTCTTACCACACTGCAAGTTTTATATAATAATTGTTTTTCTTGCACATTTAGTAAAGTTTAGGAAAATTCAGTGCAGTTTCACAAGAGGTGTGGGCATGGTGTTAACCGCTTGTAAATAATGATTTTAAATGTCCGTAATTCATACAGAGTGTGCAAAATATTATTAGTATCAAGTTGAAAAACTTGATTCCGCGAATTTACTTTAACTAATCGCGACCAACACAGTGCGGTCGGCGTAGAATGTATATTAGCGCCTACAAGACTGTTGGAATACTTCACGCATTGCGCCAAACGACACGGTCGGCCGTCAGCTCATATTGGCGCCTACAAGACTCCATGAATACTTCACGCATTGCGTATGTTCACTACGTTCCGCCGGCGACGCGACGTTGCGCGCTTTAATCGTTGAGAATTCGTAATTTCTCGGTACCGGACTGCAAGCCTGAAATCCTAGGATCAAGGGATCATGGAGTTTCTGCTGCCGTAAATGGTATTTTAGTCTGTTGAATCATTGATGATGAGTCGTCTGTCTAGTTTTGATCGACTACCGTTATAACGAGACCTTCTCTACAGCAAGGAAATCGATGGTCCTTTGCATGTTTATAGTTTTCGTTATAGAGAGAGATCATTTAATACAGCTAATCATGATTGCACTCACCAATGCATCTAAGTGGTCCTTGGGCGAGATAAATAATCGCCCGTTAAGAGTTAAAGCGGTAGGCACAGACACTATACTATCATGTAGAGGCACTTTCTCTCCAGCTGTCGTTACTTCTACGAGTAACAAGTCCGAGGCTTGATGCTTCAGTCCCAGTTTCTCAGCAGCCGACACTTTTATTTGCTCCGCAGTCGCCGAAATTGGAAACCTTAGAGTGCAGTACGTGTGATCGGCACAATATACGCGGAAAATTACTGGAAAAAAAGCAATAATCAGATACTTTAACTCAGGGTAAAAAATCGTGGAGCAAGATAGCTTATTTAGAATAGCTCCACACGGGAATTTACCAGTTATGTTAGACACTTCGCAAAGAAGTTGTTTAAAATGGTGGGAAAAAACGTCGCACCTCGAACGTACGAGTGTACCTAACTCGTTTTTTACGTGAGCTCTGGAATAGAATCAATTAAATTGAAATTAGGGATCATCTCGACATGGAGTTATGCTCCTAGTTTAGACAAGCGACAAAAATAAGAGGTTACAAATAACCTACCGTTTAAGGCTGAATGTGCCGGTTGTTCAAAATATGAGGAACTCAAAAAGAAGAAATTCTGAAAAAATTATGACTTTTTTACATTTTTTTTTTCGTAATTTTTAGAGGGCGGGATCTAGAGGTACTGGACAGGAGCTTGACTAAATGCAGGGAGGAGGGGCGGCTTATCAAGTTGGACCGCCGAAGTGTAGGATTACAATTTGGTATAATCCTTAATAAAATATTGTAAGATTGATCCTCAACGGTATCACAGAAAAAGATTGATTGAAGTCTTGTTCAAAATAATTTTTCCAAATTTTGAATTTTCAACTTGTCAACTTTTCTGGTCAATTCGGTCAATTCATAGATGGGCCTTTGCAGCGAGTTGGGATTGCAGTTCTAAGGGAAAACAGTAAAAGGGACAAAACGGAGTGTCTCGATCATGCAATTCATGCATCCCAAGACATGTGGTAAAATATTCAGCAAAAATATTCGACCTACAATCCATTGCCCTTCAATTTTTACCCTAAAAACGGCGGACGTGGAGTATTTTACTCACACTGTCCTTGACCTTCATAGTTTTTGACTATCGGTATATTTAAGAGGCTCGAAGGACAAGGCGCACAAGGTGCAGATTTTGAAAAAAATAAGATATTAATGGTATATGTATAATGGTTTCAAGTACAACTAGGCTTATTGCATCTTCTGTGAAAAAATCGCTTCCAAATTCCAATTATTTAGTATCAAAAGGTCCAGTTTGAACTGTCTCTCTGGCTGAAGGATCCACGAACTTTCAAAACTTCCAACATACATTTCTCGAAATAGCAAAAACTGCACTTATGCGCCTCTTACTCCAAGCCCCCCATCTGGTCTAATCTGAAAATTTGAGGCTGAGGAAATTGGCAAGGATGGAGGTTTACGCTGAGGCAATGCTCGATGTAAGCAAAGTTATGATTTAAGGGTCACAATCTCTTTTCCAACTCATAGCGTAGTTACAGGAAACTTACTTTCGTCATTTGGTCTTATTGCTACGTTTGATAACTTTTTTCCATCCACAGGATCTGAAAACAAAGTGACAGGTTGTCCAGTAGGTGGCAGCTTCCACTTATTAATGACACTCGTGTCTTGTTGATACCTTCGTAATAAAGACATTACTCTGTGCATTAAACTGGCTTCCTCGGTTTGACCACTATCACTTTCAACTGTTGCCGCTAAATCCTGCAACAATCATCATTAATCTGAGTAATGCTTGGTTAGTGTTCTGAGGGTCCAAACTTTTTATTTAAGGTATTTTAATTTTTGGCTAGAATGCTAGTGGAAGCACCACAAGGTCTTGAAGGTTCCATTGGTAGGCATTTCAATTTTATATTAATGAGCTCCGGCAAACTGCGAGAGTTATAAAATTGATCTACAAGAAGAACGCAGCGAAGCGCCTTCAAATTTGCTGGATACCCTAAGCACCACCGCGGAGTTAGTTTAGTTGCTTAACCCAACCGAACCTAACTTGGCTTGATACTCATCACCGCCCGCTGCTCGGGGCGTAGAAAAGGGTAACAATAAAACGGCAAAACTGGTGTTACGTTTTGTTTACACATCAGGTCAATATCAGGGTACAAAAAAGGTACTGACGCTTACGCCGCGCCGTAAAAAAATTATACTTGTCATCGATTCGAACAAGTTACCCGATGAAGTTCTCAACTTTTTACTGTCACGACTACATTCCTCTTAGAAAAATCGTAGGAAAAAAAACACCAACAAATATTTGCGCTCACAGCTGCAATTTGCAGTTATTGCCTTAAAATGGTAGGTGGTTAAAGTTTTGAAAATTTCAACTTCGGTAAGCCAATTTAAAGTAACAGTACGTGTCAGTCCTCGATTTTAACTTATTGCTCCTTTAAGCAAATACCGATGTCAATCTCTACCCGATACTCTCCTTCTTCCCATTGACAATGATAAAATGAGTATATTTCTAAAAATTTTAAGACAGGTAAAAACTTCTCTCCCTGCTGCAGCGTTGCCAAGTTGAAAATTATAATTTGTTTTGTTTTAAAAAAAGTGAAGCTATGGAATTCAGCTTTTTAGCAGCCAAAAATTGTCAAATGTACCCGTGTATGTGATGTAATAGTGACCATAGCCTTTTCAGTGCTTTTAAAGCGTTGTTGCCATTTTAACAAGTTTATTGTAGCCATCGTAATTTAATTATGGTCATATTTTTTCGATGGCACGCACGAATGGCCGATCATTAAAGAAAAAAACAGTCGAATCCTTTGTTACAGCAACATGAAGGTAGAAAAGAAGTCAAGGAGGGGCTTGTCACCCCCCTTCTTCTCCCCTAATGTTGAATCGCTCCTAAGGAAAGTAACCTTAAAACATAATTCATATCATGTAGTATAAAATAATTATAATTTACAGTGATAAATAGCGGGATGGTGAACCTCCGTGCAAGTACTTTGAGTCCTACCTCTATAAAATTCTGCGACGTTGGGTCATCGAAGACTGGATGCCTGATCGTAACGACCCATTGATAGACGAATTGAACGACTTTTCTGCGACACGTCATTAGAAAGTCACGATCCTGCGTGACTGAATCTGCATGATAGGTGAATTCAACCAGTCAAGGAAAAGAGCTCATCGCTTTTATTGGGGAAAAAAAAAATATTGGGAAAGTGTAGTATCATATTTTACTTTCTTATTTTTAATGAACTATGCTTACCTACACGGAAAACTAGTGTGACTGTGACATTAGACGCCTAGTAATAATAGCCTGATTGTAAGTTTTGTTTTTAATATAATCGTTTCGACTATCGATCGTTTCAGCTTTGCTGTTTCGCCGCAGCTGTTGATTCCAAGAAACTCGATACTTTTGTATTCGATGGATGTGCTTTGGCTTAAATTGCATTCATTGATTGGTTGCCAAGATCCGACAGACAAAAATAAAAGAAAACAATTAGTGCATTCCCACAGAGAAAAAAAGGAGGTGTTTGCATCTTGAGGATATAAAATCGGTACAATATGGCCAGGAAAATCTAGAATTCGAAGTACCTATGAAAAACGGACCATAACGTCCGATTTTTTTGCTTGAATCAACTCATGATATAATTTCGAACACTTTATAGAGAAAGCCTCTTTCTATTAACTAAATCATTTCCAAGAAAATCGATGATAAAAGTCGTCCATACCGACCTACGTCATCTAAAAAATCCAAGATGCCCGAAATGCAAATACCTCCTTTTTTTCTCTATGATGCATTTCAAGGATGAATTAACAGAATAAAGAGAGCGATTTTCAGAATAAAAAAATTAAGCCTCGATATTCGCCCCAGCTAATTCTTCTTATTTTTTAACCATAGCCGACTATTTTTCCGCTCACCATCAAAATACGCTCAATCGGAACGTTAATTTAATCCGCAATTGGAACAACACCTGGTGCGAATTTCGTCGGATACACGGCCCTGCATCGTTGCGCCAACGTTGCGCTGCCAACGAATGAGCAGCTCTAGGATAAATGGACTGTATTTTGCAATGGAGATGTTGCATGTGTGAGGGATTTGCGATTTGACCATTGATTCTTATGCAAAAGTTCGCGAGAAACACGATGGTGCCACTGGTTTTCTCTGGAAATATCTCCCAAGCTCAAAAAAAACTCTCAAAGTGAGGCCAAAATGGAGGGGATATCCCGCCCTACCCTGAGAGTCCACCTCTACATCAAAACAAACTCTCCATGCAAAGATAGGGAGCAAATACATTGATAGGGCTGCCACTTCATTTGGGGACTCCAAAACTGAAAACACGGCAATCCTGCTAATGTATTTGCTCCCTATCTATGTATGGAGAGTTGGTTTTGATGTAGAGGTGGACTCTCAGGGTAGGTCGGGATATCCCCTCCATTTTGGCCTCACTTTGAGAGCTTTTTTTGAGCTTGGGAGATAATTTCAGAGAAAACCAGTGGCACCATCGTGTTTCTCGCGAACTTTTACATAAGAATCAACAGTCAAATCGCAAATCCCTCACACATGCAACATCTCCATTTGGAACTATAAATTCTGGCTCTTCTGGAAAAACCCTTATGTGCATAGGGAAACTAATGGCACATACGTTGTTTTTAAACCGAGCTAGAATTTATAGTTCCAAATTGCAAAATGTGATCCAAATTTAATGCGGAAGCAAATAGCCACTCACGGCTCTTACGCACGGTGGCGTGGCGTGTTTTGCGATTCATATGCCATTCAAACCTATGCAAAAAGATCAATTATCAGCGCGTCCGCAACGAACACCATAATAATCGATTCTTTTCCATAGCTTCAAATTGGACAGTATCGATAGTCGATTATAGCGCCTCGCCACTGCTAAGCATGTCCCAGGAGGCCCATTTTCGAAATGATTCGAGGGCGAAATGAAAAGCGATTGGTTGTAAGTGGTGTTTGAAAAGGATATTGTTTGTTGAGTTCTTGTACTAAAGATCTGGTGAGGAAGAAAACGATGTGCGTGAGGAGGAAGTCATCCAGGCAAGGATCGATGGTGCTGCCTGCAGATACTCCACCACCAAGCCGGGTCTCCAGAAGATGTTCCAGCATCTTTTGTGGAGTTCCAGCCACGACTGTGTACCTGCGTAAACACCGCAATCGGAAACATGAATAGGATGATATTACCATCGTCATCTACAATAACTGGCAGTGTCCTGTTCAGCTTCGGAACCAAAGGAAGGATAAGGATCGTATTCCATGGCGCGGTTCGATATATCGTTTGGCTCAAAATGAGAAAACATAACCTCAACCAAAAATTTTAGGATTCAAGTTGGAAAATCTGAAAATGAGAAAATTCCCAACAATTTCACTTTTCATTGCCATTTGGTACTCGAAAGGATAAAAAATCGATCCCAAAAGACCCGTTTCCCTCAGATTGCTAAATTGACTTTTGAGGCTATGTTTATATGTTGGACCAATCGATATCGATACAAACTCACCTGTTTGATATATCGGATACGATCTATGTACACGAGGGCCGTTTTTGGGTCCACAAAGATTCCTCAGCTCTATAAGATTTTTTGCTCATTTAAGGTCTATATTTTACGGGATGCATCATGATTTGGTCATTTTTGCCGGATCTGGCTTTAACACGGTAGGCCGATTTTGGCACAAAAAAATGTGGTTTTAGGGGGTCTGCTGTTGAATGCCGAAACACCCGCATTTTTCGCCGAAATCGGTCCTCAGACCCAAGTTTAGTCCATAAAAAGACCTGTAAAGAGACCAGAAATGACCAAATCATGAAGCATTCCTTAAAATATAAACCTTCAATGAGGAAAAAATTGTAGAATTTAGGAAAGTCAGTTAGGTTGGGCCCAAAAACGGCCCTTATCAATACCCTTACTCTGGAGGGGAACAAGGAGTTCGCTTTTTGAAAATAAGATGGTTACCAGAATTGTACAAAGAATAATTATGATGAGAGAGCTAATATGAGCTCGAAGTTTTAATGAAGGTCGTTAATGAGTGGAGCATTTGCTGTTCACTCAACCATATTTCTACGTAAAATTTTGAATAAATTGCAATTTTAGATGTCTAATATTTCCTTTAGTTTTGCCTGACATTCATACGATTTCACAACAGGCCCCGAGCGAAAAAGGTTACTTACTTATAGTGAGATTGCGGCGTAGACATCCTTTCCAGTATGAGAACATCTTTGCCGTGCTCTTTCAGTCTTACTGTGTTGGCCTCGAGATCTTTCAGGATCCTGTTGAAGTCCTCCTTGTCGACCCGTAGAAATTGGCAGTTGTCTTCTCTCAGAACGATACTGGCTGCTCTGAAAACATGAATGGGAACACGGTTCCATTTGGATCAAAAGAATTCGAAGGTTTCTTTTAGACAGCGGTGAATTTTTATTTTAAGATTTGATCTTAGAACAAAAAGTCACTCAAAGCCCTTCAATATCAGTGCCATAACGTTGTGGTATTTTCTTAGCAATATATAATTTGATTTTTCTAAAAACGTAACAAAGTATATTTATGCACTAGATCCTGCAATGTTTGGCATGCATCGAAAAAAGTGGTCAGGAAATTTTTTTTAAATTAAAGCAAAATTCGCTTTGATTTAAAGAAAATTTTTGGGAAAGGAAATATCTTTTTGCGGAAAGAAAATTTGTTTTAAGTGAAAGACATTATTGTTCCAACGCAAGTGATTTTTTTTTGTTTATTTGAAGAAATATTACTTTTCCATTAATGGCAAATTAATTTTTTTTTTCTTGAAAATAAAAAAAAAATCATCTGAACTATGAAAAAATCCTTTCACTAAACAAACAAGTTATCTTAAATCAAAGAGCATTTTGTTATGAAAAATGGTCTCTCGGATCATTTCATCAGTGCGTTTTTCCAGCAAATGATTCCATTTAAACAGCAGCTGATGAGATTCAGTCGGAAGAACCTGGAAAAATCTATTTTTTCAAAACTTCGGCTAAAATTTTTATGAATTCTCAGACACTAGGCGGAATCTATGGCAACAGCCCAAAATGTGCCTTAAACCAGAGAAAATGAGGCTGTAAGCAGCACGAAGTGTCAACATTAGCAATCTAATTTTAATTGCATTCAAAATATTGCCTGTAAAACGATCTCGCCATGCTATGACAAAAATAACATCGGAGAGAGAAATAGGACGACAGGGAAAAGAGTTACCTCGAATTGCTCGCCGCGCCGATAGCCATAAATAATTTATTTTAGCCGGCTCGTATCTCATTCAATGCTCCACTCGGTTACATTTGCAATGCGCTCTTTTTTATTGCCTCATACTTCGGACCCATAAATTCTTACTCTTTTCATGGGGCAGTGAAGTAGCCATTTATTTTTCTCGGCCATGTTCCGTCCCCGATTACCAGTAATTCAAAGTCAGTTCTTGTCCAACTTTCATGATTGGATGGAGATGCGATGTATTGCACGGACAAACGATGCAGCAAAATTACGATAAAAAGGGCTCCCTGCAGGAGGAGACGGAAGTCAACTTTTCCGTGACCTTTTTTTTTTTTTTTTTTTTTTAATATTTTTTTTACCCTTCCCTCTCCATTGTAACGCGACGGGAATATAAAACCTTGGTCACTTTTGATGAATTACGTAACACTATAGGCAGAAACTTTCCACCTCTCAATTTTCACCAATTTATTAAAAAAAATATCAGCCGTGGAACTTTCTGAGTAACATTTTTCACCGGAAAAATCGCGATATTTTGAAATTAAGTCGCATTTTTTTTACGATTTTCTGGCGATAAAATCGCAAGGATCATTAGCATCCGAGCTGTTATCCTTGATCTTATCGCAATTTCATCTCTACAAAACCGCGATTGATAAAATTGAAAGTTGATTTCAATTCATCACGATTTTTTATCCCAAAATATTGCGATAAATCGTCGTCAATAAAATCGCAGTACATTCTCCGAACAAATCGCAGCTTATCGCGATCACTATAACTTCAGGGGTTCCCCGTACAAAAATTACGCGCTCTCTGTATTTTGGATCGAGACGTGAATAAAGCTCAAAATTAGCCTCGAATTCTCCCTTAATGCTCCGTGTCACAAACTACGAGATGTTCCATTCTTCAAGTAATATTTAATAAACTCCTCACCTCTTCTGTAAATTGTGGATTTTGCCGTTTGACATTAACAAAAAACACCAAGGATAAAATACCGGTTTTTACAATGTAAAATCAAATAAATTTGGCAGCCCGCATCAAGCCATCGCGCAGGGGAAAAAAGTTCCGGGAAGCGCGGTGTGTATTAAGTACCTGAATTGTGCCGACGATCTATATTTAAAAATCTGAAATCCGATCACTGCAAATAAAGTCTGTCTCTTTGTGTTCAAAATTTGCCCAACACTCGAATCAGGGTGCGAGAGAGGAGAAGTGGGGACGAATCAATGGTTTTTATGTAAAAAACCGTCCTTTTTCATACTTTTTTTCAAACACTCTCTTCCCCCATTCCCCACTATTTTGACAAACTGGGAGAGCTCACTCCCATCTCGCCTTCTCCCCTTGGATTTAGGGAAGGGGTTGCAAAAGTATCCTTTTCATGCCCTGACATGTACATTAACACTGATAATGCACGTTTGAAAGCGAAGTAAAAGAGAAAGAAAAATGTTTTGGGTCCATGGGAGAAGGAGATGATGGTTTTGGTGAAACGAGGGAAAAAATTCGTGAAATTACAGAGGAAGAGGGCACACAAGAAAAAAAAATAAAATAGATAATGGCATATACTCCTCCGGCTTGCTCTCTTCCTGGTTTAATTGCCATCAATTAATGTCATCGTGTCCAGTTCATCTATCATTTGTTGTCGGGCGAATGAAGTCGGAATGAATATCGAAAAGAAGACAAAAAATATTATATATAAACTAATTGATGTACAGGGCCGGATTTACATACTTGCCGCCCATGGGCCGCCTGTATTTTTCCGCCCCCTTCTCATTCGTTTTGAAACATCAATAGATCGTATTCGATAGTGGTTCGATTTATCGTTTGGCTCAAAGCAATAGAACATAGCCTCAAACAAAAATTTTAGGATTTAATTTGGAAAAGCTGAAAATGAGAAAATTCCTGACAATTTCACTTTTCATTGCCATTCGGTACTCGAGAGAATAAAAATTCAATCACAAGACCCGTTATCTCAGATTTCTGAATTGAATTTTTAGGCTGTGTTTACATATTGAACCAATCGATATCAATATAATCTCACGTAGTTGATCTATCGAATACGATCTATAAAAATCATCGAGTGACCGTGCCGGTGGGGGAGGTGTGTATGAGACGCGTTTATTCGTGTTGCTGCGCACATTTTTTGTGAAAGCCCCCTCAACACTGACAAAAGTACACGGAACTTTGAGCGAAAGTTAAGTTCCGCAAACCCATCCCTGTTTGGACAAGGCCTCCCGTTCATAAAAAAACGAACGGAAAAATTTTGAAAGAACAAACATAAATGTGGTTTAATAATTTTAACTTCCACCGCCGCGCCCACCGCACTGTGTTCGGCGCAATGCGTGAAGTATTCATGCAGTCTTGTCGGCGCTATGCGTTTCACGCCGACCGCTGCGCTGCAGACCGCACTGTTTGACGCAATGCGTGAAGTATTCATGCAGTCTTGTAGGCGCTATGCGTTTCAAGCCGACTGCTGCTGACCGCAGTGTGTTTGACGCAATGCTTGAAGTATTCATGCAGTCTTGTAGGCGCTATGCGTTTCTTGCCGACCGCCACGCCGCAGCCGAGGGCTTCTCCTTTTTATCTCAGTCCTCGTCATTATTGCTCTCTGCGCCGCGCCGCCGCTCCGTTCCAGGTCAAATTGCGTGTTTGGTTTCTCTCTTAACTCGTCTAATTAAAGGTGCTGTCTCTTGTACCACCGAATAACGACAAAATTAGAAATTACTATACTTTGACTCTCAGGAAATGAGAGATTCTGTCGCCTTTTCTCGATTGTAATTTATTTTCTGGATCCGATTTTTTTCTCTCTTTTGTTGATACCTACATTCAAGAAGATTGCAAAATTTGCCGCCCCCTACATTTTGCCGCCATGGGCCGCGGCCCATGTGGCCATACCCGTAATCCGGTCCTGTTGATGTATGAAAATTTTACCTCGGAACATTGTTGACAAGTGCCAATTTCCCGAAGTCATCGCCAGCGTGTAGTGACGTCACAGTTCCTTTGCCATAAATGACAACGTCTACTGAGCCTTGTAAAATTATGTACCATGATTTGCCATCTTCGCCTTGTCGGAAAACTGTTGAAAAAAAGAGAACATGATATATTCTTGAGGAAGTTGTGAGATTCAAAGGAGGGGGGGGGGGCAAACTTGCACGCATATTTCAATGCACAGGTACAAATCGTTGCTCCTCTGATGCAAGGGCGTCTCTGAATCTCCACGTGAGCCGTAGTCTCCGTATAGCTCCATGCCTTTCGGGGCTCAAGTGGAATTAAAGGTACGCCTTTACGTCAGGCGTGAACGTGGAACTAACTAATCTTCATTCAGTTTTTCCAACGAAAATAGTCTTCGTTCCAACAATCTTACTGTGTTAAAAAATGAAAAAATTAGAAAGCAATGTGTTTTTCCTCTATTCTAATCTGTAGGTTATGGATTCGATCGACGTAAATCGATCGAAAAACAAGGACGTGAATCGATCGACTAACTTAAATCAATCGACACCGATTCGATAGACAGTTAATTTAAAAAAAAAAAAAAAAAAACTTGTGTCGATTCGATTGACATGAATCGATCGAAAAATGAAAACGTGAATCGATCGACGTGAATCAATCGACAAAGTTCGATCGTCTCACGGGTTTGTCGATCGACTCACGGCTTTATCGATCGATTCACGGTTTTCGATCGAATCGGTGTCGATTGACTCACGTCGATTCGTGTTTTGATTTTTGATCGACTCATGTCTATCGAATCGACACCGGGTTTGTAAAAATTTGTCAATCAAATTGGTGTCGATCGATTCATGTCGATCGAATCCATACCCTCCCTTCAATCTGTACTAAAAAATCGATTAAGCCTGGCATGATGAATGTTGGCTGTTTTACACGCGTCCAAATGGACAAAACAAAGTGTTGCCTACTAGCGAAAATTTTCACCGGCTAACTCGTTAAAAATGAGGATTTTTTTTTTAAACTAACGTGTTTGTCCCGCTACAGGATGGGCTTCAAATTTGATGACTGCAGCCAACTCCCTCTTGACGGAGTGAGAGAGGTGCGATAAAGCTCTTAGGTGTAGAAGTTCCTCATAAATCATTTCTAGCTCCTCGGGTGATCTCTCGAAGCTCCTGAAATCATCATCAATGGAATAAAATTTTCGAAAAACATGCAATGAAATGAGCAAAAATTTATGGCACCCCGGTTCGGTTTAAATAGATGACATTGTTCTTAAGAACAAAAATTTGGTTGAACTTGAACTCGCAACAATCACACAAGTATCATAGATGAAGGAGTTGTGTGAAATTTTATTACGTCGTGAAAATGCGCTTAAAGCAGAGAAAATGCATAAGAGCTTGTATACGAACCTTAAATTCGAATACTGCGTTACGAGCGTTAGAGAGAATGAGTTACAAGTTACAGACATTTTTTCGCCGAGCAAAACCTGTGACGCGAACAAACACAATATAGGTGAACATTGTCAAGATCCAATTTCCTAAAAATTTTCTGAAAATTATATTCGCCAGATTACGTCACAAAGGCATAACCATTTTTATTTATACGTTCTTTCCCACTTTCAAAAGTTTTGTTTCGCACGCTGAGAAACATTTTAGATTCTAAGAGCCATAATGGAGATGTTTCTTATCAATTCTTGGTTGATAGTAGCTAGATCCACAGATTCGTACCTACGTGGTCTGGCAGTTTCGCCGTCGTTCAGTGGATCGTGTCAATAGGAAAGGTCGGACAAGATTTTGAGACTTTAAACGCTTATAACTCCGTTTATACAAAACTTTGAGGTTCTCCTCGAAACATTTTCTTCTCGAAACACCCCTTGAAATTCAAAATGTGACGAAAGAAACATCAAAATTTGCAGTTTTAGTCAAAAATTTCAAGTCCGACCTCTCTAATTTACTCGATTCACTATGTGTCGATATGCCATTATGGTCGTTTTTAGGTGGGAAATAGCCCAATTGGCAACGCTGCCGCTTCAAGCGTCCGATCTCGCAGCAAAAACAAGGTCCCGCGCGTGAATCTCACTCGAGAGGATGTTGCGAACATTAAAATTCAACGCGCGCCATAGTGCATTGCGGCCAAAGATTTGAAATACTTTTAAGCTCACGCGGTTGCCGGGAGCCCGTAAAAATGATATCATTTTACACGTTTTCAGGTGGGCTAAGTGGTGGTTTTGTCGCGCTCAGTCGGCAGCCACGAGTTTCGTTGCCATGGCGACATGATGCCATTATCTTGGCCGTTGTTTCCTCTGCTGCACGACCCTCTGGAGGCTCTTCTGTAATTAGTGGTTCATTCATCAAACGAAACGCGGCGCTAGCCGGTGCAGTCCTGGGCCCTGGCGCGCTAAGTAAAAATGAGCAACTATGACACTACGAGAGAGAAAAACATTCAAGATATCTTGCTCAGGATCAAAATTGCAGACAATGGATTTTACGACCAAAGTACCTACTCCTAGCGATGGACCTACTAAACTGCTGGAGCTTAAAAACTACCTAGGTGAATCAATGAATGAAAATCATATAGGGTAATTTTCCCATCAAATTAAGATTCTTCTGCACAAAACTGGGACCTGCTTACATCTTCAGGTTTTTCTGGTGGAAGGTTGCATGACCTCAGTAGAAAATTGCAAGGTAGCAGCTTAATATTGCAAAATTCAGTCCATTCCTCCCTGCTATTTGATAGCCTATTAAACCCCTTATAAAAATTGGCAGTAGAATCTAATTTCCAAAATACCATAGACCTAAAGCCGGCTGTATCATTTCCAATAGCTTCTGTAGCCGGCTGTACAATTTCTTTTAGCCTTTTATAGCCGATGGCGACTAAGCAACAGCCTGGCAATAAAGTGTATATGCTAAACGTTACTAATTACGGATGCTAGTACTTAGTGAGTTTTCGGACTATTGCTCTCTTTTTGGGCCGCAGTATCTTGATTTAATTTGCGAGGAAAGCTCCGTACTTTTGAAGGATGCCTGCCATTCCTAATATGTTGGAGCGCCTTCAATTTCGTATGATACTGTGCAATACCTCTGGTGTGAAATAAATTGCTTCAAGCGCCGCGCCGCGGTACGCTGCGGCGCGGTGCGGCGCCGGCGGGCGGGCAGCCAGCGCTGAACGCGCATTGGCGCCTACAAACCTAACTGGGATACTTCACGCATTGCTCAATGCGTGAAGTATCCCTGTTAGGTTTGTAGGCGCCGGTGCGTCGCCGCCGCTCCGCTTTGTGTTAGGCTCTAATATTTGATCTGGCGGAGCCAGCGTTATTCAACTCATGATTTTGAAATGTTTGCACACTCTGTATGGATAATTCTCATTTTAATTGATGAAAAAAAATATGTTTTAAAGGAAAATATAATGTGTGTTTTGTAAATATCAAGGTAGTTCCGTATCAAACTTAATGATTTCCAAAGCACACGAATTTCTACACAATTTCTTATAGCCTTTTTTTGCATGAAGTGTAAAGCCCGGCGATTGGAACTATAGCCCGACTGTGTACTTTTTTATAGCTTCGTGTAGCCCGGCTATATGATTTACTCCGCTTTCTACAGCCAGCTATATGATTTTCTATCGCCCTCTTCAGTCGGCTATAAGAACTCCTATGGTATTTTGAAACGCAGCTCCTATCGCCAATTTTTACCAGGGACTGTTAGCGTCGTGGAGACACTTATTCACAAGGAGGTTCGACCAGCTATAAAACGTTCAACTCGCGGAGAATTTTGTTATGGAATTTATTGATTACTGTTTCTGAACACGCGGAAATTAAAAAAATAACATCTTTTCTGATCTAATAAAATTTATTTATCATTGTGATGAGATATTCATAATTTGAAACGTTTCTCATGAATTGAGTTGGACTCACTTCTCAGCAAGTGAGAAGTCGAGATGACACTCTATTTTAGAGTGAAGACAAAGAGGTGAAAAACCGCATTATTTGACTTTGATCAGAGTTTTTGTCAGGAATAAGACAAAAATAGTTTAAAACGTTTCGAGTACCGATCCAAGAGCAACTTATTTTCGCGATTTTAGTTTATTTCTGTTCAGCTCTTTGTTAAGTTTTTTTTACGATGTTTAAACAAGAAGTTTTGAGCTCTACGTCGATAACTTATACACCATCACATTAATGGTCACAAAACCTGAAACTTGTTCCTTCTCATGCGCCGCATTCAAACTTTGAATTGCTCCCGTGACATTAATTTATCTAATTTCCGAGCGGTCTTGCTGGCAAACGACACAAAATTCATTCACTAATTTAGTAGTGAAAATGATGCAGCTGGTCTTTGTGGCTGATGATGGTAGTTCCAAAAGGAATTTTGAGTCATTTTTAGAGATACTAGGTAGGAATTTTGCGTACACGTCTTTTTGACTGTTTGAAGCAGTTTATTTGAATACAAATTTAACAAAATATTACTACACTATTATAATATAATATTTATTATTATATTATAATATTACACCATTTAAGGTATACGTCTAGAGCACGTGTTAAAGGAATGGAAAAATAAGGTTGCGGGAATGGGCGTTCCACTCCTTGATGGGCAGACCCTTTATACTCTATGCTTTGCCGATGACCAGATCGTTGTAGCTCAAGATGAGGAAGATGCAGATTACATGACGCGGAAGTTGGTCGAAGAATATCGGAAATGGGGCATGGACGTTAGTGTGTCCAAGACAGAGAAGCTGGTCGTGGGAGCAGCGCATCAACGGCAAAGCATAGAGCTTGAGGATGGACGGCGCATCGAAGAGTGTGACGAGTATAAGTATCTCGGTGTTTGGCTCGATCAGGATGGAAGGATGGATAGAGCAATTAAGGACAGGATCATCCAGGGCAGGAGAGCCATCGCGATGCTGAACGGGGTGCTCTGGGATCAGAGCATCTCAAAGGCAAACAAGCACCGGATATATGACGCCATCGTTAAAAGTATCGTGCTCTATGGTAGTGAAGTGTGGCCTTTGACGAAAAGAACGCAAGAAATTTTGAGGGCAACTGAAATGGATTTTTGGCGGCGATCTGCCGGCATTTCGAGACGGGACCGTGTCCGTAATGAGAGAATTCGCCAGGTGATGAAGGTTGAGAAAGATATCGTGCACGACGTCATGTCCAGGCAGTTATGCTGGTATGGACATGTGCAAAGAATGTCGGAGGAGAGGTTGCCCAAACAAGTTTTGGATTGGGTCCCACCTGGGAAGAGGCGACGGGGACGTCCCGTAAAGGGTTGGCGGCAGGGCGTTGACGAAGAGATGTTGCGGTGTCAGTTGCCCGATAACCTCTGGGAAGACAGGCACATGTGGCGTTTGGGTGTCGTAGAACGCCAGAGTGCGTTATAAAGCGACTGTATATATATATTTAAAAAAAAGTAGAGAGAAAAAAGTTCAAGAATTTATATCAGTCCTTCAAAATAACAAATGTCTATAAGGTGCAATTTTAAGCTACCTTAAAATGACCCTCCTTATTAGATACACGCTTGGTCCGTGAAAAGTACCTATCAACCCAAAAAAGATGGAACCGTTTTGTCGAATATTTTCAACTTGACCCATTGGTACCACCGACAAGAAGAATTTATTTTTTATTTTTTTGGCTCAAATATGCCTAAAACATCAAACCAAAACCATTGATGTAATAGTTGAAGTTTATGCCATTTCAACATAACATAATTTTAAGAAAAAGATGTTCAAAGGTTTCATCTGTGATGTTGAAGGCTTGTACAATTGTTTGATTACATTAAAATGCAGCCTTCTGCCTTTCACTGGCACAAAAATTAAGTATACCACATGGAATCTATCTTTTCGGGTACTTAAGTTTTCTCTCTACTACTCGCTTAAAAAGCATCTTCGAAATTTGAGACTCAAGTTCCGCTTTTTTAGCCTACATCGACCAAACTCACTCTTCTAAAACTATCACTGTCCTGAATAAAATGCTTTTGTAAGTACAATAAGGTTTCCTCTCCGGTAGACGGTCAAATACGAATTATTGCCTTAAAATGTTTCCAGTAATACTGAGGAATCAAAGAGGGAAGACTCACTGCTTTCGTAAGATCATCCTTAACGTAGCGTCAGGCTGCCTATGAAGTAGTTCTGTTATACTCTCGTCTAGGTGTTCCTCTGCTTCAGCCACATCTTGAACCGTAGGTTTGTTCATGGCGCCCTCTCTGTCCTGCCAAAAATGATACAGGATGCACTTGTCTTTGAAGGGATGCTCGCCACTCACTGGAACAGGAGGAGAACATCTATCAAACCCCATCACGTTTTTACGAGTCGATAGTTGAATCGATATCGAAGTACCTCAATCGATAGAAATCATTGCTAAGATAGGCATTTATCGATCAGGAACATATGATAACAACCATTCAGCAATCGAACTGCTCTGTTTTAATTTGTGTTCGCCTATCTCCATAGCGTAACTTGGACACCGAAAATAATTTTCGATGCTAAATTCCAACGCCCTTTATTTCAAATTAACGTGTCAAAATTTCACTCAAAATTGCGAGGAAAAGTGGAGCAATATGCTGGCTTAAAATTTTGACCGCTTGACAGTGAAAGGGTAAGAAAATCAGAAAAATTTTCAAGGCAGAATGTTGATGTATTTGATTCCTCCGAGACATGAGGTTTTCGGAGTTTTGAAATGATACAATGAAGAACAGTGGTTTTATAATATAGGAATTGACCTTCATTTCATAGAAAAGGTGCGACTAATCAACATTTTTAGTAGGTAACTGTCTACTTTAGGGCGGGCTCTTCCCGACTCTCGACGCTCCGGAATTTTTATTGTCTTTCGCTGAATTTTGAGGAAGTATTTTCAAATAAGGGGAGCGTCTAATTAATTATCCCCGGGGAAACTGGTTTCCTCTTTGTTCCGAGAAAATGAATGTCCGGGAGAAAATTTCATTCAGTGCGAAAAATATTAATTGGAAATTCCCATTGACCCTAACGGATTCCCCCCGTGAAGTATCTCATTAAAAATGTAGATTTTGTGATCCAAGGAAACTATTTTTTGTAACAGGAATTAAATTTTTTTCCAACTTTATTTTTAAATGGGAACACTCAAAAAACAAGTATGGGAAGGGTGACTTACCGGCCGAGTTATGGATCATGGAGCCGTAAAATATAGTTCGTGGAGCCATGCTTATAGGTTCACGACCAATAAAGTATGGCTCAGAAAGCCATACTGTAGACGGTAAATTACTTTGGTTAGAAATTATGGATCTCCGAGCCATTTTTTATGGGTCTCAGAGTCATACCTTTTTTTGAGTGAATGAATGCGGTTTGTTTTTAAAAAAAGAAACATTTTGGGAGTCTAGAAAAGTGATGTGCACGAGTTTTCCATTCGAAAGTAGAGCAAGAGGAGGAATCGTGGCACGAGATTTCAAAGTTTCATCGATGTGTTAGGATCAGCTCGTGTTGATCTAAGATCATTTTTCAAGTTTCATTTTTCTGCGAAATGGTTTAGAATCCATCCGGAGATGCTCCTGACCTATAAGTTATTTTGCGATGGAAGTTTTCACCGCTGCGAAGAAATGACGTTATTGAAGCCACTGGCATTCGACTAATAATTATTATTTTCTCCTTTTCTCCGCTGATATTCAAGTCACGTCTTGGACGGTATGATTCCGCATTCGCGACCTTAACTTTAATTCCCACGCTTCTCTGCAGATTACGCTCCAGTCGCTAATTTTCAACACTTGAGTGACGAAATAATATTTGAGAGGCTTGGAGGACAAGGCGCATTAGTGCAGTTTTCGAAAAAATTGAGGTATTAGTGATTTCAACTAAATCTAGGTTTGAACTAAATTCTGTGAAAAACTCTTCGGTAAAATCCAATTTTTAAGCATCAAAATCTGCGTTTGAACTTTCTCTCCGCCATAAGGCTTCATATAATTTAGAAACTATGATTCCTATAAACAGCAAAAACTGCACCTATACGCCTTGTCGGCCCGCCCCTTGTCCTCCAAGCACCTCATTTTAATTTTTTTTACTCCATCCTCATTTTTGTCGCAGATGTTCTATCGAAAAGCGTAGAATAGGTTAAAATCGATCCCTAACTTCGTAATGGAAGAGTTTCAGCGGTGTAGTAAATCAAACGATTTCCAAAAAAGTAGGATTGAGGAGGGAATGGTGGGAAAGGACGTTAGAGTGAACGTAAAGATGTCGCACTCCGGGATTATTTAAGATTTTCTCAATCTACTGAATCAATCCGATTTATTGGCTAACAGTTGGTCTTTCCTGAAGTAAACTCCTGGCAACCTAAAATAAAATACGTCTGACAGCTAAACGTCATTAATTTTTGGTGTCGCGAGAAGCTCCACGTACACATACGTAATTGATTAACATGTATTTGTTAGGCTATTTTACTTAGTGAACAAACACCATTTTTCTATTTACAAAAAATGATAAAAAACCGCGAACTCACTTATGCTAGGTATATTAATTTAGATGAATTAATATACCTACATTAATATATTTCATCTAAATTAATATACCTAGCACAAGTGAGTTCGCGGTTTTTATCATTTCTTGTACATTTGTCTTGTGACTGTCCCTACAGAAGTTTCTAAAATTTTTCTATCACATTTTACGCTGAAAAAATAATACTCAACCGTAATTTTATAATCTATCATAGTTTGCATTTGGTGAACACCGATAGTGATCAATAACAATCCGTTTTCATCAAATAAGGATAAACCTGTGAGTGAGGCCACGAGAATTTGATGTTGGTGTTCGTGACACGCATCTTAATTTTTTTACGACTAAACCCCGCTTTTTGCCCAGTGTGCTCCGAGCGCAGAATAGGAGAAAGAATCGTGATGATGGGGTTACGCAAGAAAGAGCTTACGTCTCCCTCAGGATTTTTAAAAGCTTTGTTATGTTTCTCCGTTAGAACGCAAAGCTCGCAGCAGATATCAAGCATTTTCGAAAAGAAACAACCATGAACGGCTCTTAAATTTCCATCGATCCGGAACAAGAAATTATTACGTGAGGAATTACGAAATAATTAGTAAAAATCATACCAAAGGAAATTAATAGTATTAAAATGGGATTTTAGAATGAAGCAATATCTGAGCAATTATTTAAAATCAATACATTGGACATGTTTATTCATTCATCCACAAGATAAGTCGGTATATCATTTTTCTAGATTCTCAGAACGGCAATTTTGTGTGTTTAAATTTTTTTGATCGTTCAATGATCTTTCAGAATTTTATCAGTCCTATTTTCAAAACTTCAAACAAGAATTAGGTAGTGTTGAGTTTGTTCCCTCAGCAGAGGAATACTTGAATTTTTTTATTTTTATTTTTGGAATATTGATTTAAAATAAGATGAGATAGACTAATAGTTCAGAAATTTAAGAATGCTTCAATCTGGTTCTCACGAGAGTTCTTCTCTCTCTCTCTTTTCCTCTCCTAGTCCTTTATTCCTCCATCTCTTCCTCTCCCTCATTTCTCTCCTCTTATTCTTCTTCTATTCTTTCCCTCATCTTCTCAGCCACAATATGTCTTTACCCTATATATAAAACCTAAAAATTTATTTATTTCAACTTTTAAATGTTTAAAATATTTAAATTTTTATTCTTTTGCCCCCGCATTAGACTTTGCAACAGCGCGTCTGGCTCCGGATCCTGAGTCAAGCGGATTCCGTTGCCAGTAAGTTATTCGACGCTTCACATAAAATCTCGTCGGACCGTTGGCGTTGCGTTGAAAGGAATGATTTCTGCGTGAGTTTACGATGCCGGAACGGGGGTGTATTCATAGGGTCGATAAAACGTTTCGGAGGGCGGAGAGGGTGGCGGAAGGGGATGAAAAATGAAAGACTCACCGTGAGAGATGACTCCCTCCTCGAGCAGGGCTTGCCACATGCCGACGGCCACTTGTCGCGTGGGGATGGCTCGCGGATCCAGGGACACGAGCCAATCTACCAGGTCGCTCCCCGATGCACACCGCCGGGCGATCACTGCGGGACAAACGCACGAAAAATAACGTCAGATCCTCCAACTGATATCCCTTTGACAAATGACACCGCGACATCTCGCATGCCTCAAATCAGGTTCTTGCAGACTTTTCTCAGTGCTGTGTTCATAGTCGCTCTTTAACTTCCTTTCTTCGGGGAGTCCCCTTGTGGGTTACATAACTTTCCGAAGTAGCTTTTGACCTAGCATCGTCACGGAAAAAAAGTGTCAGGGGGTTATCCTCTAAAATTGTGGCACTACCCCAATTCGTTGGATGACATGGATATTTTCAATTACTTGTGGTAGTGCCGCAACATTTGGGTTAGCGACTTCTTGATTTATTAAGGCACCGCCACAATTAATTGAAAATTTCCATATCATCCAACAACCTCGTGTTTTTTTTTCCCGCGATGAGAGGAAAAATGTTCACAAGCCTACAAAAAAATTCAACAGCACTGATTTGGAAATGGGTCATTGTAAGGTTTAAATAATTTTCCACCGCGTTAAATAAATACATAAAAAGTAATCAGGAAGTAAATCATCTTTTTTCAAACGCTACATCAAATGTCTCCTAGAACTTCCCTTGTTGAAAATTTAAATTAAATGAGGCCTCACCAAAGAAAAAAACTGGTAATTATGGAACAAATGCCACTACGGCTCCAACGGCTAAACGAGGAGTGCAGACTACAACATGCTACATTGCTACACGGATAAAAAATCCGCACAGTTGTTCGGAAGCAACTTCGTGGATATTTTCCGGTTCATCGTTAATATTTTATGCAAACAGGAGCCAAGATAAAATCATTCATAATATACTAAGTGAACTGAATAAAATTCATGAAAGGAGGAAGAGAAGTACAAGAAAAAAAAGAAGGAAAAGAAAAAAAGATAACGAATCGTGTTCTCATTAGGTACAGCTACGTGGAAGCCGCTTGCATATCTGTGAGCAAGAAAAACGTCGAAGCTCCTTCAATTCCTTTGTGTATGCAACACACGCATCCATCGGGGCACGAATAGTTGCATCTTCTGTATCGTTAAAATGGCACTAATGAACTACAGCTTCTTTCAATAATAATTATTTTGCCTGAGCCGATGAATGAATTTGCCCCCTGAGCATCACCGTGATTTAAAAAATTAGCATATTTTCTTAAGAGCTGTTGGTGACTCTTGTAGAAATTTTTAAACCACAAGAAAAGTCCTACTTGGACCGAGTTCATCAGAGAGGAATCAACCCACATTAAGTTGAAACTGAGAAAAAGAGGTTTGAAGTTTTATTCCTGCATAAGACTCAATGTAGAAAATCAACTTTAGCCCCTCTTTACACGAACTAATTTCTGTTTTTCGACTTTCAGTTTTTGGCAGGAAAAAATATATGGCTAAAGGAACTCAAAAACATTCTTAACTCAAATTTTTCGAAAATGTGGGTTGGTTCCTGCCTGATAAACTCGGTCCATTTGTACCCAAAGAATCGGTCTTTAAAATCCTTGCCTTGATCTTGATTAGCCCGTAAGAACCACTTTAAGTGTCTGCCAACCACAAAAAAGAGAGAAAAGATTAAAAATACAATTTCAAAAAGGTCAAACCTCTAAGCAGATGAGCCAGAAATAAACACTTCTGATACTTGGATGGAGCACCCTAGCCTGCCTCCGAATACTTCTACCGTAATATACAAATGCTTATCTCCAAATTAAATGGAAATAAAAAAAGATCTGAATAACGGAGACCGTGGGCGCCTTAAACTTCTCAACCGTCTCAAGCTCCTACCCTTGAACCTGGGATTTTCAAGGTGGGTCGAAACGGGACGGAAAACCAAGAGCGATATCCTGAAATCGTTCCCCAACGAAAACATTGAACCCGAGGAGAAAAGTTTGACGAGCTCCCTGAAAGACAGGATCCCCCCTCGAAAGTTGTCAGCCCCGTCTGAGTCTGGAAGTTAATGTGGCATTCAACGTTTAAGTCGCGCCTTCGCGGTCGGCTGAGGCCTAGAACCATGCTCCCGTGCTAAAGGGAAACGCCGTATGTACCCCCAGGCGTTGCCAAATCTCCTCCGACAAATCATGAATTTTCGGGAAATTTTTTAGATATTTTCTTCCGATTTTCAGGGAATTTTGTCCGGAATGGAGGATTTGCACGAACAAATTTCAACGCTCCATGTGCTTGTGGAGTTGAGTTCGTAGTATTTTTCATAATTTTTTTCATGTATCGGATTTCGTTGAAAAATAGATTTAAAAGTTCGAAAATCTATCGCCTTGTGACGTCATCAAGCACACCGAAAAAAAAGTGAGGTTAATTTAACATTCTGGATGTAAAAAAGTGTGCGAGAACTCAGAGAGTGCTAAATTACCTGCTACGGCAGTTAATTTTACATCTTGACATTGCTAAAGTAACTATTGCAGCAGTTAATTTAGCATTTTGTAAGTTCTCGCACACTTTTTTTACACCCAATATGTTGTATCAACTTCACCCTTTTTTCGGTGCAGCCAGCTAAACACATGTATTTGGGCAGATTTGGTCATTTGATTTTATATACATTTAAATATTGATTTTTCATATTTTTTATGATTCTTCGTTCCCCGGACGAAGAGCGTAACTCCGTTTCAAGGTTGCATACTGGCCTCAAACAGTTCAATTTTTTAATAAGAATATACTTGTACAATTTTTGTGGAAAATTGCTCTGATTTTTGCGTGAGATCACAAAGAAAATCAGTTAAAATTCCGAGTAGAAATTCTCAAAAATTTCCTGATAAAAATGCAATTTGCGAGCGGAATTTGTCATCACTGGATTTTGATAACGTTCTTTTGCGAGGAGGAGGACGCATTGTTCATTTTAGAGCCTAAATATATTCTCATGCTCCCCTCGTTACAGTAGTTTTTTCTTAAACATAAAACTCGCCTTTCTGACGCCTGCGAATTAATCCTCCGTTTGGACCGCGTGGAACTGGAAGGAACCAAGTCACATGAGCTATTGCCAAATTTAATTGAGCACTTCAATTTCATACATGAAAACGGTCGTGCGGAAATTTGTGCAAATTTCAGTGAATTTTTTTCGTCGTACGAAGCAAATTCCTTAAAAGTTTCAAAGCAATCCTCACAAATGTTCTCGGATGAAAAATTGAATTGTCCCGTTAAATTTGGCAATAGCTGATGTGGCTTGGTTCCTTTCTGTTTAACGCGGTCCATTTGCTCCAAAGTGTCTGAAAATTTCAAGGCAAAATATTTTAACGCTCTTCAACAGGAAATATTTCTTGATGGCAACATTCAAAAGCTCACGCGGCGTTTTTCCTTCGGACGGCAGCATGAGTAACCACCCCCGCTCACTTCAGTCGAGTAAGATTTAAATTGGGCATGAATTCTTTTCTCGGACCGTAAAGATTATTCTGGCTAGGTGTATCCCACGTTAAGCCCACGGGCGTTTAGAATTGAAACGAGCTTTTTTTCTCTCGTTTCTCGCCCTCTTATCGTTGCCAGATTGTGCTGAAAAGTCAGCACTCCTCCTTGCTTAAACCCATTTTATGTATTTCACTTTCATTGCACAACCTGGCAACTTTACGCCCTCTCCCATCCATTCGCAATAAATTCACAGTTGGTGAACGGCAACGCGTATTCACTTCTGACCGCATCGTATTTTAGTTTCTATCACAAAAACCAATCGGGGATTTTCCATAAATTACGTACCTACCCCCAAATTTACGGTTTTTTTGACACTGGAAGATTCCCCTCCATATCTCCTGCGATGCTCATAGTTCCCCTGCCGTAGATCACCATAAAAATATTCGATGAGATACGAAATTGCATATTTTGGTCTGGTTAGGGTTGCAACCCCATCAAATTATATTTTCTCGAGCAACGAAATCAACCTTTTGTCCAAGAAAATTGTACGAAAATTTGGGGGGAATGTTAATTAATACTTCGTTCAGAAGATGAAGTAGAATCTATGACTGAAAGGAAAAAAGGAATCCATGACTGAAACATCGCTGTCGAGTAACAAGTTTTTGTGGTTTCATACTTTAATTTTAATTTCATTATTCACCTATCTATAGTATAGACAGTCATTAACATCAGGTCATCTTTGAAAATAAATTCACTCTTTATCTCCCTTTGCCTCTCCTTTCCTCCCTATTTCCATCCCTTTTTTTTCCTACTCTGAAACTTCTCCCTGGAGATCAAAATTGCTTCCGAGTCGTATCTAAATCGGAAACACCAGAGTTACCTTTGGTGAAACAATAGTGCATTTTCCTCCAATGAGTACACAAATAAGAGAACTCAATCGAAAAAAGAACAATACGATGGAAAAATAAGCGTTTGCTCCGTGTATATATCGTCAAAAATGTCCTACGTAAATTATGTTTAGTGATAGATAGATAGATAGATAGATAGATAGATAGATAGATAGATAGATAGATAGATAGATAGATAGATAGATAGATAGATAGATAGATAGATAGATAGATAGATAGATAGATAGATTGATACATAGATAGATAGATAGATAGATAGATAGATAGATAGATAGATAGATAGTTAGATAGATTGATAGATAGATAGAATTTATTGATGCATACAGCCTATAGTAAAAAGCTCCGGCACAAGTCAAATCTACAATTTGTACAACAATTTAAGTAAAATGAAATCTAACATAGACAGCCTAACGTCTCAGCTTTACCAGTAAATATATGGCTAAAAAGCCGCGTTATTTCAGTATCGAAAGGGCTCCAGTCTCATGAGGTGTCTTCCGAAATTAAATCCTTTTAAATTATTAGGTGGATCAATGAACGCTCCAACTTTCAATTCAATTCAGTAAACCACGAGGAATGCACCCATTAGCCCCGTACACGGTTTTCCACTTTAGTTCGATCGCGACCCACCCCACGCGTCTCTGAGCAGGTGTTCGCCAAAACCCCGTGAAGTTGCGGATTCATTGCACCCTAATTATTTTATGAATGGTACTTATGCTTAATAACTCTGAAGGATGCCAACCGACCATAATGGAATTTTTTCTTTCTTGGGTCTTAATATTGCATCCAGAACAAAAAATTGGCAGCATTCACATGGAAGAAACGATATACCTAGTGCTGAGCACCAACAATTTAGTTCAAATGGACTGCATTTTGCAATTTGGAACTATAAATCATCTGCTCATCTGAAAAAACACTTATATGCATACGAAAACTAATGGCACATACGATGTTTTTGAACCGGGCCGGAATTTATAGTTCCAAATTGCAAAATGCAGTCCAAATGAAGTCAGCTAGTATGCTGCCGTGCTGAGCAAGAACGCCGTAAATGGGTGGATTGCAGCTAATGGGATTTAATATGGGTAAGACGTGTAACCGGTTGCTCAAAACTTTCAATTATAATATTTTCTCTGGATGTTTGGTTTTTTGCGTAGGAGCAGGTCACACTAACCAAGGTCAAACATATTTAAGGACTTTGTTTACTATTGTTCAGCTCTATTATGAACGAGGAGAATTCCGAATCATCTCTTCCGAATTCATAGCATCGCAAATCTATAGAAATCGGCAAACCCATGACCGGAATAAATAACATGAAACTTTTTCAAGCGGTGATTCTGAGAAGCTGATATCTTATTTAAGCTTTTGATCAAAAGAGAGAATTCGTGTCGCACTTCAAGACAATAATGCCTCATGTCCCTAGGAAAGTCTTTTCAAACTTTTGAAAATACTCAACCGGTGTCAAAACATCGCCATAGCTCAGCTTCCCTAGAGAGGACTTCAGAGCAATACCGAGAAATGTATGAAAGCTCAGAGTAGTATATTTGCTTTAACCCTTATCTCATCAAAATGTTTTCATACGCAAAGCCCAAAGTAAGGTCAATTTGACAAGTCGGGTAAAATTGAAGCGTATTTAAATACATTACTTTGATGGTTTTTGGGGGAGTGTCTGTGTAATTTCTATGTTTTTGAAGGCAAGTATACTTTTTTTTTGAATTTTCACTTTTTGGTAAAATATTAGGCCTGTCTCATTCCCCTCCTCGTCCGCCATTTATAACACCTCCAGGAGAGAAAGTCGGAAACATTTGACCTGGCTAAGGATTCTCAGAAGTAGTCGTCAAATTAAATTCCCAGAAACGACATAACTATCGCCGAACATATCAATTTCTAGACGTGCGTCTTTTAGGACGCTTAAAATACTTCAAAACGATTATTGATTTGGACACATCATTGTATATTTTAAGGAAACTTAACCTCAACTTTTCTTAAATTTAAAAAATTAGAGACACAACAACACGCGTTGATGACGGCGCAGAAATGCAACTATTTGTGCTCGATGAATGTCTGTGTTGCATCAGAAAAATTGGAGGCGTGTGCTCGGCATACTCCAGGCTCCACTCTATGTTGCCAATGAGGCGACGCTCAGATTCGAGAGAAAAGTTAAAGTACGAGGCCCAATTACGTATTTTATATATTTGGCTGTGTTGCTCGCGTAGCCCTTGAAGCATCCTTACAAAAAAGACAAACGGGACCAACACAATATGGAAATAGAGCAAAGGAAAAGACGTGCATTCGTGACGGCGCAGAGATACAACTATTCGTGCTTGATGGATGTCCATGTTGCATCTGCAAAATTGAAGGCGCTCTAGCGTGAGTCGTGGACTCGCGATGCTACGCTCTGTGGTGCCAATGATGAGGTTGTGCAGTTCAGAACGGAAGACTTTTCCAAAACGCCCCATGTATTCCTGGCCCTACTTTGCAATGATATTTTGGTGTGGAAGTTGCAAGGTTTAGAAAAAACAGTCTTTCGTGTAACGAAAGTGTGCTTTGAAGTGAAGAGCTGAGCAATCCACTCCTCTTTCAGATATGTATCCCTTTTCCAATGCACTAGTTTGAATCACGATTTGATTTTCTGGAAGAAAATACTTCTGAATGGAGCTCAAGGTGCCTGTAATAAAACCCGTGTCCCTTTTGCGTGAGTTGATACCCTGCGGAAAAGAGAGAGGCATCCAGCTGCCGGAGGGAAATATGATGGAAGACCGACATTCTTAAGAGAAACAGAGTCGGGAGGAGTAATTAAAAGTTGGAGGCGAGATTGACTTAAATGAAATTAAAGACTAGTGAGATTAAAAAAGGTTGGTTACGATGTTAGTCTGCGAGAGGTTGATTAAGGTCGATTACCTCCGCCGGTTTTACGGTCGCGCAGGATGCCTTTTTCCTCGTTAAGCAGTAGAGTGCGGAGAACCCATCCCGCACGTGCCATCGCCATACTTGGAGTCTGCAAAAAGAAGAAGAAGACATAATGTAGTGATAATTACTTCATTTTATCAAGCACTAGTGTGATATTTGAAGGTGTAACCTACTTGAAACATATAAGTACCCACGTTAATTTACAGTACTAGGGTCGAGAGTCAAGAACATTGGCGGATCCAGAAAATCGGCAACATTGTTTTTATCCATTTAAATCTATGGAAATGTATCGATTCTTGGAGGAGCCAGGTGCTCCGACAAGAATCGATTATTTAACATAGGTTTAAATTAAGAGAGTCCGGTGTTGCCAAATTGCTGAAACCGTCTCTGATCAAGAATCTTTTTTACGTATAATAAACCAATGCCCGGTGTATGCATTTTTGATTCCTCAATACATGCTACGTCAATATTTGATGAGAGAACTTTCGACATTTCGATTGATCAGGGGGATAAAACCAATTTTCTTGATGCACGATGTATCAATCATGATTATGCAACATACCTAATAACAATGAGACTCCCAAACCAGGTATCTCGTTTGCAGTATATCTGAAATCTCCGCCTCTGTTTTTTTTCAGTGGAGAACAAATCAACATAATTCCTTGAAGTTTCCGCAGAATTTTCTTCCACACACAAGAAAAATCATCGCAGTTTTTAAGAATTGTCGTTGAGTGGTTTTCAATTTAAAACTTAAATCATAAATGTACGTCAGAAAGTCTAGACTTTCATCAGTCGTAGTATGAAGAAATCTCGATTCCAAATTATGTCATCCACTCTTTTTGATACACTGGAAAAAAACACATTAGATCTAGAGTCCAGACTCTTGAAAACATTGACAAGAAAAAATACCCTTGATTCAATCAGATTTTTGCTTAAATCAAAAGGAAATTCGCTCAAATTAAGAGGCTTGGTTCTTGATTTAAGCAAAAATCCGATCGAATCAAGAGTATTTTTCCTTGTCGATGTTTTTAAGAGTCTGGACTTTAGATGCAATGTGTTTTTTATTTCCAGTGTAACCCGGTAGCTTTGTCTATTCCTACGAATCAACGAGGGAGGGGGCTTGGAAATAAAGTGGCAGCACTGCACCGCGGATGATCCCTTCAAACGACTCCGTAGGTAGAGGGAGCGTTTGCGTTTGGCCTGGAGGAGACAAACATTATTCGGTGGTTTGAATGGAGACTCGAATTGGAGCGGGAGCCTGCGGCTGTGCACGCACCGCTTTTCCCAAGAAAGTTTACTTGTGCGGCAGTCGCAGTGCTGGCTGCTCATGCATGACCCTGCGCCTCATGGAACCCAGTTCCATCGTTGAATCGTTATCGAATGCGACCTTAATCGATAACTCCCTATCTTAACAATGCAATGTATCGATCAATGTCATTCGATAACGAGTCGACAATCGAGCCACAGCAGGAAATGATCCGAGGCCGGCTCAACTTGGGGCGGAAATAAAAATAATAGGGGCGTGTATGGAAATTGGGGGCTCGGCCTGACTTCATTGACAGAGAATCGATCGTCTTCTCGATTATCGTTGTTTCTCCTTTTTCTTCTTCCTCTTTCGAGTACATATTATCTTTTAAGTCTCCTACTAGGGAGAGTATTGGGACACGAAGAATTCGTTTCTGATTAAATCTGTCGTTTCGAAAAGAGAACATAGACGTTTGCCTCACGAAAGGACGTAACTACATTTCATTGTTGCCAAATTCCCCTTCATAAATTTCATTTTTACCAGGTGAATCTTGGGCGTTTCTAACTGAATATTTCACTGATTTTTCTTCCGATCTTATGCTAAAATCAGAGAACTTTTGGACAAAAACCGCACAAGTGCATTCTTGTGAAAAATCAAATTGTTTCAGTCAATTTTGTAACCTTGAAATGAAGTTAGGTTCCTTCGTTCGGGAAACGACGGCATGTCCTGACATCCAGGGGCGTCTGTTATAGCCAAATTTTGAGGGGGGGTTGTTCAAATGTAGCAATATTAGCGGTGGGGAGGGGGATCTTCGGAAAATCTCCAAAAATGCCGTGACATTTATCAAAACTGACCTACACTACAACGTCACCTTTAAAATGAAGAGCACTGAGAAAAAAACACACTGGATCTCTTGATTCAAGCAGATTTAAGCTTACCTAAATCAAAAGAAAATCCGCTCAAATTAAGAGGCTTGGTTCTTGATTTAAACTAAAATGTGATTGAATCAAGAGTATTTTTTCTCGTCAATATGTTTAAGAGTCTGGACTCTAGATCCAATGTTTTTATTCCAGTGAGGGGGAGTGGAGGAGGTTCCATGCCCCTGCCCTCCCTAAGTGACGTCTTTGTTACACTCAATTTTTTGTGAAAGTTAGACACCTGCACCTGTTCAGAGGATTTGAATTATTACGGAATATTCTTCTGATGCTAAAACCTAAAGATTCTCCCGAATTTCGGACTGAAAGTGGGCGGTCATATTAAGTGCAGGATTTTACCTTTAAAGAAACGTTGCTATAGAGTGGAAGTCATGAAAATAACCGTCGAGAATAAAAGAACTTGTCCTTTGAAAGGCGGCAAGGACTTGATCAAATATTGAAACGGAAACAGTTCCCTACTTGTTCTCTCTTAATTTTTCAATATTTTTCATCTTGCGGTCGTGACACACTTTCGATTCGAGTCTTTCACGGAAGAGAAAATCCAAAACCGTGATCGCCTTTTCACCGAGATTCTTTTCTATGTTTCGTAAGATTTGCACCACTTGTAAGGACTGCAAATATACAGGAACTGTTCTTGGAACTGTAAAACATTCTTGCACGTAAATCCGCAAAGACACCTTCGTTCGACTGAAAAAGCGAATGCGCTTAGTACACGTCCTAGGTCGCCATTTTTCCGGCAGGGATCGCCTTTCTCTTTTAGACTTCCTCCTCGTAAGAAATACATAAACCGCTTTCAACAGCGTCTATAGCACATGTATACCCGTTACTCGATTGATTATACGGCGGTGCACAATGTTATTTATCTCACTTATTGCACGGTACGAATGTGGCCCTTGCATGATCCCAGCAACTTACGTAAGACTAAGGGAAAAAACAGGTTGCCGAGCTTCTCGTAAATAGGAAAGCCTTTTGTAATATACTAAACTTTATGTTGTTATTTTACGAAACACATTATTAAGTTTCTTATCGATTTCAGACCTCTGACTTTTATATGCTTGATCGGCTAGTGGTCTTAATCCGGTTGTAAAATAGTGGCGAAGGGTTTTTCATTTTCGAATTGGAGTGAAGAAAAATAACACAAACTCGTAAACACTGCACCGCAGTAGCATTAACCTCAACTTAACGACCCGGAACCAGGATGTAAACACGAGTGGAAACGTACGTGAAGGAGGTTCAGTGTTCACCAAACAACGGCGTCACGAACTCTGTGAGGGTAACATTTTCCCTCAATAAACAGGACCGTATTTTCTTTAACTTCGAAAGTCATTTCCTCAGATAATATCCGATAAAATAAAATAAGAAAAAAATGCTGCCGTAATTTGTCTCCAAATTCCCTGAACAAACTTCCGGAGTGTTCGAAATCATGTTAAGAACGGCCTTGCTACTGCTGGTTTATGGGGGAAAAATAAAGAAGAAAAGTAACTTTGAAAAATCCTTTCGGCGTTCAAGGATTTTAAAAGTTTCAAATTTGTTTTGCAATATTTTAAGATTCTCTTTACAAGAAATTAGTGGTTTAGCCATTGGACACCAGACAGCAATAAATTTTCTTTGTGTGAAAAATGACAACGATGGGTTTTAAAATTTTCAAATTTGCTTTGAAATATTTTCAGGATTCTTCTTACGAAAAAGCGGTTTTCTCTTGGATATCAAATAACCATTAAGTTTTTAAAGTGTGAAAAATGGCAACGTCTGTTGCTGTGCAAAGAGTATCTCGAAAATGTGGTCGCGGAGCATAAATGTAAATTCGTGCGGAACAAAGTGAGCAGAGATAAAATATTTTGGAAAACCACCCCTGGCGATCCAAGCTTATCAGCGGGTCACTACTAAGTTACCACCATTGGTGAAAATTTCTGCACCGGCAGTAGCACTTATTAACGTCCGTCAGTGAATAGTGAATATTAAGCCGAGCATTTTACTATGTAGGTTTGTCAATTGGGCGGATTTCATCGGCTAAACAGATATCACGATATGACGAATTGAAGTTTTCCCGGAATGTTCTTTTAAAACAGGAAAAAATCACTGAAATTTTTTAAAAAAATGACGTTCAGCAGTTTTTCATGTAGAAAATAAAGTATGACTGGAAGTCTGCAAAGCCGCAACCTGAGATACGCATTTTTAATGTTTCACCGTCGATATTTGCATTGGCGGATCCAGCAATTTGGCAACACCGGATTTCATCCATTTAAACCTATGAAAATGTATCGATTTTTGGAGGGGCCGGGTGCTCCGACAAGAATCGATTATTTAGCATAGGTTTAAATGGAGGAATTCGGTGTTGCCAAATTGCTGGATCCGCCTCTGGATATTTGTTTTAAGATGATTTCTTTGTATGTAAAGAAGAGGACGGGAGTAGAATAGAAAATATGACGAATCGAGGTTTAAAAGTTAGAGAGGAAATTTGCGAGATACATATATGAAACACTGTGGCTGCGAAGCGAAAGGAGAAGCAGATAAGGAGGCGAAGGATATAGAGAGAGTTTTCCGTTCAGTGATCCCAAAACACAACGCACCCCCTAAATCTCGCCGACTTGCGGTAGATAAGAAAACTCGAGCGAGAGGTAGACTAATGGAAACAAACATCGCCCTGAGCCCAAGTCTAGCGAACGCGGGAAACAAATGAGCCGAAATCTATTTCTGGAGGAATCCCTATTCCTTGGAGTTTTTCTCCTTTCGGCTGGCTGTAGTATCGGGATTTGCAATATTGCCGATCCTCTATTTTCACGCGTTTGGAAAATTGAACCGCTGGTTGTCGAAAGGGCATCTCTTAGTTGCAGTGTCTTGGATGGATCTGAGTAAACGTTATACTATAATTAACACTATAATTAAAGCAAATGCATGGAATTCGTTAAAACTTTTATACCGAATTTCCTCTATGATTTTACAATGTTGAAAACTAAAAATTGACAAAAATTCACCCAATTGCTTTCTCTCTTAAATACAACTTAGCAGTAGAGCTTATGAAACACCGCAACCAAGATATGCTCTTTCTGCACTCAACGCTCCAATCGCGTTGAACACTATGTTTAGCGCAATGTTCATCAGTGTAAGGAAATGTTTGAGGGGCCTGGAGGACAAGGTGCACGAGTGCAGTTCTTGAAAAAATTGAGATTTTAATGATATCAAGTTCAACTAGGCTGAATGCATATTCTGTGGAAAATGCGCTCCCAAATTCGAATTTTTAAGCATCAAAAAGTCAGTTTGAATTTTCGCGCCGCCCAAAGGATCTATGTAATTTCGAAACTTCAAACACGTATTCTTCAAATTAGCAAAAACTGCACTTATGCGCCTTGTCCTCCAAGCCTCTCATTTGTGGAATTTTTCAACGAGGACATTTCGGAAGTCTGTTTCTGCTCAGAGAAAAATTGGCAATGGAAGTTATATGAATTTTCTTACCCTTCCCCATGGGAAGCACGAGTCTCAGGAGCAAGAGACAACCGCCCCCTAAATTTTAGCAAGCTTTTGATGGCACGTTTTATTTTCGTAGGTGCCCATATATGCAGAAAGGAAACGCCTCTTTCTATATCCATCTCCTCTTATATTTTTCCGTCCGCTTCAAAGTCACATTGTTTCACTTATTTCGAAAATTTCTCCCGCGGTTTTTAAACTTCATAATTCATTGCCAAGGCTCTTCTTCTATTTCTGATTCGATTTATAAGATTCGACTACTGATGCTGTATAATTAATTGAGGACACCACACCAAGAACAGTCTATAGGCGCATAGGTTGTTAAACAAATGGTAGGAAATAAAACATAATAATAGGAACGATGCAAAACAATAATCCGGATAGCGGAACTTGGCTGTTTTGAAAACGCCTTCAAATGCGGCGTGATACCTCACGCATTCCGGAGAGTTCAAATAGTTGTATCATTGCGCCTTAGGAATGCGACGGAAGATTACAATGGGCCTGTTGCAAACTTTTGCTAGAGCAGAATGAAGAGTTGTTTCCTATAGATAATGCCTCAAAAATCACGATGAGCGCATCGGCAAAGTCTGAAATGCACTCATAACTTCACAATCTGCGTAAGAAATTTGCGTTATTTTGAGCTTCCCGCTTCAAAAACGATACTACTGCACAGGTGAACATTTTGTTAGAGGAGTCGCTCCATCGTCGGCAATATTCATCATGGCCGACGCTTGCGCAGTTCCTCGCGTAATTCGAGGAGAGTTCAAGGTCAATTAAGGCGGGCGAGGAAAATATGAACGTAAACACGCCGATTGTTATATGGTTTAATCCTGTTCAAGTGTTATCTCGTCCCATCACACGTGTTTTGGCGGACTGGCGTCGGCCATGATGAGTATTGTCGCCAATGGAACGACTCCTCTAACAAAATGTTCACCTGTACCGTAGTATCGTTTTCGAAGCGGGAAGCTCAAAAAACCGCAAATTTCTTACGCAGATTGTGAAGTTATGAGTGCATTTCAGACTTTGCCGATGCGCTCATCGTGATTTTTGAGGCATTATCTGTAGGAAACAACTCTTAGTTTTGCTCTAGCAAAAGTTTGCAACAGGCCCATTATTTGTGTCATTGTGTTACTCTTTTTGAGATGAAATTTTTCAGAGTTTCTCCAAAAAATAGGGGAAAAATTATCGTCACGAGAAAACTTTTGTTATCTTATCGTAGAATTTCATTTGGCGGGCGATCACTCGCTTTCTAAATGCAACGAGTAGGTATTCTTTCCGGGCAACTAGAACCTGCCGAGGGAAGTTGTTTCCTCAGGCTAATCGCCGTTCCTCTGACCAAAGAGCGTATCTCGATGTCTAAGTGAGCCCTGAGGTCCGTATAACCCCATACTTTTCGGAGCTTACGTGTAAACAGAGATAAGCCCCGTACGTTAGGAAAGCGAGGTAATAATGAGCCCGATTTTTCTCAGCGTCAATTATTTGTCTCACCGTGGCTCCAGCTTCCAGAGATTTTTGTGTGCTCCAGAGTTAAACTTAACAAAACCTGCGGGCTGATAATTGAAATTGATAGACAAAGCAATAGACAAAGAAGACAAAGAGGATTTGGAGGGATCCTATTGGTAGAAGCGGGTGCGGTTGCAATGGACAAAGGAAGTAGGTAATAGACTAACTAACGGCAGCCCACGAGAGACCCAACAGTTAGTCTATCATTTTCCCCCTTAGTCTATGAGAACCACCAATTTCAACCAATAGGGTTGCTTGATACCCCCTATGTCTCCTTTGTCTATAGCTTTATCTATCAATTTCAATAATCGGTACGGAGAGGCCTTATTTCTTGTAAAACCGCAAATGGAAATGCATTTTTACATAGCAAAGTCCTCGCTCTCGCAAGAACTCCGTCGAAGGAAAATCCCTAGATTCGTAAATATTATTCTTCCGTTTAACAATGTCCGCAAGACCGCAAGATGGAGTCAATCTTGGCGGTCCAGCCACTCCACCTCCCTCTTCAAACAAACGAAGAATGATGAGGAGAAGAAGAGAAACCAACACATTTTCATTAGAATTTTTACATTTCCGCCCATTATCCTCGACAATGAGTATTTATCTCGCCATTCGCTCTCTGCTTGTTGCATCGCCTCCCCAGTAACCATCCATTTTCCCGCTTTCCCACTTTTTGCGGTTTTTCCCCCTCACCATTTGCTGTATTTTCTCCCGTGAGAAAAGAACAACTGCTTCAATTCCGGAATGCGGGAATAAGCGTCATGGGACTGATGCGACTGAGTGTTTCTCAAAAGAACGTCGCGTCGTCATGTAAGCCCACTTAATTGGTAAGTACGTCGTAATAATCTTTAGAACATAAAGATTCTCGTTTTTACATTGAAATCGTACTTAAAATCAAGCAAAGAATTTCCTATGGATTTGTAAAGTTTTCGAAAATTATACGAAGGTCGACGTCTCAGTCTCTATAGTGAAGGAAAACTTTGAGGTTCCATAAAATGCTGAGAGCTGATAACACACGGGAAAAAGTAAATTGCTGATTAAACAATTCAATTCCTAATAAAAGTGACTGCAATGTTTCAATGTAGATTTTACAACAAAAAAAAATGCTACTTTAACCGCTCCCGTGGTTAAAATAGCTTACAACAGTGGTTAAAGTATAGCATTTTTTTGTGAGAAATCTACGTTGAAATATTGCAGTAACTTTTTTTAGCAATTGAATTGTCAAATCAGCAATTTAATTCTTTCCCGTGCCGCGCTGTATTGGCGCAATGCGTGAAGTATTCATGCAGTCTTGTAGGATGTAGGCGCTATGCGTTTTCACGCCGACCGCTACTGACCACACTGTTTGGCGAAATGCGTGAAGTACTCATGCAGTCTTGTAGTCGTTATGCGTTTCAAGCCGACTACTGCTGACCGCAGTGTGTTTGACGCAATGCGTGAAGTATTCATGCAGTCTTGTAGGCGCTATGCGTTTAAGCCGACCGCCGCGCCGCTCCGTTCCAAGGTCAAATTGCGTGTTTGGTTTCTTTCTTAACTCGACTAATTAAAGGTGTTGTCTCTTGTATCACCGAAAGACGATAAAATTGAAAATTACAGTACTTTTACTCTCAGGAAATAAGAGATTTTGTCGCCTTTCCTCGTTTGTAATTTATTTTCTGAATCAGATTTTTTTCTCTCTCTTTTTGATACCTACATTCAAAACAATGGAACACTAGACAAGGTACAAATTTAAGCAATCTGATACATGTTCCTAAGCCAGAATTTTACGTGGAACACGATTCGCGCAACGAAAATTACTGAAACTAACTCCTAACGAAGATATTAACGTTTTTATTTCACAATGGTTACGAGGAATTTGACCTACCCGCTCTAAAGAAACTCAAAGCTCTACGTGAGTCAAATCGAGCACTACAACGGTTTCAGCAAGCTTCTCAATCGAGCAATGTTCATTTCCCACCATGCATTGTTCAAACTACAAGCGATTTTCTAAAACTGAGCCGAAGCGTCAAGATAGACGTTGCCAGATTTTTATATCGCAAAGATTGTCATGATAACGTTTAGCGCGCGATGTGAATCATGTAGAGCATTGAGTTTTCATGAGCGGATGGTTTGAATTCACGCATCAAGAATCATTAAGTATCTTCGTAAAGAGTTGATTTTGGTAATTTTTGTTGTGCGCATCGTGTTTTACGTGAAATTTTGGATAAGGAACACAAATCAAAATGCTGAAATTTGTACCTTGTCTAGTGGTCCATTGCAAAATTTGCCGCCCCCTACATTTTGCCGCCATGGGCCGCGGCCCACGTGGCCATCCCTTTAATCCGACCCTGTGCATGCAACCATTTTTCAAAAATCCCATTCAGACCTTGTTCCGCGACTTTCTCCGCGAGTTGTTCCTGTTGTTAAATTTCGCTTGTAATATTAGTCGTAAAATTTCGCAGTATAGGCCTACCTCTGTGATGGGATCTGCTGGGTTGGTTTTCTCCGGTGACGAGGTCCTTATTTGGCTGATACCCGAGGACGGCGGAGATGGTGGTGAAACAGCAGTCTTGGAAACATAGCTCCCAAACCCTGCAATCATTCAAATCAACCACTCAAAAGCCAAACGCAATTAAAATAAGAGAAAAATAACACCAGAAAGATGAAGAATCAGGTTCATGTTGGAACCGAGCTTCCTGTTGAAATAAAAGTTTCTCGTTCCGCGCATCAGTTTGAATGGCGTCAATACGACTAACTGTTATCAATGTAGATAAATTGATCCGCAGATCAAACACGATTAGAAGTTATGATCGCTCCCAATCTCAACGATGAATAGTGAGTAGGAGTCAATCAATCAGAGGCCCTTCCAACTACAATGATTAATGTCTTTTGGACGCAGTGTAAACACCTCGTGGAACAAACGCGTGGTCAGGCTAAATACGACTGTATTAACACTGAAGGTATATTGATGCAGAAAATCCAAGGGTACGACGAAACCTTCAATTAATTTTAAGATCAATGTATACCCTTCAAACATTTGAAAGTGTGTTTGACATACTTACTGTCGATAGAGCAAGTGGATGAAATCTGCTGGCTTTTCGTAAGAGGGAATGCGTATTTTCTAACTAATTTTTTTTAATGGAAATTGTATAAGATAAAAAAAAATAGAGCGACGTGTTTCGTTATGAAAAGCGCTTTCATTAGCCGTCGTCACAATATTAAATTACAAGAAAAACACAAAATCAAATTCATCAAACATGGCGGCGGTATAAGAGCGGTCGATCCTCAAATCCCTGAGAACGAGTTGACAGGACTGAGTTGCCGCTCTTATCGTCATGCACTAGATGTGCTTCAAAAACAAAACTTCGCCTTTTTTTAAACTTAATTAACTGTTTTACTTTGAAGTAAAGTGGAATTCATTTCTTTTTTTCTAAACTAAAGTCTCGAAAATGTATAATCGAAAGATAAAGCTTTGCATGCGCCACAAAACTCTGATAAGCAAAGAGTTCAAAAAACTATCCATTGGAAATGAATTTTACCGCTACTGCAAAGGCGCATGCATTGGACGACATATTATTCTACCTGATTGGTACTGAGTTTTACAGAGCGCCTTCACTTCATCGAGTAGGCAGTTTGCGCTCCGGAGAGTTAAAATAGTTGTATCCGTAATTTGAACAAATATGTGTCATTAATGTTCCCCCTTCCTCTCAATTCTTCCTTTACTGTACCTTGTTTCAAGGATTTCTTTTGCACTTTCAGTACCTTCTGATGCCTTCTTTTCTGAGTTTAGAAATGAGAATTGATAAAAGCTCCTGTCTTTTTAAGTCACTTTCAATAAATACTCACCCCTACTGTATAATACTGTAATGAGGCACCATCTGCCTGGGCATTTAACAATTTATCAAAATTGTGTGCTAATTATTGAAATTCATAGACAAAAAAGATAAATGGAAAGTAAAGCGATCCTGTTGGATGGAAGAGATGTCTATATAAACGGGAAAATGATGGAATGGTCTCTCAACGGTTGCCGTTAGCTAGTTTAATACCTAACTCCTTTGTCCGTGGCAACTACCCGAGTACCCGTCTCCATGAACAGGATCGCTTCCTATTTCATCGTTTCCTTTGTCTATAGCTCTATCCATCATTTTGTCATAGCTTTGTCTAAAGCTTTGTCTACTGCTGTGTCCATAGCTTTTTCTATCGCTTTATTAATCAATTTTAATAATCAGCTCGCAGATACGAGTATTAATGCTGCGACCTGTGTTTAGATAAAGAGACGCACGCGTTCATGAATATGTCTATATCTCCAGACTGATATTGTTGGCAATGTGGTTGGAAATCATAGACTCCGGACACGTAGACGAAGGCGCATTCCGGCTGGAGCCACGGCTAAGATGGACAGTATGTGGGACAGGGACACGGGCACGCGGGGCGTGAGGCGCTTAAAACGTGCAATCCACGCCAAGGGATGACGCGCCAGGGCGGGGGCTCCGGGCGGGCGGGGCGCGGGGAGCCTGGGATAAGTCATGTATCCTCAACTAATTCCCGGTCCGGCAGCCGCACAGTGGAGCGAGGCAATTAGAGAACTCGGATATGAATTTTTTTACTAAAACCAAAAAATTTAATGTTTATTTCGTCACATTTTAAATAGTAAGGGGTGATTTTAGAAGGAAATTTTGCGAGGAAACCAATAAAACCACTTTGAAAAATGCAAAATTTTGTATAAACGGAGTTATGAGCGTTTAAAGTTTCTGAATTTTGTCCGATCTCTCCTGCTGACTCGGTCCACTGTGCGGCAGCTCGGCGATGCCACAACACGGACCACAGAAATTAATGAGGCGCTGGGACCGGACCGTGGACATGAGATTATGCGACATTTCACCTCGCCACGCTTCAACGCGGACAATTCACCGCGATAACTTTTTGAATCGCCACTTTTCGTCGCTGCCACCTTTTTATTTTAGCATGACCACGTCAGGCTACTTATTCTTTACCCTACAGCTAGTTAGTTCGCTAAAAAATCTCCCAGTTTAATCCCGGATTGCGACTCTCTGGATATTTTCCCCGAAATTCACTGCTAACGATTTTGGCCAATCCTAAACCTCAAGATATGTGAAGGGGGAGTTCTAGGGTAATAAATATAAAATAAACGGTGGTGAAAAGTCGAGGGGTGAAATTTCGCTGCGGTAAAATGCCCCTGTTCGAGGTGAATGGACCACTAGACAATGTACGAATTTAAACAATCTGATACATGTTTCTTAACAAGAATTTCACGTAGAACACGATTCGCGCAACGAAAGTTACTGAAACCAACTCCTAAGGAAGATATTAACGTTTTTATTTCACATCAGTTACGAGGAATTAGAGCTGCCCGCTCACTAGAAACTCAAAGATCTACGTGAGTCAAATCGCGCACTACAACGGTTTCAGCAAGCTTCTCAATCGAGAAATGTTCATTTCCCACCATATGTTTTTCAAACTATAAGTCATTTGCTATAGCTGAGCCATAGCGTCAAGATTGAGGTTGCCAGATTTTTTTATCGCAGAGATGTTCATGATAACGTTTAGCGGGCGATGTGAATCACGTAGAGCATTGAGTTTTCATGAGCGGGTGGTTTGAATTCACGCATCAAGAATCATTAAATATATTTAGAAGGAGTTGATTTCGGTAATTTTCGTTGTGCGCATCGTGTTCTACGTGAAATTTTAGTTGAGAAACATGTATCAGAATGCTGAAATTCGTACCTTGTCTAGTGGTCCATTGTCCCGCTGTGAAATATCGCTGTCGCCTGAACGAAGAATATTCACAGTGTTATTCGGTAGCTATAAGGTCACATTTTGCCAACAAACCCCGAAACACCTGGCCGTTTTTGATACGTTTTATTATACAGAATGGTGACCTTGACATAATATGTGACACGCGCTTTTTGCGAAATCTGAAACTGCGATATCAGTCTTACTACTTACAAAGAGGTAATTTGTGAGAGTCGACCAAATATTTCTTTAAAGCGGCACCAAATCCGAGCCAGTTAACATTTAAAGGCTTTTGCTCAAAAAAATTTGGTTTCGGAAAAAGTCATTTAAAATTTTATTAGAACAGTTACTAAGCAAGTACTACTAACACTGAACAGATTGCATGCGGTTTGACGCACAAGTCGTTTGGACAGAGTTGGTGATTTTCAGATTTCGTCATGTGCGATAAATTTAGTGAGCGACTGAAATTCTCATTATAGCTCTCTCTCCCTCACAAAATGGCCCGAGCCGCTCAAGTTTGCTTGCCACCGTGACCGCATGCCCAAAGCTCGATCTGGTTTTCACGACCTCTCCGAGTTTGGAGGCAGAAAATCAGGAGGCTGCGTTGCACTGATGAGGGTCCACGTGTACCCGAAACGGGTCTGCGGTTGTCCTCCTGCTTCGTCGTGACTAGTGTTATGCTCCAAACAGCATTCTCCGAGGAGAAATATTGAGATTGATCCGAGAGAAATGAAAGGATTCGCTCAACTGTAATTAAGTGTGGTCCATTCTTAGTGATGAATCCGAGATTATTGGAACCATAATTTTCGGCCATCGAGGCGGATGATCTAATGTATGTGTGAGACTTAGTCGTTTTATGAATTTATCGCACACGGCAAAATCACTCACTTTGTCAGAATGGGTCAGTTGTGCTAGTCATAGAATCGTACTTTGAGGCTAGATTCTTGTAGATTAGTTAAAAATAATAAAATCCGTCCAAACCGCAACTTTCTACGTTAAATACTAACCTAGATATCACCCATTGAAAAGCTGGGTTCTTGACGTCATCCACCGCGGTAGTACATGGCATGGTATGTACTACGTGGTGGATGACGTCATGAATCGAGTTTTTCAAAACGCCATATCTCGGTTAATATTCCACGTAGAAAGTTGCTGTTTGGACAGATCTTATTATTTTTGGTTGATCTGCAGTAATAAAGCATCAAAACACAAATCTGTGACCAGTGCAACTGACATGGGTTAAAAGTTGAATCGTGGATTTTATTTCCGAGATTATTGGAACTATAATTTTTGGCCATCGTGGCGGATGACTTAATGTAGGTATGTGTGCGACTTAGTTGTTTAATGAATTTATCGCACACGGCAAAATCACTTACTTTGTCAGAATGGGTCAGTTGTGCTGGTCATAGAATCGTACTTTGAGGCTAGATTCTTGTAGATTAGTCAAAAATAATAAAATCCGTCCAAACCGCAACTTTCTACGTTAAATACTAACCTAGATACCACCCATTGAAAAGCTGGGTTCTTGACGTCATCCACCGCGGTAGTACATGGCATGGTATGTACTACGTGGTGGATGACGTCATAAATCGAGTTTTTCAAGACGCTATATCTCGGTCAATATTCCACGTAGAAAGTTGCTCCTTCGACCGATCTTATTATTTTTAGTTGATCTGCAAGAATAAAGCATCAAAACACAAATCTGTGACCAGTGCAACTGACCCATTCTTTAAAGTTGGACCCTGGAATTTATTTGATCCCTAAGCTTCTTTTTGTTATTTTTTATTTGGCACAGATGGTAATTTCTGCCAATTGAAAAATATTGAGCAATCTAAGTC